GCAACATCTTGACAGTATGATAAAGCACCAGATCAAATGCAGAGATTATTATCATTGTTGCTCTCCTCTACACAGGCCCTAGCGCCTGGCTCACTGTTATGTCACGTTGGCGAGAACTGTACGCAAGACTTGTTGCGGCCTGACCAGAGCACCATATATCTGAACACAACTGATAGGAAATGAACAGCCCAGCGCTGAGCTTGGCTTGTTCACTGTTGGATTGACTCCCAACGAAACCAATCGATGCTGAGCTCCGGCTTGTATCGGATGAGTGGTTTCATGCTTGTGTTTGCGTTCATTACCTTGGGAGTGGAGCTGGATAGAGTACATGATATCTGTATTGACATGTTTGTTGACGTGTTGGTTGCACTGTCACCACTGTTTGTAGGTTGAAGCCACAGACCAGTATTGAGCTCACAATCCAGGTGGACTCTCCAGTGCTGTTTTGTTAAAAGTTTCATCTTTTGGATGAGATAATAATACTAATAATGATAATAATAATAATATCCTTGCCTTTGATATGGCGCCTTATCACGTCTTCGAGACGTCTCAAAATGCATCACAGGATATACTGTAAAGTGTAGTGACTGTGTATTTTGTAGGTGAAATCCACAGATGTTAAACCAGGACTGTTCGGGCGAGTGTTAAACGATCCCTCGGCACTAATTTGAAGAGCAGGAAGATTTCACAGTGCCCTGGCGAATATTCTTCCCTCACCCAAATTTACTGAAATAATCATTCATCTCAATCCTGTTTTGGAACCACAGGCTGTGGAAAACAGCGGTGACACCTGCTCACCTAACGCTTGTTATGTTTCAGAATACTCATCATCTACTTGCATTTGATCGTGTCAACACCTCTCAAAGCACTTAGCAAGTAAATATTGTCAAGTGTATTGACTTTTTAATGCAAATATAGAGCTATTTGTGCCAGAAAGTGAGGTGAATAACCAGTGTATCTGGAAGATTGTTGGCCAGGATGCGGGGAGAAATTCCCTTCTGTTTTTTCATAGTGCAATTGGATCTTTAATTGAACAGACAGACGGGAACTTGATTCATGTTTCATCTGAAGTATGGCACCTCTGGCAGAGCAGAGCTCCCTGAGTATTTAAACTAAAGTCCTAATAGGGGTTTGGACCCAGTGCTTCCAACGAAGCCAACGGGGAGAGAATGTATAAGAAGGCTCCAGTTAAATCTCTCATGGGCTTTTGCTACCCTACTCCTCTGCTTGCCCTCCCCACTTAGCTAACTCGGGTTTACTGTGCCTTCCCCCTACACTGTGAAACCTTTGGTGGTCAAGCAGTCAGCATCTATGACCCTAGCCTCTGGAACGTTCCCCCTTTGACAGTCATCTCTAACTTCCCCTTTTCATTCTCTCTTTGCTCGATGTCAGACTCTGACGTCCCAAGATGTTATCACACATGAATAGAGCTATGTCACGATCTTTCATGACCACCTGAACCGCTCAATGGGACCTCGGTCTAATGTCTTATCCAAAGGATGGCTCGAGCCTCTGACAATGCAAAGCTCACCCAGCATTGCACTGGCACGAGAGCCTGCGAGTTCAAAGACCAGATGTGGGGCTTGAACCCACAACCTTCTGGCTCAGAGACAAGAGTGCTACCAGCTGAGCCAGACTAAGATAGCTGGCTTGGAAACGGCACTGCAATCTTGAAGAAAACCAGAGGATGCACATCTGGACATGAAGGCTGACCTATTCCCAGTTGGAGTTTTAATTGAGATGCTCTGGAGTTCTCTAAAACAGATGGGAAGGTGCTTTAGCGGCCTGGGAAAACAGTCTGGCCTCACTAAAACTGCTCATTTACAAAATAATCCCACCTGCCACTCATTCTGCACTGGACACACTTCAAAGAGCCAGCGTTTTGCAGAAGCTAGTTTCAGGAGCAGCTTCCTACCTGTTCATTTTACTCCTCAAACAAGTCTGGTGCCTTGCAGGATAGACTGGGGGAGGAGTGGCGGAGAGGAATGGTTTCTTCAGACGAGCTGTTTAATTTTTAAACATGTACCTAACAGGTTATTTATGAAACCCGACACTCCAGCATCTGTTTGTGTGGTTGTGTGTGTTTTCGAAAGTGAGCTGTAAAAGGTTTAAACTTCTAAACTTTTCCCCAAATGAATCTTGGATCAAAGCCGGAGTCTACAATTACACAGCAGCTGCCAGCAAGTGGCTTAAACCCAATATATAGTTGTTTCCCATGGAAACGGTACCGGTTTAAACCGGGAAGGAGCGTTGCTAACTGAACCCTTCTGCACCAAAACAGTGTGGTCTGTTTGTCATCTCCATTGCACAGTAACGTGGCTGGAATGTCAGAGAAAAAATACAATAAGCCCCTGAAATCATTCCAGCCTATTAATGATTGTGTAAACTTTGCAAACGCCTCAATTCTCTTTTTCTCCAGTTTTTTTCCTTTCTGCTCTTGTGATGTTCGTGACTCCCTTCCTCTCCCCCCTTTCCCGAGGTACAGTTCTACAGCAACCTCTGGTACCTCACTTCACTAGGCATCGTTCATGTGTGAAATGTCACAGTCAGTGTCAAGCCTGGTCAAGCTCTTCAGGCTTTGTGGTCAGTATTGATCCTGTCCTCACCTGATATATAAACACACACACCCTTCTGGCACTGGGTTTCTGCATAGCAATCAGGCGTGGGAGCCATAGAAAATCCCCCCCCCACCCACCCCACTCAAGGGAGACTATGCTCAGTTATTGCCCTAGTTTAGAGAAGAGAGAGTTTCCCCCAATTCATGGCCTATAAGCCCCCAAATAAAATTGGTCATTAGTTTCATGGCAGTTTGTGGGACATTGCTGTGCTTAATTGTGCTGCAGTGTTTGCCTACAAACATACAGTCACTGCATTTCACGGTATGTCTTGTGCAGCACTTTGAGTCGTCCTTCTGACGTGACAAAGCCAAATGCAAGGATTGTTGTTATTAACACAGAGCTGGATTCTCACCTCCATTCTACTTGTGTATAGGACTTAATGTTTCACACCAAGTCAACTTACAACTGTAGCCCATTTGAAGGATAGTAAACAGGTTAAACTGCCCTGCCCACCCCACCATCGGCGGTTGTCCCTTCAGCTTTTCTGCTGCCATCCTCTGGAACTCCATCCCCAAATCGCTCCTCCTCGCCCCCTCCCTTGCCTTCTTCAAGACCCATCTCAAGACATTCCTCTTTGACTGTGCTTTTAATGCCTCATCCTCTGTGACGAGGTGAAATGCATCGCTGACTGCTTGTTTCAGCTTCTCCGTAGCATCATATCGCTGTTGTGTAACAGGGATAACAGGACTTATTGGGCAATCGTGGGAAACGGATAGAAAAGTACTTGTAAATTAAAAGATCTGATATTATCTCACAGGCGTGATGGGCTGAATGGCGTCCTCCTGTTTCTGAATTATTTCTTTCTTAGACTTTATTGGAAGGTGAGGGTATCAAGTGCTCTGTCTCAGGAAATCGAGACACATAACACTCTCACAGTGTGATGCCAGGTACAACTGTGACTCTTAGGGATACTGGATGTTCCAACACGTGTATAGTTTCCACACTCAATCCTTTACCAGAAACCCAGCAATTGTGAATTCTTAGTGCTTGATAATCTTGTGTTCAGTTTGAGTTCTTTTGTGCTTTAACCCACGCAGTACGCCACTTCAATGATCCCTCTTTTCAGTCCAATTAATAGTCTATACAAAATGTAAGGAATAATATATTCTGAATAATATTATTATTCAGCAGAGTGCAAGAAACTGATAAGAAAGGTTAAACTTTCAGGGCCACCCGCACAACCAGACTCTTTCTTGCTCCCATTTCCATTTCCTCCATCGCTTGCCCACCTCAGGTCAGCTGCCTATCAGTCAACATCTTCCACTATTTATTGAAAGCAAAGCCTGTGTCTTGGACCTGGAGTCGCATTTACTGGTTAGATAGTAGAAAAAGAAGCAGGTGAAGTGTATGTTTAATATGATTCTGGCAAATTGTTGTGTGCCTGGGTCTTATTTCAAACACTCAATATCTGCTAGGTAAACGGAGGCATGTGGAATAAGGAAACTTTCCTAAGATTTTGCCTTGCCCGGGAATTGAATCCGAGTCCTTTCGCTTTGCGAGGTGAGAGCACTCATTTTTACGCTACAGGACTCCAATAATGACAGAACATCTCAAAAGTGCTTCACAAAGACAGCTTCTGTATAGATCCTGCAGCTCAGCGCGTGGAGTCCTGCAGCTCAGTGGTTAGAGCACTCGCTTTGCAAGCGAGAGACCTGAGTTCAATTCCAGGCAGAGGGCGAAACCTTGGGCAAGTTTCCTTACTCCACACAGAGCCTAATAATAATCCCTCCAAAACCAAAAACAATAATAAATTGGTCATTTTCAATCTTCGACTGTTTGTGGGACATTGCTGTGCGCAATTGGCTGCCACATTCGCCCACAAATATATACAGTCAATTCACTTTACAGTGTGTTCTGTGAAGCGCTTTAGGACGTGAAAAGCGCTATATCAAATGCAAGGATTATTATTATTATTGTAGATCGAGGTCTGTAGTGAAGCACAGGCCAGAATTGGGACAGTGGGAGAAAAGACCAGACAGATCAAAAAGCAGTATTCCAATGAGGCTACGGTTGGGGTTTAAAAGCCTCTGGATTATCAGAGGGTAATTTTACATGTAGGACGCTGAAAATCTCAGTCATTTAAACTCTGGGAGTCTCCTCACTGTTGTGGGGTTTAAGTCCTTTGGAATTCACAGCAGCAGCGAGGATCGGTGGGGAATTGCATGGTGGGAGGGGGGTTGGGTGTGGTGGGGAGTGTGTGTAGCAACTGGTGGGGGTAGGGGTCGGTAGTGACTGAACTGAGAAACCACATGTAAACATGTGGCAGACTGAAGCTCCTGCCTGGTTGGTTAGGGTGAGCTGAGTGTTGAATCAGGGCTCCCGCTTCCTGACATTGTTACACGGGCCGTTTGCTTCACTTATGCCTTTTGTCCTTGTTAACAGATGCAAGAGCTGGAACAAAGGGTGATTGAAGCCGATCAGCGGGCAGACAGCGCTGAGAAACAGGTACCTGGCCTCCATTATCTCCATGGGTCAGTGTTATACACTGGGAATGGCTCTTAATATTTATTGCTTTGCCGTAAATATGTTTCGAACATTATTGATCCAGGCACATTGGGTAATACCTTAATATCCGATTAGTCAAGATTCCAGCCTGCATCCCACTCTCAGGGATTCTTTATTCTCCTCTTTGAACTCACATAGTCTAGGCAGACACTCCAATGATATGCTGTACTGTTGGTGTCATCTTTTGGAGGAGACATTAGACCGAGTTCCTGCCTGTCTGTCTGTTTGTCTGCCTGTCTGTCTGTTTGTTCAGGTGAACGTTAGAGATCCCATTCAAAAAGGGAAGGGAGTTTCTTTCAGTGTCCTTTCCAATGTCTTGAGTGATTCATAGGATTTTTCTGGGAAGTGTAGTGACTTTGTATTTTATAGGTGAACTCAGCAGAATGGAGCTGTCAATGTAGCGCCCCATTGCACTGGCCTGGAGTGTGATCCTGGACTCGAAAATTCCTCCTTTGTGAGCTTAAAGACCTGATATGGGGTTTGAAACCACAACCTTTCAGTGTGATGCACTGGAGGGCAGTGAGTGCCTGTGGAACTCTACTCCACAGCATCAGCCCCTCCCAGAAAGGAAGGTGGGGGGGTGGACGCCATGGATGTTTACAAAGGAAATTTCTGAAGTTGAGCTGAAGAACGTTGCTCCTCTCGGGCCGAGGGCCACAGCATTACTGAGGCAGACTCTGCCTCTCGCACAGTCAGTGTGTTTTCTGCTGGGCTCAGAGGTTTCCGGCAACCGGTGAATGATTAAACTGGCCGCTGCATCCCACCCACCCAGCGCTCAGTGAAGCCCCCTCCCCAAACTCACTCGCTTCAGTGAGGGCATGTGGGAAGCTCCTGTGGGGGTCAGGAGAGTGCAAAGAGAATGAGAGGCCTCTCGGCACAAGGTTTAATGCTTCAGTCAACACTGCCTGCCCTCCCTCACCCTGTCTATAGTGTACCCCCTCCCCAACATGGTAAACCTGCGACTTCCCACTCACAGAGTGTATTCCGTTGCGCTGCCCTGCCCTGCCTGCCTCTGTCCACAGCATTTAAAAATATAACATTGCTGCACTTCCATCTTAAAGCGACACCTGGTTAGCTCTGAGCACTGGGATCAGCACTTGGAGGCTGCTAATCCCGGCTTCTAGCGGACCAGGACAACACATTGTCCAAGCTCCATGTTTCTGGTCACTGGAGACATGGCTGAGTTTCTGATGCACTGAGGAAACCAGGCTGGCTGCTCCCAGAAAAAGTGGTCTGAACTAATGGGCAGGAGAGAAAGCAGGTTATAGTGTTTCTCAAGATACTCTGTGGCTAATGTTTAGTGATTTAGTTCATTCAGGGAACCTGAGCCACACCGACTCTGGGTTCTAAGTGGTGCTCCGTTCCAATGAGGGAGAGGAGAATCAGTCTGGATTGGACCTGCACTGGTGTGAGTGAGAACATAGCTTGCCTCTCGACCAGATAGTCTACCAACATTCACTGCAGCCTTGGTGGTGTAGTGAGAGGGGGGAAGGATGTGGAGGAAGACAGGGTTAGCTGTGCGGAGGGGACAAGCGGGAATGGGGCAGGAGAAAATCACGGATAGGGAGATGCTAGGGTGAGAATAGTGAGGAGTGTGTTTGAGAAGTTTAGGTAAAAAGTAACAAAGATGTGAATGAGGATTTTGGCGGCATTTTGCACTTGGGGGATAGAGGCAGGCAATGTGGCGAAGGTGAAGAAAAGCAGTTTTGGTTAGGGACTGAATGTGAGCAAGGAAAGGATTGCTCAGGTTGTGCACTGGCTCGGTGTGTTCGAGCGAGGTCGGGGAGGTTGAGGAGGTCACAGATGGAAGTGTGGAGATGTTGGTGAGAGGCGAGATGGTGGCTTCCATCTTGTCCACGTTACGTGGCAAGTCATTGAGGTTTATCCACATCTTAAATGTCTGACAGGCAAGCAGACAGAACATAGCGCACCTGGAATTGAGAGTAGAAGTGGAAAAGAGGATTTGGGTAACCTCCAGGAATACACGTGGGAGTCAACCTGCTTTTCCTTGGTGGAAGCGATGAAAACCCTTCAGAAAAGGAGGGGAGGAAAGAACACTGGCAAAGGTGCTTGACCCAGAGTAGTGTCCCCTATTCCAGAGAACATCGGCATCATGAGGGTTAAAATAACCTCCGCTGGAGACTCCTCTCTAAGCTGGAGATGAACATCAAAGGTTCTGTGTTGCGGACTCCCCATTAGACATATGGATCGACCATCAAAAGCATTCAGGTGATTGACTCTCCCGGTTGTCAGGGGTGACACTTTACTCAATTACCAGTCAGCTGAGAGCCCATTATCCTGATCCAGTGTTTGCCGAGTGAAGGTTACAGCCCCTGGTTCCCACAGAGTCTGCCTGACAGTTAATATCTCTGGCTTCAGTCAGAGAGGCTTCTCAGGGGCTGTGTCAACACTCAGGAGGGCCCCCTACCTCGACCTGTTATCGCCTTTAAAACAGAGAAGCCTGTCCTGTTTGTGTAGGTGATATGGGGGTAACGGAACACTTTAAACTGTGGCCCTGTCTTGAGAATGGATGGCTTTGTATTACAAGCCAACACTGTCTTTGTTTAGCTGCCGCTAATAGCAGGCTGTAAACAAAGACTTGGGTGGTCGATCCTGTAGCTTCCTCTTGCTTTACTACCTTTAGCCATAACACCATCCGGCTGTTTATGCCTCCTGACAGGCCTGATCCTTGTTGCGATCTCTGGGAGGTGTAAGATGCCCTAGGGCCTCCCCGCTACTCTCCACCTCATGATCATTGCTGGTTCTCGGTACATCAGGATGTGTCTGGCATGTCTGTGCTGGCTAAACAAGTGCTGAGACACTCAGCCCTCCTAATAACAGCAGACACACAGGAAGGAAAGAGCTTATTGCGTTGAAAATGCCGTGGGTCTTGCACTGAAATCTGGCTCAGCCTGGAACTCACTCCCTGGATCCATTACTTTGTGTAAAAAAAATTGTTCACCCAATCCACCACAGTTTGCAGACGCTAATGTGCGCAATTGCCTACCGCATTTTGTCCACAGAATACACAATCAATGCACTCTACGATATATTCTGAGAATCGCTTTGAGATGCCTCAACGACATGATTAGGCGCTATATCAAATGCAAGGATTATTATACATAGACTATCTGAACCCCTCAATTAGATTCCATCGTGCTGCTCATGGTGTCAGAAGTGTTTCACGGCATTTATTGTAAAGTGGAGTGACTGTATTTTGTAGGCGAATGTGGCAGCCAATTTTTGCGCCCGCCAATGTCCTCCCAAGCAGCTGTGAAGGATATGACCATTTTAACTGGCGGACTGTTGGCCAGGATACAGGGAGATGGAACAGAAACTCCCACCTCTTTTCAAGTAGTGCCACAGGAACATTCGGCAGAACAGACAGATGGGACTTTGGTTTAATGAGTCATCCGAAGGACGGCACCTTCAACAATGCAGAACGCCACAGCACCACAGCTGCATTGTGGTGCCTTCACCTCCCCTCTCGACTCTCTACCTCCTCTTCGCTCCCTCCCTTCCCTCCCCTCACCCTGACCATTTCCCCCCAATGCTCGGGTCCCGACCCAACTGTCCAGCGCCTTGGGACGTCCTCCCGACGTGAAAGGCGCTCTATAAATGCAATCTTGTTGTTGTTGTTGCATTGGCGTGCCAGCCTGGACCGTGATTTCGAAGTCCCGACCTGGCGAGCTTGATCGCAGGGCTTTCTTTTTGACTCTGTTGTTTGCGGGATTGAAATTGTTGCTTAATTCGCCAGGTGAATGTAATGAGGGAGAAGTTGAAAGCAGCCAACGTGCAGACGAGTGAATCAGAGAACAGCTTGTACAGGAGGTACCACGAGGTGACCAGTCTGCTGCAGGAAAAGGATGACGTGATTCAGAGGCTGGAGCAGCAGCTCGATAAGCAGGTAGACCGGAATTGCATTGAAACTGCAGCCCTGGAACGGGCCATTTGGCCCAGGGAGTCTGTGCCAGTGTTTACACTCCACATGAGCCTCCCCTTATCCTTCCTCCACCCCCCCCTCACCCCCACGCTCTCACTAACTTACCCAACACTGCTCTATTCCCTCTCTTTCATGTACGCTAGACAGTTACTGTGTGAGTTTATAAACAACTATCGCCCAGAATATATATCACTTATTATTAGATGCTCAGGCCTAGCCTGAAACTACGGTATTATACAGATTTGTAAGACTTGCTTTGACTCGCAGTTGGTCTGTTTTATTAACTCGCTTTCAAAGGGTCATATACATTTCCTGAGGCTTTGCAAACTAACTGGAAAATGCTAAATTAATCATATTATATCATCAAAAATATCAGTTTGGCCAAAGTTAAAGCCCACAAAGCTCTGTTACTTTGTTCTTGATACGAGAGACGTTGGTATATATGGTTTGTAGCCTAAATGTAACAGCAAACAGCTTCTTTATGTACATCTTTGTACATTAATGTTTTACAAAGGTGCAGTGACAACAACAACTTGCACTTGTATAGCGCCCTCCACGCAGGGTAGCATCTCACAACCACACACCACTGACCAGCCTGAGCCGTTGTGCCCAGCTGAGTGTGAAGTCTCCTGTCGCTTCTCCAGTCAACGACGAGAGGACCTGGAAGTCACTGTTGAGTACGGGGTGGGGGATTGTCAATTCTACACTGGCCGAGGCTCAGACATTACAGAATCAGCTCATGACATGGGCCTGAATTGTAAAGTGGACATGAGTTTGTGGGTCTGCGATATATAAAGACAATATTATCCAGTATCCCTAAGAGGTGCGGTATTTAATGCTGCTGTTCGTATTTGGGTCCTATTTAATGTTTGTACTTCAGAGAATGATAACGAAGAGGGAAACTCATTAAAAAAATCTTCAAAAGACACAGATCTGCTGTTCAAGTTATAAAATATGTTTCCCCTGTGCCTCAGAATCAGCTTAGAGCGCAGGAGGCCAAGGTGATCGAGGAAAAGGCTGCCAAAATCAAGGAATGGGTGACCTTCAAGCTACGAGAGGTAAGTTCCAGCTTCCCACTTACTGTGGAAGTTCAGAGAGGTGGGAGCGTCATAGAATCATAGAATTATACAGCACAGAAGGAGGCCATTCAGCCCATCTTTGAAAAGAGCTATCCAAATCAATCCCACTCCCCTGTTCTTTCCCCATAGCCCTGTAAGCTTGCCCTCCCCAAATAACTGTCTAACAAATAATCGCCTTTGCATTTGATTTAGCTCCTATATCAAGCGCCTCAAGGGTAGCGTACTGCTTGGTGTCCTATTTAATGTTTAAAGCTTTAGCTGTGAACGACTTGGGCAAATGTTTGCAGGAAATATTCCTACTGGAAGGCGCAGGCGTTACCCTTGAGGCGCTTGATGTGGGAGCTAAATCAAATGCAAAGATGATGATTTGTTAGTATTTCGGTGTTGGCCATGAGCGTTCGTGTTGGTCAGTGAGATTCAATTAGAAATCTCTGTTTGATTGTTCAAAAGTAGCTGGTACCCTCCTGATTCGCGTCACACACTTTATTGATATGGTTTCCTTTGGTTCTGTCTATTGCAGCTGGAATTGGAAAATCACCATCTCAAAGCCACCAACCACAAGCAGACCGAGCAGATTCAGGTCCTGCACGCCAAGTTTCAAGGTTAGAGGCAGATTGTTTCCTGCAGTCAGATTGATGTAACATTCCTGAAAACTTCCTCTATTTTAATTCCCAAGGTTTGTCTGTCCTGAGTAGACAAGAGTATATAGCATTCCGTCACGGCCACTCATTGGTGACTTGGCTGAGATGTGCGATGGGTTCGTTATGCGTAGAAGGAATTACTGGAAAGCAATCCGTCCGTCGACTTAACAACTGGGTTCCTACTTACTGCTAGGTAAACCGAGGTGTGTGGAGTAAGAACTTACCTCAGGTTCTGTCCTCCTATATTTTGAGAGTGGAACGTGGCAGTCAGTTGTGCACGACAGTCAGTGTCCCACAAACTGTCGTGATTGAGTGGTCAAATTATTTCTTTCTTTATTCATTTTTGATCCCTTAATCCTCTTAGTTCTGAAAATCCAACCTATTTCGTCAAACATCTCAATTGATTCTGGGCAATGCACTTCACGCTCACAATGTGAAGAAACGTTCCCGAGGTTCAGTGTTAACCTAACAGTCAGATTACACCCTTTATTCTGGAACGAGTTTAGGCTCAGTCAAGACTGACAATGTCTAACCTCAAGAGTTTAATATTTGACCATGTCCCGTACCTTTCAGGTTCATAACTGAATGAGCTCGGCTCAGGTTTACAAGTTCACCATTGGTTATTCAGTAACCACAGCCTGAGCAGGGAGGGACTTCCATTCTCCTTGACTTAATCTGTAGCCATTGCAACCACATTGTTACGAGAACAGTTGGAATGTGTGAGAAAAGAGCTAGGCAAGAGTGGCTGTTTTATTAACATTAGAGTTTAGAATAATAGGGATTCAATCCCTTTCCCGCCCCCATCTCCATACAGGCAGACACACACATTTCATCGTGACCTTAACATTTTCGGAAATCTCTTCCAACATTAGGTCAGATGTGTATTTTGTAGTTTTGCTTTTAAAATTGATATGAACTATAGCTGACACTGACTTTAAATTAAAGTAATAAGAGTCATTTCATGCAGCGCCTTTCACAACGAGAGGATGTTTCAAAAGAGCTTCACAGGAATCGCTGTAAAGTCCTGCGACTGTGTATTTTTTGTAGGCAATTTTCCTTTTTTCTTCCCTTGGTACCAGTGGTGAGATGTTGCACATATCCACAGTGCTGCCACTGCCCCACACTGGCAAAGATGCCTTTCACCGAACACCAGGATAGACTGAGTCCTAAACAGCATGAGTTCTGGGGATTTTGTAAATATTTGCATCAAATGCCTCTCTCTTTCCATGCAAGCCTTGCACTTCTCCCTTCAGTTTCTTATCTTCAGACACTTTCTAAACGTTGGATGAGGGCAGCAAACTGAGACCCGAGGGCAATGTTCACAAACATACAATGACTTTCATCCACTGAGATTTTGTATTGCGATGAGATCTGACAGAATATATTTGTCCTCATTTTCCCTCAGCATTAATGGAGGCCCAAGGACCCATCTCGCCTCTTAAGGAGACCCAGAGTTCCATTAACTTCAGCTGTGTGCCTGTCTACTTCGCCAGCAGCCCTGGGAGCCCTCAACACCTACCGGCAGGAGATGAGGGGAGAAGGCAACCATTGTCCAAGTCCATTTTTTCTGTACAATCTACTTCAGTTTCCACTGGTAAGAAAGTCAATGTGGGTGGGTCGGTGGGTTAAAGGGGGATAGATGTCCAGCCAAATACTTGCAAGTATCCATGAAATCGATTCCTTGAACTCGTGTTCCTCTTCTGTGTGACACATTGTTGTTTCCTGACTGGCATTCAATGACAGCTCTTGTCATTTTACGGTAAAGCTTTATCAACCTCTCCGTTCCCTTCGGTCGGCGAGCACTGGCGTGCTCCGCGTCCCCCCACCCTGCCTGCTCCACCATCGGCAATCAGGCCTTCAGCCTTTCTACCCCCACCCTCTGGAACTCCATCCCATAGCTCCTCCGCTTCTCCCCCTTCCTTGCCTCCTTCAAGGCCTGTCTCGAGACCTTCTTCTTCGACCGCTCCTTTGGTTCACACCCCCACCCTCCTTGCTCTTCCCCCCTCTTGATTCCAACCCCGAGCTTGCGTGTAAACTCTTCACTGTCCAGCGTCTTGGGGAGTCCTCTTGACATGAAAGACAATATAGAAATGCAATTTGTTGTTATGGTGGTTATTATTAGTAGTTCTGTGTTCAAAGCCACCCAGTGGCCAGTCACAGGGCAGCGCAGGTCTTGGACGAAGACACCTGACATTCCTTGGCTGGAGACCTGACTGTGCTGGAGGGGAAGGGGAGAGGACACTGGTGTTTTGTTTTGTGTGGAACAATGGCAGATCCTTCAAATAAATCTTTAACGATTTCACGAACCATAACTTGATACAGTAGAAATAAAATAACCCCATAATGGCCACCTTTTCCCAAATCAACAATAATACTGTACACCTCAGCTGTTTGACCTTGTAGGAATCTCTGGGTCAACTTGTGAGAGAGACCTGGCAGAGTAGGAACACCGGTGAAGCTCTCTGCTAATGAGAAATGTCTTATTCAATAATGGTGCACTCGCGCTTCAAATTGATTGGACATTAGGGTCCATCTCAGGACAGGTTTGTAGGTTGTAAACTAGTGACTCTTTTGGTAAGCTTCAACAATAAGATTAAAATCCAGACTGAGACCGAGATACAGTTCAGTGTCTGTCTCTCTCTCTCTCTCTCTCTGTAAACTCTTGTCCTGCTGTGGCCTTAAATGAAATGAATGATTATTGTCTGAGGCTTTGGCAAATCTCTTAACAATTAGGGAATCTAATTTGAAGGGAACATGTAAAGTGAGAGAATGAAACCAGCACATTGTCAGGGACAGAGTGAATTGAGGTGCGACTTGTGTCTCAACTACATTTGCTCATGATCTACACATGATAAGATTTGGTGGGAAGAGGGAGCCATTTCCCTTGACAGTCATGGTATCAAGTTCATTGCATCAAGAGATCCTGTAGTTTTGTGCAGCAAGATTGAAATTGGATGACCGTAAAGTTAGCAAAGGTAAGGTCAGGGTGAACAACTGAGTCAAGCCTGAACTTACTAAATACAGGTAGAGAATGGCAATCAGGATTAAATTAATAGTTATACTATTATAGTTACTGGTTGTTTTGCAGTGACCGTTGAAGTTCTTGCTAACTGTGTTGTGTATTAAACAGATTTACAAGGCAAGAGGTCTGCCACAGATATTTCAGAATTGTCCGAGGGTTCAGGGTCACCAGCAGTACAAAGCTTGTCCTCGCTCGACAAGCCTGAGCACGTGGCAAAGTCACCCACCGCAGGCAGAAAGCCAGCGTTTCAGGAAGCCAAAGAGGGCGCCTACCACCAAGCGTCTGTTGTCCCAGGGGAAGGGGAGATGGTTGGCGAGGTGGAAACCAGCCGAGTGTACAGTCCAAGTCAAACCAGTCCAAAATCAGACGTCCGTACTTTGGATCCTGGGTCACTCTCCAATGCTCAGTCCAAAGCAATGGTGGACAGTCCCTCTGAGTTTGAAGGGATGATCGTGATGCAGCAGAGTGAGCAGATAGTGCCTTCCATTCGCAACATGAAAGAGACAGCCACCAGCGTGAAACTGGCTCTCAATAACAAGCGTGCTTTGGGTTCGCCGGCCGCCTTGAAGAGGATCACAGAGCAGAACCATTCATCCGACGAACTCAACAGCAAGTTTTGCTCCCAGAGATTGGATTCCTCTTCCTCCTCGAGCGAGACGCACCTGCCGAGTCCCATCCTAACTCCGGCACTGACCCCGAAACACGCCTCGCCCTCCTCAGCCATGCTCGGGGCTGGCCCCCTCATCCTGCCCAGTTTCCCCGGCAAGGAAGGAAGTATCGGGACCAGTATGACTCTGCCCAAAGTGAGGACCCCGTTGTCCCCGAGAGACAGCATTCAGCTGGTGAAGAAGCACTACAGCCAGCCCCACCCCGGGGCCGAGCGATTCAACCACATTGTCCGAATTGACATCTGCTCCTTCAAGCCCATCGTGCTCCCTCGCTACTCCATCCAGGTGGAGGAGACGGACATCGACGACGTCCCCGAAAAGATGGAGACGGAGGAGTTTGAAGACGCTGCGGGGCAGGAGGTCTCTCTCCCGCCACTGCCCGGCACAACCCAAGAAGCACTGGAGCTGGAAGGCGCCCAGTGCGAGCCAGTCAACAAGCCCCCAACCCCACCCCTGCACAGGTTTCCTTCTTGGGTGAGTGTTCCTCCCAGTGTGATGGATGATGATGATGATGATGCTAGTAATAATAATAATCCTAGCATTTGATTTAGCTGGCCTACTCGAGGGGTTGAATGGCCTACTGTTCCTATAATTGACTGTGTATTTGGTGGGCAAAACGTGGCAGCCGATTGCGCACAGCAGTGTCCCACGAAGCAGTCGTGGATTAAGTGACCACATTGTTTTTTTTTGTCTAGTCTGTCTCATCGGGAGATGCGGCCTGAAGGTTTATAGGCTGGAAGCTAAGCAAAGGGATTCAGGTAGCAAAACGAATCTGCCGGCCATGAGCCAGGCTGGAATCTCTCAGAGTGGGTTGGATTATGTTGCTGGGCTTTTGTTACATTAGTAACTCTGACCTCACAGTTAATGTGCGTACAGTGTAGAATACTTACGGGCTTACGTCTGAAGACGGTTGGCAGGTTTATTCTTATCGCCAGAGTGCATTAAACAGAATTTACGACCAAGCACCTTCGACTCTGTGATGAGAGGCCCAGTGAGCAGCAGAGATGAACAGTCACCAAAACATGTCACATTTAAGTCCGTTACCCTTCCCAACGCGGTGCTGAACTACGGCCCTTAGCCCCGGACTTCGGTTCTGTACTCTGCAAAATAGGTTGTGCTCTGGGTCATGTGCCATTGATACTATTTGCAAGTAGTAAGAAACGATATTCAGCATTACCGACTACCAATAACTATAATAATCCTTGCATTTGATATTGCCTCATCACGTCTTCGAGACGTCTCAAAGCGCGTCACGGAATATACTGTAAAGTGATTTGACTGTATATTTTGTAGTTGAAATGTACAGTATTCAAAGGTGGGTATACGGGGTACAAAATGACAAGTTTCCTTACTCCACACGCCTCTGTTTACCTAGCAGTAAGTAGGAACCCGGTTGTTAGTCGATTGGCGGATCGCTTTTCCGGGGGTAATAATTCCTTCAAAAAAAGAATAATAAATTGGTCACTTCAATCCATAATTGTTTGAGGAACACTGCTGTGTGCAATTGTTTTCCGCGTTTCGCCCGCAAAATGTACAATCAATTCACTTTACAGTATATTTTGTGAAGTGCTTTGAGACATCTCGCAGATGTGATCAGGCGCTGTACCAAATGGAAGGATTATTATTTTATTATTATTGTCGACTGTGCACCAATTCCCCCATTAAAATAGCCTGGTTTACAATAGCCCCACCACAATGTGAAGCTGTAGTTTAGTGTGCGGAGATGTTTCAATAATAAGCCAGAACAAGATTTCTTAAGAAGCCAGATCAATCACTGCCTGTTGGCTGGATTAACAGTTCCTGTTGTTATCTTTCTAGGAAAGTCGAATTTACGCTGTGGCCAAGTCTGGGATGCGGATGTCAGAAGTTGCTTTGGGAACTAGCTCCCCCAACAGAAGTAAGTTAATTTCAGTCGAGAAATTGTTTTTGATCACCTCATGCAAAGCCACCACACTACGCAAGCATTCTGAGATAATAATAATTATCATTTGATATATATGTATATCATTTTATACATTGACTTATCACGTCTCAAAGCACTTCACAGAATATATTTTTCTTTAATGTGAAAGAACACACGCCTCTTGTTTATCTTGCAGTAAGTAGGAACCCGGTTGTTAGTAAATTGGTGGATTGCTTTCCAGGCATTATAATCCTTTTTAAAAAAAATTGTGGCCATTAATTTTTGTAGGACACTGCTGTGCGCAATTGGCTGCCAGATTTTTCCCCACAATATATACAGTCAATCCACTTAACAATACATTCTGTGAAGTGCTTTGAAACATCTCAACAACGTGGTATGGTGCTATATCAAATACAAGGATTATTATTGTTGTAACTACGTTTCCCATTCTCTTTGCCTTCAATGCTGATTTTCCAATAAATAACCTGTGAAAGCAGGCAGTGACGGGAGGCCAGTGAAAGCAGATCAATTATTCACCTTTCTTCGTGGTCAGGGACAGGCAATCCCTCACTATTCTAGTCTTTGCTCAAGATATAGATAAAATATTAACAAATAAACTTCTATTTCCTCGTGGTTTTAGTTTTGATGGCCTCCTTGGATGGCACTTGTTTTTCTGTTGTACAAACACCCAGCTAGTTAGCTCTAACGTAGTATTTTTGGAGATCGCATAATGAAGAATCTGAGTCGTGCATATTAGGGATTAGTTCAGGTACAGAGTTTATAGCTTAGCCATCAGCTAAATCAGGGTAACTTCACTCTTAACACAATCTACTTCCAACTTGGTCTTATGACGGTGTACAGAGCCTAGTGTCTGTGTGCAACAACAACAAGTTGCATTTATATAGCTCCTTTCAAGTCAGGAGGATGTCCCAAGGCGCTGGACAATGAGGGGTTTGCACCTGAGCTGCGGGTTGGGATCAGAGAGGGGTGGGAGGGCAAGAAGGGTGGAGGAGGGAAGATGACCGAAGGCACAGTCGAAAAGGAAGGTCATGAGATGGGAGTGACAGATGACTGTAGGCACAGTCGAATAGGAAGGTCTTCAGGCGTGACCTGAAGATGGGGAAGGAAGAGGCAAGGTGGAAGAATAGAGGCAGAGCATTCCAGAGTTTCAGTGCATAGCGGCTGGAAGCGCGGCCGCCAATGGTGGAACGGAGGGCATGAGGGACACGCAAACGGCCGGAGCCAGTTGAGCGGAGGTAGTGGGTTGAGGTCGGAGAGATAGAGCAGTGCATCAGGATGAACTGTAATTCTTACACAAAACCTATCTTGATGGATGTCTTCAAACGCTTCAATAAAATGTAGTGCCTGAGCAAGGTTGGAAGGAGGGGAGCGGGTGGAAGGATGTTGACCGAAGGCGCAATTGAAGAGGCTTTTTTTTACAAAAGTTTCAACAGCAGAGAGGCCGAGGCCTAGAGCTACCTTTAGAAACTGAGCCAGAACTTACCCACCAAGTCTTAAACCTGGGTCTCTGAAGCGCTTGTTCAGTTCCTGAGAATGGCTTTTCCCACTCCCATGGAACCTGAAAAATGTGAGGGATTTCAGCTGAATTCATCGTTGACACGTTACGTGTTTGAGTTAGTGGTTGAGAAGCCAGATGGTGTGACCTTGCCTTGAGTTCTTGTCCCTGAGCTAGCATGGCTTAGAGCTACTGCCCCCTTCCACCAGCCACGTGCCTGTTTGAAATGCGGATGGAATAAAGCTGCCCTTGCCTCACTGGGTGGAAAGGGAGTCGATTCCAGACATTCTAGGAAGGTTGTATCAACTTTCTCTTTTCGAGTTGTGCCATGGGTTCTAACGTTCACCTGAACAGGTAGCAGGACCTTAGTTTAGCATTTTATTCATGGGATGGCACCTCTTGGAGTGGAGTCCTGTAGCTCAGTGGTTAGAGCACTCGCTTTGCAAGCGAGAGACCTGAGTTCAATCCCAGGCAGGTCAGGGCGAAACCTTGGGCAAGTTTCCTTACTCCACACTCCTAATAATAATCCCTCCAAAACCAAAAACAATAATAAATTGGTCATTTTCAATCTACGACTGTTTGTGGGACATTGCTATGCGCAATTGGCTGTCGTGTTCGCCCACAAATGTACAGACAATTCACTTTACAGTGTATTCTGTGAAGCGCTTTGGGACGTCCTCCCGACGTGAAAAGCGCTATATCAAATGCAAGGATTATTATTATTATTATTGACAACGCAGTGCTCCCACAGTACTGCACTGGAATGCCAGCCTAGATTATTAGTGTAATAGTTATCAGAATATCAGTGTGGAAGGTCCAAGCCTCAATCCCTGGTGATTCTGGCCAAGCTGTGGTTGGAGTGTCACACGTGGCTTCACCATCCCTGAGCTAGAGACCAGTTTATCGTTCTCCGGAGATCCCTGCTATGACGTTCTCACCCTCAGAAATTGGTGAGGACAGAATCAGGCTCAGCTGTGATACCCTCAGTGACTGACCAACCTGTGATTAATGGAGCTTCCAACTATTTTCTGTCTCATTCACAGTGTCTACCTTGTCTCCGAATACACCGTCTGGTCCATTCACTCACCTTATCTACAAAAATGTGACTGTCCCAGTATATACCACTTTGAAAGGGGTAAGTACCCTCTCTTTCTCTCTCTCTTTCTCTCTCTCTCACACACTCTCTCCCTCTCTCTATCTCCTCTCTCCCCCTCTCTGTCTGCCTTTGGTCAACTGAGTGTCAGACACAAGTGGAAACCCATCCCAACCAAACTAAGAATTCCAAGTACCCACCTACACATGGAAATCTCAGAGATAGATTGCTGGGTTGGAATGCGCTCTCTCTCCCTGGAGGGACGCATCCTGCTTATCTAATTGCGGAAAGTATTAGACACAGATTGGCCAGAGCCAAGGCTTGGGGACCCCCAGAGTGTGCGTGGGGGTAACTGCTGGGAGTCTAACCAGCTAAAACCGAATAGCTTCCATTGATATCATTGTCCGGCAAGCTTTCCCGCTGCTTATCTAGCCAGGAGCACCTGACTGAGCTGAGTGAGAAGACTCCTTGCCCCCAGAGACTGTTCTGCCCTTCCAAGTCCTGCCAATGAGCCAGACTGGCTGTGCTGTCATCAGCAGTGAAATGCCTCGGGCCTGAAAGGCCAGCAGTTTGAATCTTAAAGCCATTGTCTTTACATTTAAGACTCTGCAGCATTTTAGAGATTAATGGTTAGTTAAGACTGGGGGAGATTAATTAGTTAGAGATCATGTGGGGGGAGAGGGTAATGAGGGTTAATATTTAGGTAGAGATGGATTGGGGCAGTGGAGGTGGTGGGTGGGTGGGTGGATGGGGGGGAGAAAGTGATTGATGTTCTTTGTCTTTTGTTCTTGAGTTTCTATAGCTGCAATTGTGCAGAGGTATTTAAAAACAAATCAGACTTAATTCATTTCGTAATGGTTTTATCTGTGTCGAGGCAGCTTTACTCTGCACTAGTCTGTGCTTTCCCTGATCTGGATTGCTGGATTGGACAATGTGGAGGGGGTTTGCTCTGTGTGTAACCCATGCTGGATGTTGCTAATTTTGCCTGTCCTCATCAAGGATGTTTCACTTCAGTAGAAATCAGTTTCACCAAACTTGTGTAAGAGTGTCGAACAGAATTTATATCTGTGGAGTCCTGTCGCGTATAGGGTAGAGCACTCCCGTCGCAAGCGAGAGGACCCAGGTTCGATCCCCGGGTGGGGCGAAAACTTAGGCAAGTTTCATTACTTCACACAACTGTTTACCTAGCAGTAAATAGGAACGCGGTTGTTGGTTGATCGCTGATCGCTTTCCAGGGGTAATAATCCCTTTAGAAAAGAAACTGGTCACTCAATCCACATCTGTTTGTGGGACAATCCTGGGCGCAAATTTGGCTTCTGCATTTCACAAAATATATAACCTTTACAGTATATTATGTGAAGCGCTTTGGGACATCTCAACAAATATTATTATTATTATCATCATCATCTCCTCACTGGAGCGAAGTATTGTGTGGGATGTGATGTTTCCCAGGAATAGTGGAAATTGAACTGGGTTAATGTACGTTTCAGAGGGTGTGGCTGCTGAGAGGCTTGGTGTTACGGGATGTAACTCGGGATCGAACACCCTCTCAGCTCCAATAACAATGAAGGAATTTTTGGCAGCCAGGAACCAACAGCGAAGAAAACAATACAAAAAAGGGACTTCAAACATTTGATCAGTGCTTTTCTTCGTCTCTCCTGCTCTGTCAGAAAGCTACGCAAATCAGCAACGTTCCTTTTCCCGATGAATCTTCGGGCTCGGACGATGACAGCAGTTCCCAAGCCAGCTTCCGAACTTCCACCGTGGGATCGGAGTCCAGGAAAACCAGCGGTCCCGGGAGCCCTCGCGCCGTGAAGAGAGGTAATGGGAATAGAGCGAGGAGCCTGATCACCACAGCACAGGCTGCTCAGTGTGTGTCTCGAGCAACAGGCTGGGCATTGAAAGGATCAACCCGTGCCTCACTGTAGGAGAGGATTGTAAACACAGATTGTGAAATGCGAGGTTCCCAATTGCTGTTTATCTATCATGTGTACTCCGTGTTGGATGGGGTCGTGTAAAGGGAGCTCTGCTCTGTATCTAACCCGCACTATACCTGAGCTGTGAGTATTTCATCCAGCACGCCTGACCCTCTGGAACTGCTTGCCTCAATCCCTCAACCGGTAGTCCCCTTCACGCAAGGCAGTGCAAGGCACCCAAGTCTCTTCACGCTAGCCAGCGACTCGGAGAGCTTAACAGTGGCGGAGCCTGACACCGAGCTAAGGGGAGGGAGAAGGTGACCATAAGCACAGTCGAAGAGGAAGGTCTTCAATCATAATCTAAAAGGGGAAGGAGAGGGCAAATTGGAGGGATTGAGGGAAAGAGTTCCAAAGCTTCTGGGTGTAGTGGCTGAAAGCACGGCTACCAATGATGGAGGGGATAAGGGACAAGCAGGAGGCCAAAACCTTTATAGAGTGGGTTAGATTCACATTACCCCATCAAACCCTCCCATCTCAGGTACAGGTAAATCAGTTCCCATTTCAGTCTCGTTCTCCTGAATGCAGTCATTGTGATGTTCCTCAGTACGCTGCCCACATGGGTTACTCTGCACTGTTAACCCCTTCCTCCAGTCTTTCAGCCTCGTGTGACTGGCGATTGTTGGAATTATTTGTAAAGGAGATGACAACAGACTTTGCCTTTCCTCCAACAGGAGTTTCCATGTCATCCATCAGCTCAGAGAGCGACTATGCCATCCCACCCGATGCCTGCTCGGTGGACAGTGATTACTCAGAGCCAGAGCACAAGCTGCTTCGAACGTGCTCCGTCTACTCGATGGAGAGCCTCTGCAATGTACGTCTTACTCTTAACATTTATTAACACTGGAGTCTCGTAGAGTAGTGGTTAGTGCACTCACCTTGCGAGCGAGATGACCCGGGTTCGATTCCCAGGCTGGATGAAACCTCAGGCAAGTTTCCTTACTTCACACGCCTCTGTTTACCTAGCAGTTCCCGAAAATCTTCTGATCCGGTGCACAGCCAGCTGAGCCACGCTTCCACACTTATGCTATAATAATAATAAATAATAATAATCCTTGCATTTGAATATAGCGCTTTTCACGTCTTCTCGACGTCTCAAAGAGCTTCACAGAATAGACTGTAAAGTGAATTGATATGCCATATGAGTTTAGAAGTTATTACGTTAACCTCTATACTGAACGACCTAACTATAAAGATTGTCACCTTCTACGTATCTGTGATGTGTCAGTTCTGTGCTGGAACAGGACAATGAGAACAAGTTGAGTTTTAGCCTTCCTCCTTTATTCCAGTCTCAAACCAAAGTTGCGTATTAGAGCCTTGTATGGCAACACTGTTTTGTGCTGCTGTCTCCTCTGTGCCCATTGCCAGACCAAGGTTGTGTAAGGTGGCTTGTTAATGGTGTGGTGGTACTGTTTTCAGGAGCCTTTGGAGAAGTCGGGGTACTTGCTGAAAATGGGGGGGCAGGTGAAGACTTGGAAGAGACGGTGGTTTGTCCTGAGAAATGGCGAGATCATGTATTACAAGTCTCCGGTGAGTGGCCAAGAAGGTAATGGTGTAATTGGATTGCCTTGAGCAGTGGCTCAGTGGGTTTTCAGCCACTGTGCTGGGTTTTATAACCTGGGAGTGCTGGATGGACAGTGTAGAGGGAGCTTTACTCTGTATCTAACCCGTGCTCTAACTGACCTGGGAGTGCTGGATGGACTCTGGCTATTAAGTGTACAAAGTATTCCGTTTTCCAGTATTAGATCCCATACTCAATTTGCCCAGAAGATCAAAAGAAATTATCTCCTGTTTGTTGAAGGCTGAACGAATGCCTCCTGCCAACGCCTGAAATCATTACCGTCGGAATCAGTAGAGAAGACAAGTTCATAACAAACACAATCATAGTATTTTACTTTTCAACTTAAACCTATTTTCCTTTTCCTGTGAAGAAGGGTTGCCTTGGGCTATTGAAGTTAGGATACAAGCCTGTCTTTGTTAACTCGCTCTCACCCCCAGCCAGCCTCCTAAAAGCAGCTGTTTCTCAGCTGTCCTCATTGCCTGGCGGTTTCCATGTGTCAGTCTGTCAGACTGAAACGTTAGGGGAGTACGTGCTGGCTCGGTGGGTAAATGCATTGCCTGGAGTAGTACTGAGGCACGCAGTGCAAGAGGACTCAGGCAGGGTTCACTCCCTGGTCTGTGCTGAGTTACCTAACCTCAGGACAGTGTGAGAGAAGCTGTAATCAACCTCAATACCCCCAGGCCAGAGAGTGCAACACTATTAGCCAAAATGTGCTTCGGATCACTATCTAGTGACCACACACACACACACACTGGAACGTACAGGGTTTGTAATCACCTCCAGCCTGTTACACTCCCATGTCCACAAAGTCCTGTTACCCCATGTTTTGTTCTTACAGTGCACTGACCTACAATTGAAACATGTGGAAGAATGATGATCATTGCATTTAGAAGCACTTCATTGTATTCAGTTCAAGTGTTCCACTGTATTTAGACGTCCAGAGGATCGGTGTGTGTGTGAGTGAGTGCCATCATTTTCATGGCAGATAATAATCCGTCGCCATGTTTGTGCCACATCTTCCGTAACGTGGATAGGGTGAGGAGGGAGAAATTCATCTCTGACAAGACTGTTTCAGCTCCTCCGTAATCTCGTATCGCTGTTTTGTAACAGGACTTTGTGGACACCCTGTAGATTGACACTGAAACATGGCCACTGAGGTAAGGGTGTCCCTCCCCCCAGCACTCCGTGACTTCAGTCAAGCGAAAAGGGAATAACACTGCACAGTTAACAACTGGAGTAACCGAACTTGAGGCCAACAAGAGGAGCTTAATTGTGAATGTTGTGTGCTTGTTTACCAGAGTGATGTCATCCGCAAGCCCCAGGGGCAGATTGAGCTCAACTCCTGCTGCCGGATCATCCGTGCGGAGGGAGCACAAACCTTCCAGGTCGGCACCTCCCTCTCTATCTATAATAACTTAAAATCAGAGGCCAGCCCTTTCGCACTGAGTTGAGGAAGAACTTCTTCCCTCAAAGGGTGGTGAATGTATGGAACTCACTACCCCAAAGGGCTGTTGACGCTCAGTCCTTGAACATATTCAAGACTGAGATAGATAGATTTCTTATTGCAAAAGGGATTAAGGGATATGGGGATAAGGCAGGTTTAAGATAGCTGGAGTTAGATAAGAAGATCAGCCATGATTGAATGGCGGGGCAGGCTCGGAGGGCCGAATGGCCTACTCCTGCTCCTACATGTTATGTTATGTTAACTTGTCGTCTGCGAAAAGTGGCTATAACTCCATGTTTAAAAATTCATTCACTCACGAGACAGGGATCTACAACTCCAGGGAACATAGTCCATAAAGTGTAGCGTGAAGGATTTCCAGCAAAGCTCTGGGCTTGGCTCACTTAGCAGGATCTCAGGGTCATAAGGTTATGCATTCAAGCCCATGTTGGGACTTGATCTCACAGTCTACACTGACAGTTCAGTACTGTACTGGGGGAGCACCGCATTGTCAGATACTGTTCTTTGGATGAGATGTTAAATTGAAGTCCAATCTGCCTGTCTTCAGCTGGACATGAAATGTCACAAGCGATTGTTCAAATAGAGAAAGGAGTTTCTGCTGGAGACCTGACCCTCGGGTTAATTAGTCATTCACCTCATGGCTGTTCATGGGACATTGCTACGTGCAAATGGCTCGCCTATAAAACAATGCTCATTACATTTGGCATTGATTGCTGTACACTTTTATGACATTACATCTGCTGTAAAAACACAAGTTCTGGGTTTCCCATGTGTAAAATCAAAGCCGACTGATAATTTGGACAGCACTGTATTGAGTCTTTCCATCCTCCTCAGTGTGATGGATTGAGCTGTAAGGCACTGATTTGCGATGCCCTGAAGTTCTTCTAATGAAGTGTCTCCAGACTAATCTCAGGATTATTGTTTCAATGATATCCTGTAACATCTGGTCAGTGATCTTCTGTAACCTTTAGGCTGCAAGATAACCAGCCTCATGATCCTTGTGTCTCCTGCAGCTCATCACTGAGAAAAGGACCTACTACCTGACTGCCGACTCTCCCAATATCCTGGAGGAATGGATCCGAGTGCTACAGAGCATCCTGAAGGTGCAAGCGGCCAGTCCCATCCTCACCCAGATTGATGCAAAACCATCTGTCAAGGGCTGGCTGACTAAGGTGAGAGCCCAGTGTGGACACAGGAGGGCTTAGACTTTGGAGCATGTCCAGCTCTTGGTTTGGAAAGAACACAAAACCCATCTGACACCATGTTAAACAGATAACCAAGGAGTAAATCATTCAAATCATTCAAAACTCTGCCGCCCGCATTCTTACCTGCACAAAACTCCGCTCCCCGATCACCCCAGTCCTTGCCAGACTGCACTGGCTTCCTTACTCCCTTCATCTCGCTCCCCCCTTCCTATTTTTAGGTCTCTGCTGAAGATCTTTCTTTTCGACCGCGCCTTTGGCCACCTTCCCTCCCCACCAGCTCGGATCCGGGATCCGTTACTGTAAAGAGCTCTGAGACACCGTCCGTCGTGAAGGGCGCTATATAAATCCAAGTTGTTGCAAGAGTTGCATTGATTCTGTACCTTGGTGCTCAAAGCAGATCTCCGTCATTTGTGTGTTGGTTGGCAAATCTGGCAGCCAATTTGCATATAACAACAAGTTGCATTTATATCCTGCCTTTCACATCAGGAGGACGTCCCAAAGTTCTTAACCTGTACTCTCTGGGCACTTAAACTGGGGATGGGGATGGGAGGTTTGCTATTTTATGATTTTAATCAATCAAAATCGGAATTTGTCAAGATTTCCAATTGCCTTCACCTCAAGGAAAATTAATTCCCATCATTAATCATTCCAGGTCATAAGATGGCCACAGATGATACTTGCAAGTTGCTGTCCCTGTGCGTTAAGCGCAGGAAGCATCTCCGAAGTCAGTAAGTTTTTAATGCTTAAAAAAATTGAAACCCAGGAACCCTATTCAGAAAGCACACTTGGATTGCCAGATGTTCCTTCTGCACCAGCTTGACAGAACAGCTGTCTCTTTGCTGCCGGTACAGTGGGAGGTGGTTCATTAAGCTGTTTAAAGTCCTAGCCAAGCATTATAACCCAGCTCTGTTTCAAAGAGAACATTTTAACGAAAACCAATGATGTCATTTGAATTTCGACCAAACCAGAAAAATCTCCCAAATCCCCTCCCTGCCCTCTGAGCTGAACCACTCCCGACTTATTTTTGCACTGCTTCTCTTGGCCATAGTGTTTTCCAGACTATGTTATTATCTGAAACTCTGTTGTACACAGAACTTCAGGGGACTGAAATCCTCTTTAGTGTTAGCCAGAAGACAGACCGTTGTCTTAAACTTTAGGATCACGTGGAATTTTTGAAAATTCTTCAATTTGGATTGAATTTGGACACCACTTTCCTGCAGTCCGTAAAACCCGCTTCAAAATTAAGATGGAATTTTCAAATCTTCTGCATGATAGAAAATAATAATTTGGTTACTCAATCCACGATGGTTTGTGGGACACTGCTGTGTGCAATTGGCTGCCGCATTTTTCCCACAAAATATACAGTCAATTCACTTAAAGGTATATGCTGTGAAACGCTTTGAGACGTCTCAACAAAGTGATAAGGTGCTTTATCAATTGCAAGGTTTATTATTATCCGAAGTTTCAAGACCATGAAAATGAACGTAATTTTTATAGCACATTATCGCAACGCTACATTTCAAAGCACTTTACAGTAGTTGCTGTCGAGTGTAGTGACTTGTTTTTGTTGGTAAACTCAGCAACGATTTTCCGCTGTTCTGGTGGCACAAACAGTCAGCGGGTGAATGAGAGATTTAAGTGCCGGATTGTTAGCCAGGATACCGGGAGCATCTCCCTTCTCTTTTTGCCATCTTTAACAAGCAGACTGGTTTAAAGTGTTGTCTGAAAGATAGCACCTCTGACAATGCAGCACTCTCCTTTACTGCCCTGCAGTGTCAGGTTAAACTATGAGCTAAGTTCTGATGAGGGGTTGAATCTACCAATGAGGGGTTGAATCTACTTAGGATGCAGAGTCCTAAGTTCTGTCATCAGAGCCAAGTGGACATCTAGGGTCTTAAAATTCAGCTCAAGAGGCTCTGTACAAAATCTCATTTGTTGTTGCTGTTCAGGTGGAGTCTGAGTCAGCAGAATCTCAGTGACTCCAGCTATTCTCATCAGGGGCAGTTCCAGATAAGGCTGCTTTGCAGTTGTCACCAGTTAGCCTCTTGTGTCACCTCGCTGTGTAAAAAAAACCTTAAACTGCGCTGTTTTGTCCAGTATTGTAGAATCACTTGTTTGAGATTGTTTTGTTTTGAGGAATGCAAAAGATAAAAAAAAAAATCGATGGCTTTCTGAAACCGAGGAATGAATGAATGTGCAGGCCAAGCAACGAGCCATTAACATGGTTTAGCCTTGTCCCATGTTTGTTCTTGCAGTGAAATAGCCTATTAAATTCCCTGTCCTATTGATTTTGCAGCATGAGTAATAAAATGCTCAGGTTCCTTGATCAGCACCGCTTTAAAGGTGAGCTCTTTGTTTTCTCTGTGATGTGTCATCGACAAGATCCCAAAAGGTCAAGTCAACCCCATGGAGTTTATCCAAGCTCTGGCTCGGGGATGATTGATTGCGGGTCACCTTTGGTGTGAAATTTATTCTGTTCCAGAAACAATGTCCCTGTGAGAGAGTTGAAAGAGAGAGAGAGGGGGGTAGGGAGGAAGGAAAGGGAGCGAGGCCACCTAATCTGGGATCAGCTTGGTTCAGTTGATAGCACTCTCCTAAACCAGAAAGTTCCGGGTTCAAGCACCACATTTGGGTCTTTGAGCTCACAGTGGAGGCTAACCCTTCATTGCGATGCTGTGGGTAGCACTCGGACTCACGCTTCCAAGTCAGAAAGTCGGAGGTGCCGTCCTTCAGATAAAACTTTAAACTGAGATCCCATCTGCCTGTTCAGGCGGATGTTAAAGATCCTCGGCTCCGCTTGAGAAGCAAAGGGAGCTTCTCCCGGTATCTTGGGTAACGTTCTCCCCCCCCCCCCGGATAAAATTGGTCACTTCACTTCACGGCTGTTTATAGGGCACCACTGTGCCCAAACTACAGAACACACAGTTACTGCACTCCACAGTGGATCCTGTGCAGTACCTTGAGACTTCTTGATGACGTGAAAGACGCTGCATCATATGCAAAAATTATTATTTATGAATTAATGCTAAAACAAATTCCTCTGTCGACCTAGCAATAAGTAGGAACCCCCGGTTGTAAGTATATTCTGTGAGGTGCTTTGCGACATCTTGAAACCATGATAAAATGCTATATGTAATGCAAGGCTTATTAATTATAAATTACTGCTAAATTGGTTGTAGCCCTTACGTGGGGCATCGCGAGTCAATATATAACACTGGCACGCCGGGAACCCACAGTAAGTGACAAGATCAGCGGCAATGTCATCAGATCCCATGAGTGCTGTGTTGTGGCTGCTCTATAAACGCTGTCTCATTTCATGGATCCGACCTCCCACATTACAACAGGTCCAGTAATGAAGGTTTGGCTGCAGCCCTCAGGTTCAGGTGAGATGCTTGTGCTTTATAAGCAGAGCTTTAATCTGACCATCCTCCTCCTTGTATGTTCCAGGTGAAGCACGGCTACTCCAAGCTTGTCTGGTGCGCTCTGATAGGAAAGATGTTCTACTACTTTCGAAATCAGGAAGACAAGGTATTTAATGATGCTCAGACCCAGAGACTGACTGAAGCAAGATAACAAGTATCTCTATCTGTGGTGACATTGATCCTGATGGTATCTACAGTTGGTGCCTCTAGTCTGCCTCGGTGCTTGTGCTCTCTCCTGACCAGTGTGGCTAGATTCAGTGAATGCATTTACTGATCGATGCTGGAGAGGATACATTTGGAGAAGAAAAACTGACCCCTATTAAATATGCAGGCTTCAGAAGGTAGCACTCTTGCCTCCCAAGTCACAAGGTTGTGGGTTCAAACCACACTCCAGTGCAATGCTAGGAGAGTCCTTAATTTGTTGGCAGGTACCATTCTTTGGATGAGACATTAAAACAAGATGCTGTCGGCCTGTTCAGATGGACAGGCACCGTTTATTAAATGTCTGGCTCACAAATTGCCGTCTAAAACTCTTCCATATCCACCAAACCACAGGTTGGGTGGCTGCTCGCTGCTAAAGGAGATTCGTCCATTGTTACCATTGCCATCCAGTCTCCTACAGTGTGTCATGTTCTTGGTTAGCAGTCGATCCTGTCAAGCACTTTGAGACGTCCTCCTGAAGTGAAAGGCACTGTACCAAATATTAAACTGGACTCTGCTGTGCAATTGGCTGCCGCGTTTCACCCACAAAATACAGAGTCAATCCACTTTACAATATATCCCATGAAGCATGTTGAGACGTGATAAGGCGCCATGTCAAATTAAAGGATATATTATTTGTTATTCACGTCCAGTATACATAGCTCGTTCCCTGATGTTCTTGGCTTATCTTCCAGTTTCCCCTGGGGCAGCTGAAGGTGCGAGGAGCTAAGGTTGACGAGGTGGATCGTTCCTGTGACTCAGACGAGGATTACGAGGCGGGAGGGCGAGGCTTCCTCTCCTCACACTACACTGTGGTCATGCACCCGAAGGATCAGAGCCCAACCTACCTGCTTATAGGCACGAAACAGGAGAAGGTAAGCGAGCATTTAACAATAGCAACAACAGCTTGTGTTCATTGGAGCAATGGTGACAACGCTGCGATTCAATGATCAGGGAACGAGAGGGCACAAACTTTAGTTCCTTTTCTCATCTAAAGGGAAGTTCGAAAAAAATGCCTTTCCACCTCGTGTGGTTGCAATGTGGATTTCCCTGCCACAACCCGTAGCTAAAGCAGAGCCCATCAATTCTCTTTAAATGTGAAAACGAGGAATATTTAAAGGGTTTGTGGCTTGAGCAAGAGTTATGAAAGGTTGTATCAGACGTTCTCGTGTAGAGACTGCCCTGGCACAGATTTGATGGACAAATGGCCTGTTTCAGGGCTGTAACGGTTGATGGTGGGTCTGTCTATACGATGATTGATGGTCCACTGTGTTGGGCCCACAGGACACCTGGCTGTATCACCTCACGGCAGCGGCTGGAAGCGCTCATTCCAGAGTTGGCACAGAGTATGAGCAGCTGATTGGAAACCTGCTGGATATGGACGGGGAGTCGAGTGAGTACGATGACAACAACTTGCATTTATATAGCACCCTTCACGTGGGGTAGTGTCCGACGGACAGGCATCAGCACTAACAGGAGGTGGTGGATATGCGAGCCGGGTGCAATTGCCAATGGAGGTGATTTTCTCGCATTCTGTGCCTGCAGTGCAAGTAAAGACAGTATTTTTACTGAATTGCCCTCTACTCTTCCTACAGAGCCTAAACCTGGCTACCCACCAATTACGATCTCACATTCAGTTTCTTCTCAAAACCACTTAGATTACGGATTACGTTGCACTCCTTGTATTAATCACCCCCGAACCTCCGCTCCCCTACCCCTCCATTACTTCCGCATTTACCCACTGCCTCTCCACAAGTGGATCAGAGCTATAATCGTTGCATTTGCTCAACAGTGTTTTTCACATCGTGATGTCATCCCAATCTGCAAAGTGAAGTGGTGATTGTATTTTGTAGTTTCATAGGGTCAACACGATGTCACATCCTTCCCTTGGTGAATGGGGCCGTGTGTTACTATATATCACTTTAATTATTTGTTTTAACTATATATTAACTCACATACTTAAACAAACCCCATATATTAGAGCTCAATAAGTACAGGGTGACCAAAAAGTTGTGATGCCATTACGACGTCTAATAAGTATTAAAAGAAATGATGATTTTTTTTTAGGGTAGCTGAAAAATAAGACTTTTTTGGGTAAGGTCACCCTGCATAAGGTTCGGCTGGAAGCCGTGCTGACTGACATGCTTTGCTGATTACAGATTCCCCTCTCTGGAAGCACCCCACTCTGTGTTACAGTAAGGACAGCATCCTGAACGCACTCACTACCCTGCCCTCCGAGGCCCTGCAAACTGAGGCTCTCAAACTCTTCAAGGTAAGAATGAGACTTTCCTCCTTCAGTCAGTTGCCGTTAAGAAACTACATTAGCTCAAAAGCTATTGGAGTTGATTTCCTCTCTCCTGGAGTCGGTGGTTCTTGCTGGGAGTCTGTTACACAGATCTTGTGTTGTTACAAAGTAAGAGTTTTGTCGGTCAGTCTGATTGAATTAGTGGTGCAGTGTCGTGCAGTGTAGCGGGCAGTAATTTGGCTGATGTACTTACACCGCTATCGATCGTTTCTGTGCCCACAGTCCTGCCAACTCTTTATCAACGTGCTGGTCGAGATGCCTTCCATCGACTACCACGTGTCCTTGGCACAGAACGCACTGCAGGTTTGCTTGACCCACACCGAGCTCCAGAACGAGGTTTACTGTCAATTCATCAAACAGACCAGCCACAGGCAGCCCCACAACTTCTCTCTCATCCAGGTGAGGGGTCTGCAGACTCACTCCCTGCAATGTGATCCATGGCGGATTCAGTACGTACCAAGGTCATGGAGATAAGATGGGAGTGGAATGGATGGAATGTTTCTTCATTGACTGAATGGAAGAAATATTCTCCTTGTGTCCTTTAAACCCCAGGAATCTGGGTTAATTTCCTGCCAAGATTGAAATGTTCTCTTCCGTCTCTTCCATGTGAAATCAGTTCTGAACATTTCATTCCGGTTCCTTTTTTAATCGAGTCCGCAGTATTGAGTGGCCAATAATTACTAGCCTGTGTCTAAACCTAAACTGTGAGTGCTGAATAGACAGTGTAGAGGGAGCTTTACCCTGTATCTGACCCGTTACATCTGGTGTTGACTCCTGGTGGCTCCACTCAAGTCTGTCACGCTTTCGTGTTAAGTAAGAAGAATTCCGGGTCGTAAAATAATCCTTCTTGAGGTAGAGAGTGGTGTCATTGGGAATGGTTGTTGGTGATGATGAGGGAGTGGGGGGAGAGGCAGGAATGATAGTGTGTGTGTGTGTGATAATCAGTCTGGCTCATCAGTGAATCTTGGTACTCGAGATGTAGACATAATCACTCAAACGCGTGTAACCCATTTGACTTGAGAAGTCCTCCCAACGTGAAAGGCGCTACACAAATGTACATTTGTATTGTATTTTCATTGTGGTTTGTTGCTCTTTCCCCAGTGCTGGCAGCTTCTGGCCCTATGCGTTGCTTTATTTCTTCCCCAGCATCACTTCTTGTGGTACCTCAAGCTTCACCTCCAGCGACACGCAGATTCCAGGTAAGACCGGAGCCTGAGCTCCGTACTCAATCCATGACAGAGATTGCGATAGGACCATATCATATGATGGGATAGTAATAAACAACTGCTTATCCGAACGCATCATTCCAGTGACCTATGTTTTCCTCCCACCCGCCCCTAACCATTTCTTCCCCTCTCCCCATTTGTGCCATGGCTCATTGGCCACCCATTTGGCTTCAGAGCAAAAGCTAGAAGAGTTCAGTGCCCCACTCTATACCCGCTGTACTGATCCCTCTAACACAACGCTGGCCAAACTACGACCCACAGGCCGATTACAGCCCGTTGTGCTGTGACGATGTGCCACCCTTCCACCACCACCATCAAACATTAACACCATCGAACATTCACACTAGTCTAGGTAAGTCTGTGTTCGATCAGCTGTGTGTTTCCACGTTTTTCCTGATGGAATATTTCTCGATTATGGCATAAACCGAGAAATATTCAACCTTAAAAACATTTATGTTTGTTGGCCGACTGACAATGGATTGGCCATCACTGCTCTGTAACACGTCTACACCGGTATTAAATAAACTCCACGAAAGACTGGAGCACACCATCCAGGAATGTCGATAGAAAAATAATCTTAAATCTACAACAAAAGAAGTCTGTCTGCATGCGTTAACCATCACGGGACTCTCTCCCTCCTCCGTCACCAGGACCGAGATCGGAAAGTACGCCATTTACTGTCAGAGGTCAGTGGAGCGGACTCTGCGCAATGGGGACCGCGAGGCCAAGCCGTCCCGCATGGAGATCATGTCAATCCTGCTGAGGAACCCCTACCACCATTCCCTGCCGTTCAGCATCCCCGTCCACTTCATGAATGGCACCTACCAGGTTAGTGTGGAGTCCTGTAGCGTAGTGGTCAGCGCGCTCGCTTCACAAGCGAGAGGAGCCGGACGGGGCAAAACCTTAGGCAAGTTTGCCTACTCCGCACACCTCTGTTTATCTAGCAGTAAATAGGACTATTATTATTATTATTAGTCGATTGGCGGGTCACTTTCCAGGAGTAATAATCCCTCAACAAGAAGAAGAAAATGGTCACTCAGTCCACTGTTTGCGGGACTCTGCTGTGTGCAACTGGCTGTCAAAATTTAGCCACAAGACGCACAGCGATTCCAAGTTACAAAATATTCTGTGAAGCGCTTTGTGATCAGGTGCGATTTCAAATGCAAGGATTATGATTATTATAATATTATTATTATTACTACAATAGTCATGAAGTGAATGACCAGTTTTATTTGAGGGATTGTTGGCCAGGAGACTGTGAGAAATTCCCTTGATGTTTTCAGTTGTGCCATGGGATCTTTAAAGTCCAGATGGGACCTTGTTTAACGTCTCATCCAAAGGACGGTAGTTCAAAGTCCCAACGTGGGGCTTGAATCCACAACCTTCTGACACTGAGGTGAGGGCTAACTGAGCCACGCAGGGTAAATCACTGCTCTGGTGTGTGTTATTCAGGTGGTGGGGTTTGATGGTGCTACGACTGTCGACGAGTTCCTGCAAACTCTCAACCAGGAGATGGGGATGAGAAAACCTTCACACTCAGGATTCGCACTCTTCACAGACGATCCTTCTGGCAAGGATCTGGAACATTGTCTACAGGGCCACGTAAAGGTGAGGCTGATATACCCTCACTGTAACTGTTATACCCTCACTCCCCTCACTGTAACTGTTATACCCTCACTCCCCTCACTGTAACTGTTATACCCTCACTCCCCTCACTGTAACTGTTATACCCTCACTCCCCTCACTGTAACTGTTATACCCTCACTCCCCTCACTGTAACTGGTATACCCTCACTCCCCTCACTGTAACTGTTATACCCTCATTCCCCTCACTGTAACTGGTATACCCTCACTCCCCTCACTGTAACTGTTGTACCCTCACTCCCCTCACTGTAACTGTTGTACCCTCACTCCCCTCACTGTAACTGTTGTACCCTCACTCCCCTCACTGTAACTGTTGTACCCTCACTCCCCTCACTGTAACTGTTATACCTCACTCCCCTCTCTGTAACTGTTATACCCTCACTCCCCTCACTGTAACTGTTATACCCTCACTCCCCTCACTGTAACTGTTGTACCCTCACTCCCCTCACTGTAACTGTTATACCCTCACTCCCCTCTCTGTAACTGTTATACCCTCACTCCCCTCACTGTAACTGTTATACCCTCACTCCCCTCACTGTAACTGTTGTACCCTCACTCCCCTCACTGTAACTGTTATACCCTCACTCCCCTCACTGTAACTGTTATACCCTCACTCCCCTCACTGTAACTGTTATACCCTCACCCCCCTCTGTTATACCCTCTCGCTATACCTCGCTACTCTCCCCGATAGACTGCAAACTGTCTCTTGTGCACTTGAACAACATGAGCTTATAGCCCATTACTGCCCTGGTACATTGGACGAGGGGGGATGCAGCGTGAGCATGAACAGGGAGGGCTGGAAGTGTTCTGTGATTAATGTCTTTTTTTTGGCCCCTGATTTTGGCAGATTTGTGACGTGATCTCGAAGTGGGAGCAGGCCTTGAAAGAGGTGCACCTTGGGAAGTATGAAGGCAACCGGATTGTCCGTCTAATCTACAAAAGCAGGTTCGCATCTGCCCTTCACTGGGCATCACCCTGACAGGCTGCCCTCGCCCTGTCCATCCACAGTCCCTGAGCCCACACCGGTCACTGAGCTGGCTCTCTGATGGCAGCACCGCCAGCCTGGCTCATCGGCAAGACTCTGAAGGGCAGACCAGTCACTGAGGGCAGGAAGTCATCCCCACTCAGCTCCTGTTAACCCTGCAAGCCAAAGCCCTAATGGGTAGTGTGGTCCAAGCTGGACAAGCAACAGGAACGCTTGCCAGACAGCGTTATCAATGGCAAACTCAGCGGTTTTAGCTGCTTAGACTCCCAGCAGTTTCTCCAAAGCGCACATTAGGCTCCCCAACCCCAAGCCTTGGCTCTTGCCAACCTGCGCCTAATACTTTCCAGAATTAGGTAAGCAGGATGTGTCCCTCCAGGGAGAGTGCGCATTCCATTCCAACAATCTAGAGGGGGGCACTTACCCCTTTCAAAGCGGTGTATACTGCGACAGCCACATTTTTGTACCTTTCCCTTTTCCCTCTGCCATTCGCTAAGTTTCCCTGATCAGAATCCGACCGACCAGCCTCCAGCCTGTTATCCTTTATGAAGTGAGCTGTTTCCCCCGGTAAATAATGACGTTTGAAAGATGATGGTCGTTTTGAAGTGAACCATCCAAACGATTTTCTGTTTGCTGAAAGCAGAAGTCCATTCAAGGGCACTGAGACAGTAGGTTTGAAATGAAAATCATATTCACAGCGAGTTGTGCAAATATCTCCTGCTTTAAGGAGTATTGAGTTGAGGCAGCTTGAATATGTGCTTAGAGCGTCACCCTGTGGCCACTCGATGCTGGTAACACTCCCGTTGCTCAAAGCAGAGATGGTCCAACCTGTAGGTTGGTGAGGACCAAATGCCCGGCTTGAGAAACACCCACGGGCAGCATAAGTAATATATCTGTGTTTCCCTTCCAGAAACATAACCCGTATGAATCCTATAGAAATCCTATTTTTTAAATTGTGTAACTACTACTAAATTTCACTTTATTTTAGTTACGATCCAAACTTTAAATAGGCAGTGTAAAAATTCATGCAAATTTTAAAATCACGATACGCTTTTATCAATAAAGTACATATAGTACATAGAGAATGATCATTAAATTCCAGAGTAAACAACGACAGGGAGAGAAATAATGAAGTGAATTAAAATGCACGTAATTTAGTAGCTGTACCGATAAACAAAATAACGCTAACACTGGAGAATGTTTCTCTTGAACCCAGAGCTCCTATTTTCCACACCTATTTTCCTGTGTTGCTTACTGCGTGAGTCATGGTTCTGTGGGTTTAGAATTGCAAAATAAAATACTCCTGCTGCAGTTCCTCCCATCGCTCCCCGCACTGCCTCTCACCAGGTTGCCTTAGGCAGCACGGAAACCTACCGGAAGAGAGGCGCAGCTGGGAGGTAAAACAGTGAAGTCGGAATTGGTTTGCAGGCTGGATTAAATCATTCTGGGGAGGTGACAGTAGCCTCGGTGAGGGTTTCAGTAGCGTTGGGTGTGAGATGGAGACCGAGGCAGGCGATGTGGCGAAGGTGAAGAAAAGCGGTGTTTGGCCAAGAATGGGCATTTGCTATAACGCTTTTCACGTCTTCTCGACGTCTCAAAGCACTTCACAGAATGTGCTGTAAGGTGAATTGACCGTATATTTGTAGGCAAAATGCAGCAGCCAATTGCGCACAGCAGCATCCCACAGACAGTCGTGGATTGAAAATGAACAATTTATTATTGTTTTTTTTTGTTTTGGAGGAATTATTATCAGGCGTGTGTGGAGTAAGGAAACTTGCCCACGGTTTCACCCTGACCTGCCTGGATTTGAACCCAGGTGTCTCGCTTGCGAGGCGAGCGCTCTAATCACTGAGCTACAGGACTCCAGGGAATGTGCAGGGAATGTGGACGTCCTGATGGGACTCGATATGGTGTGACCGAGTAAAGTAAAGTTGTGACTGCCTCTCTGTACAGGATGTATTTTCGAGCTCATGCGAAGGGAGAGACGGAGAGGGAGCGTCTCCTCCTCACATACCAGATAAACGATGAGGTAGTGAACGGCCGCTTCCCGGTCAATAAGGAGTTGGCCCTGGAGGTGACTGCGTTACTGGCACAGGTTAGTGCTGCGCTGGGCAAGGCAGAGCAAGGGCACCCTACAAGGGGGAAGGAGGAGTGGCTGCATTTGAGAGGGCAAGGCTGGAGCGGGCACAAACGGTATTGAGTGGCAAGAGTTAACGCGAGGGGGAGTGATCGTGGGGCGGGTGAGGTTCGGTGAGAGACAGGGTTGGTGGGTGTGGGGGGGGCAGAATCCTGGAGGTATATATGAGGTGTGGTGGGTTGGGTGGAAGGACCGTTGGTTGTGGGGTGGAGGGGCATGTAGTATGGGGCAGGATTGTGGGGATCATGTGGAATGGGTCAGGATTAATGTTGGGGGTAGGAGCAGCGGCTGTATTATGTTCAGTGTGAAGGACTCGTGGTGGTTCTGCAGGTGGAATATGGAGACTTGGACCGTCCCATCCCAGCCAGTCCTGGAGGAAGCTCACAGTCCAAAATGCAACAGATTCTGCAGCAGGTGTTGGACAGGTTCTACCCAAAGCGATACAAGCAGGGCTGCAGCCCTGACCAGCTCAGGTACCGTCTCCTTCTGCTTCCTACGCCGCTTTGTAACTCACAGTCACTCTCCCGCTTTGCCCAGCACAAACCTGGCAGAACTAGATCAGCTTTCTAAAGGGAACTAGCTAAAAAGCAAACGTTTGCAGGGTGTGGGGAAAACACTTGCATGTACGTACAGCCCTTCAGGTGCAGGATAGCATCTTGGAGCTCTGAACACGCAGCTAAATTGAATGGATTGTTCTTTCAAACCTAGGAACGGGAGGAGGCCATTCAGCCCCTTAAGAGCCAGAGACACAGGGTTGAACGGTCGCCTTCTGTTCTATAAATTTCTGTACAGGCCCGGGAGAGGCAAGCTCTTTATCAGATAATGCTTCACACTTTAGACTGAAAGATGAAGAACGAAAGGCCATAATGGTAACATTAAAAAGCATCACACACACACACAAGCCTGGCAGGACAACAAAGGCCACTGATGCTGCATCGATTATCGACACAACAGAACAGGAAAATATCTGCTTGAGAACAATGTCGGAGAGTTTGGTGTAGAGATAGTGCAGACTGAGATGTGAAGTACTGCCACAGGGCATGTTTTCTGTGTTGGGGCAGAGGGCGGAGAGAGACTGTCTGTGGACATAAGGAGGCCAGGTTTGAGTTTTGGGGATGGAGGAATATAAATTTGATTACTTTAGAATCTAGTGATATTCCAGGATGGAGTTCAGACCAAATATCCCTTTCTCATTCAGTGCTTTGTTCAACTCAACACTGCACATCAGGGCGATTGCTCTGAGCAGAGCTGTCTATCTCAGTCTCTTGAGTCACCTCTTGTGGCCCTGCTAATCAGTGTTTATCGCTGAACAGTAGGAGGTGACGTAGTCTCCCTGATCCTCTGCTCCCTGTAAACAGGGTCATCGCTTTGTGTCTCCCTAATGAGATGCATTGACTGAGCTGGAAATGGTGGGTGTTTAGGGTGAACCATTCCACCTCTTCACGTCTTCCTAAATCTCTCTGCACCTTGACTGTGCTGTTATTGTCAGTGCAGTCTCTCTTCAGTTCTGCTTCCACTGAGCCGCTCCTGTTATCTCTTGTCACACAGGCGGCTGGCAGACAGACTGGCTACAAAGTGGATGGTTCTGCGGGGCTGTAGCGGCTCCGATTGTCTGCGCATTTACCTGACCGTCGCCAGGAAATGGCCTCTTTTTGGAGCGAAGCTATTTACTGCAAAGGTGAGGTTAAACAAAGTTAGCTGCGTGTGTGTGTGTGTGTGTGTGTGTGAGGGAATTGTTTCACATCAATGGGAGAAGATTACGGCCCTATAGACACATCAGAGCCCAGTCACTGATAGCAGGTTTTAAACATTCATATATTTCTTTTTCAAAAAAACAATTAGGTACAGGATTTGAGGCAAATGTTGCAGGATAAGGTCTGGATGGTGTGGGATGTTGGGTGACTGACTGTTAAGTTTCCTCTGAGTTCCTGTGGTTGGGTCCTTGTGATTCAGCTCATCTTATCTGATGATCCAAGTCTTCAGTGTTAAGTTGGACACATTTTGTCTTTGCTTTGGTCAGCCGGTGTCTCACATGCAGAAAACCATCACCATGCTTAAGAGTTATCCAAACCAGACTTGAGTTTCATGTACACCACTCACACATAGAAATTCTCTCCCCTGAAGATGCACCTTGCTTACCTAATTCCGAAGAGTATTTGGTGCAGGTTAATGAGAGCCAAGGCTGGAGTGAGCGTTGGGGTAACTGCTGGAGTCTAACCAGCTAAAATGCATAGCTTGGCATTGATAGCACTGTCTGGCAAGCTTTTCTGCTGCTTGTCTAGCCAGTACTGCCACACTCATTAGGGCTTTGGCTTGCAGGGTTAACAGGAGCTGAGCAGGAGGATTCCCTGGCCCTCAGTGACTGGTTTGCCCTTCCAAGTCCTGCCGATGAGCCAGGCTGGCTGGTCTGCCATCAGCAATGCCCTGGAAAACTATGGCTTCCAACGTTTCACCTTGGAACCAGTTCCTCTCTTCATGTTTCTAATAATAATAATCCTTGCTTTTGATATAGCACTTTTCACATCTTCTAGACATCTCAAAGTGCTTCACAGAATAGACTGTAAAGTGAATTGACTGTATATTTGTGGGCGAAACGCGGCAGGCCAGTTGCACACAGCAGCGTCCCACAAACAGTCGTGGATTGAGTGACCAAATTATTATTGCTTTTTTTTTCTTGAAGGATTATTATCAGGCGTGTGGAGTAAGGAAACTTGCCCAAGGTTTCGTCCTGCCGTGAATCTCTCGCTTGCAAGGCTAGTGCTCTGACCAATGAGCTACAGAACTCCAGGACTTCTATCCTTGCTTTCTCTGCCCTAGGGATGTGAGGGTCACATTTGTACATGACTTTTCCTGGTATTAGCCCAAGTGACAAGTAATGAACCCGTCTCGGGATCTTTTCACAGTCATGTTCCTCCCATTATTTACAAACGTTGACCAGCTTTCCATCTCCCCAGCCTATCGCTCCCGAAGAAGCTCCTGTGTGGCTGGCAGTAAATGAAGATGGTGTTAGCGTTCTGGAGTGCAGTACAATGGTATGTACGGTGCTTATTCAATGTAATGGTTTGGTGGCAACTTACACTCCACCCAATACTATACACGGCATCCACAACAACAACTTGCATTTATATAGCGCACTTCATGCTGGGGAAAGTGTCCCGGAACACTTTGCAGTGGCTGAGTCTGACAGCTAGCCAGGGGGAGAGGGAGGAGGGAGTTGACTAAGCAACGATCTATAAGGAAGGTCTTTATGGGGGAATTTGAAGGTGGGGAGGGAGGGAGGGAGGGGGCAAGGTGGAGGGATTGAGGGAGAGTTCCAGAGTTTCGGGGCGTATCCTCTCTTCCCCCTACCTACAGTGATGAGTGTCTCGAGAGAACCTGGTCAAATCTGATGTGAGATTTTTGTGCTGTTTGTTCAGCGGCCGGTGATGAACTATCCCTACTCGTCAGTCCTGACGTTCGGAGGCTGTCGCGATGACTTCATGATGGTCGTCAGCAAGGCCAAGGACGGGAACCCCGCAAAGACCACTGTCGAGAAACTGATGTTCACAATGGCAAAGCCCAAGGTACAGGCAGCAGATTGCTTCTTCTGTTTCTACTTCAGAACCGTTTCCTGCCATTTATATAATCCTATAATGTCATTTCTGTGATGATGTAACGGAGCTTCTCCACATCCTTGCTCTGACCCACTCAGCTTTCCTTTACCTCTGCAATTCTGCCCACCTCCGTCATTACCTCTTCCCATCGCCCCCCCCCCCCCCCCCCGCCGCAGCTCATCCCTGCACAAACTGCAGACTATCCATGTCCTCTCCAGTCCCAGGTTCCACCGCCTATCACCCCCATCACCATTTGTGATACTACCTTGCGTTAGATATCACCTCTGCTCTGCTCCGTTAGCCCCCCACCCCGTTAGCTTGTGGTCCCATCCCCACCCTACCTCTGTGACCTGCTTCCCCTAGCCGTTCCTTTCCCTCGGCCAACAATGACCTACTCCACGTCCCCTGTACTATCTTCCCCACTTTATGGCAGGCACCTATGGACCTGCTCTCTGGAACTGCCAATTCCAGATCCCTCTGATTTGACTCGCTCCCATCTCTCTTTAAAGATGCATTTCAAAGTATACCTCTTTGACCGCTCTATCGTTCACCTTTCTTCTCCCCCCCCCCCCCCCCCCACCACCACCACCACGCTGGGAGCCCAGCGCCTGTCATTGGAGCTCTGCTGTTTTGGGGCTGGCTTCACCCACATTCCAGGCAACCCGTTCTGGGTAGTGATTGCTATCTTTAATTCCAGACACTAGTTTCTAGTGTTTGCCCCAAGTTTACCCTCCTCACCTCTTATCCTATTGCCGTGCTGTGCCTGCAAGTCTTGGACCTCTCTTCTCAGTCCTTGTTGCTTGGGGTAGTTTTATTTCAGTTGTTTACAGGGAATTTTACTGGGAATTTTACTGTGCACTGAGAAGAATGTCACTCACTCTTGTATCTCAATGTTTCTATACAGATTCTGGAACTAACGCTGATACTAGCCAGTTACATTAACTACAGCAACAGATACCTGCTGCCTGCCTCACCCAACACCCTCGGCAGCCACGCACCACCACCAGCCTTCTCCGAACGAAAACTCTGGGAGATCGATAGCAAGCATTTCCCAACCATGACCCGAACTACTCAAGGGCCTACTTTGCTCTAGACATCTTCCTCTGACTGGGCGTGTGAGGCTGGACTGCAGGAAGCTGCATTTTAACTGAAGACAAACCATTTGGGAGATTCAACTGGTGCAAGATTTAGAAAGAGCTTTATCGGCTGCGTTCCTCTAGATCAGACATAATTAAGCACTAGTTAGTCGTGTCCTTGACGAGATGTTTCACAGACAACTTCAGCGTATGATTGGGAGTGGTGGCTGCCTCGTGACTACATTGTAAACCACAAACGAACAGAACAGGCGGAAAAGGTGGCCTATGTTCCCTTTATTCTGCTCCTTTTTCTTGATATGAAACGCTGACGAGAGATGACGTTCCAGTGACTCGTCTGAGGACCTGACCGTAACCACACTCACCACTGGTGAGTTTGATTTTTCACAGCTCTAACGTACAACAGAGCATCCCCAGGGTTGCTGCATAAAGTGAGTCGACGGTGATGGACAATTCATTAACTGCTGGGAGCTGAGGATTCAATTCAAAAGACTCTTGAGCGGTGATGAATACAGTGCCTGTTCATGCCATCACTGGAACACGATCCAACCACACAATGCAATTGTCACAATAGTTCCCCAGCTCACAAGCTAATCTGAATTTCTATCTACAGACAACCCCAGATTTTGGGAGGAGATAGACCAATAACCTCAGATTTACCTGTGAAGCAGTTTCACACCATCTATATGGTGTCACTCAATACTTTTCGACAGTTGTGCAAAAATCAATTGATGAAGGAATTGAGTCAATGATGCCTTGAATTCCCAAACGCTGTTGCAATGTACAATTACAACTGTATATGGAACTCAGTAAGCTTGTCAGTGTGACACCCCCTCCTCCTGGACGTGTGCCCTGATGGTGTGAATGCAGCTCTGTCTGAGACTGGAGCAAACCTGTATTTCCTCCATGTGACAAAGGGCTGAATGCCCCTCACTTTGTGAAATCTCTCAGAATTTGACTGGCTAAATCCAGTTAAGATTAACCCCCAAACACTGTGCTTCAATGAGGTCAGGCTGGCTGCTGGGGCTTGGTGTTGGCCAACAAGCTGCCCATCACTTGACAAAGGCTCTGGTAATATCATGCAGTAAAGATTTTGGGGTCTGCCAAGGAAATGACAACAGCCATGTTACTGTGGAACTGGCTGACTGGGACTGTACAATATACTGAAGTGAATGCTTTGGAAAACCAGTGTTGCGATACAGGAGTTCTGACACTAAAGGGTACGAGTAGTGCAGTTCTGGGGCTGCTTTAAGCACTGACCTGATCACCTACACCTTCAGAATCCTTTTCATTCCTTTATGTTGTAAGAATGTAAAATTAACTTGTGAACCTCAGCTCTCAGTGACAGACCATTAGTTGTGATCGAGGAAAACTGACGTCAGTTTGTTGAATATACTTCCACCACCCAATGCCATTAAAGAGGGAAAATAGTGACTAAAATGCTAATATACTCCATAGGTCAAAATGTCCTGGATGCTGGAAGAGATAGTAAGAGTTTCTCTTCCTTTACCTTTGGGGATTAGGTTTCATCTTCTGATATCAGAAGGTGAAACTGTGGAAGGAGCAGGGTTTGAGGGGACAAATGGCCTTTTCCCATTCCTGCTTCCCCATCGATTACTGCTTCAAAGTGAAAGAACCTCATCAAACATTGTCAACATCAACAAAATAATATCAATACTCCTGCTGCAAGCTGCTCAGTACTCATAGGTATGTGCTTCTCATATTCTACAGCCAGAGTCATGAGGACCAGTTATGTTTACAGTCAGTACCTATTTGAGTTTTGTATCAGAAACTAGGACAGGAAGAGACAATATCAGTTTTACTTGAACAACCAGCCAGCAATAATAACAATGAGTTAACAGCCGTTGTACAATGCATCTATCTACGTAAGTGCAAAAGTTGTGACTTCTTAGGGCTGCTCTAGGTGATGCCTTGCCCATTCTTGGTGGCTGCTTGGTGCCTTAATGTTACCATTAGTATACAAGACTTTCGTCACTGTTCTACCCATAGTCCCTCTTAGTTTAAGCAAAATGAATTGCGTCGAGATGTAGAAAACATTTGAGTTTCTTGCACCATGCTGTCTGCTGCGGGCGGCTGTTCCCCTCGTGTGTGTGTGTGTGTGTGTGTATATGTTATGTACTGTATAGTATCTATTGATTACTTGAATGTTAGGGAGAAATCCACTGTAAATGGTAACGCCCAACGTACTGTACCTCTATTTATTCTGATCTACTTGTTGAAAGCTGACACTGTTTTTCTCAGTTTAATTTAATGATTCCCGGTAGTTTGGGAAGCCTGTGTTTCCAATATAAAATGGCAAGACTGGAATTTGTCATCGCTGGTCCTGCGATGTGGTTGAAATAATGTGGTAATAAAAACATACTTATCCGGTATTAGCTCTGCTTTCATTGTATTGTCAACGCTCAAACTAGGAATACCTTGTAGTTACTGACCTGTATCATACCACAAAGACCATGTGTTTTTGTTTCTACAGTGCACTGACCAACAACTGAAACACGTGGAACAATGATAATTATATTCAGAAGCACTTCATTGTATATAGTGGTTCACTGTATTTAGACGTCCAGAGGATGTGTGTGTGTGTGAGCGTGCACCAACATTTTCATGGCAGATAAATATCCGTCCCATGTTCTGTGCCACATCTTCCGTATGGATGGAGTGAGGAGGCGAAATGCATCGCTGACAAATTTTATCAGCTCCTCCGTAGTCTTGTATCGCTGTTTTGTAACAGGGGGTAATACGACTTTGTGGACACTTTGTAGAACAGAATCTATGCAGTTCAGGCTAATCTTGTGGTGTGGGCCTTGAAGTGTAAATTTCCAATGTGGGGGAGAGATAGAACGTGAACCCTCAGCTATGCGGACACTGTGGTACTGAGGTCCTGTGGCATTGGTGCTGTTCGTTGTTATAGCATCTGAGGTTGATGTTAAAGCTTGTATAGCACTAATTCAAAGAGCAGGGAGTTCTCTGTGTCCTGGCACATAACCCTTCTTCATACAAACTCACTAAAAAGCAGTAAATCAGCCTCTTATCTCCTTGGTTTTTTTTGAGCTGGTGTTGAAACGAGTCAGCTGGCTGCTTGTCTTGCGTATTGAGTCATTTCATTCCAACGTTACTTCACACGTGTGATGAGGTGCTTTATTTAAATGCAGCACAGTGCAGTCCTTTAGATTAACTGAGCTCATAATTCTCAACCTCGCTGGCTCCAGTAACGGAAGCTTTGCACCTGCCTGGGGGCTCACAGAATAAACTGATCAACGACTTCAGCGAAATGAGCCTGACTTGTGCATTTAGCCGGGCCATTGCAACAAAAATCATTCAATATCAGCTGAAGAGCTGCCCAACTAAGTCACCGCTAGGGAACCCGGGAACAATTCTCTGCAAAGACCTCCCAGCATGGACGTTGCTTTCAGCATGTTCAATGTCCCAACACAAACAAAGGCAAAGATTGTTGCTTGCTCAACTGTGCTCCACATCCAAGGGTTTATAGTTATGTGTGCTGACAGCGTCAAGAATGCTTTGATCATCACTGTTAATGAACAAACTCAGCATTTAACTTGAATTGCCAGATTTTCACTGAAGCGGAGACTGTGTGCACAGGGATGATTTTATGTATTTCCGAATCTTCCTATCCGCTCTGCCCAGTTCCTCGTGCTTTGAATAGCATCTTCTTTTCATCGTCCACCTGCTATGAGGGGTCACTCTGGGACCCTTTGGGCAGTTTACACTGATGGACAAAGTGCTTTTTTGCCGAGGCCCCTGGACGGATTCCAAGTTCACAAGTTCCCATTGGTCTGAAAGAAAAAATTCAGTTACGTCAATTCTCTTGGTTTCTTTTCTCCCCTCCTCTCTGACGTACTGCCTTCTGCTGAGGTATATAGTTTTGTCACCCACTGCTACCTTGCCCAAGTGGCTGCTCCTGAGGTGTAAACCCCACACCGAGTGTTAGCAAGCCAGTTAGTGGAGGGCATCGTAGCTGAGCCCATCTTGACTGAACAGCCACACAAACACACGTAGCCTCCGGAAGAAATGGGAATCCTGTCAGGTTTTCTTTTACCTCCCTAAACCAGGATACTGACACCAGCAGTGATTGTAACTGTTAGGAGTAATAATCCTTGCCTTTGTTTTCATGTCAGCAGGACTGTCAGTAGTGAGCTAACCCTCTATAGTGGTCTTGATGGTCCACTTCCCGAGCCAGGCGAATCTGCAGTACTTCATGGCACCGCTGCTGATAGCCTGGGTCATCAGCAGGATTCAGAAGGGTTACACCAGTCACTGGGAGCAGCTAATTCAGTATAGATAACATACTCTGTGAAGCGCTTTGAAACGTCTCAACGACACAAGGCGAAATATCAAATGAAAGAATTATTATTATAAACCCCAAAAGAATAAAGTTATCACCTCAAACTGTTCATATCTGATCTTCGCTTCCAGTAGGATTTGCTGGCATCTCCTGTACACTGCGGTTAAACAATCCAGGCGGGGTTTTGCGCTCTTGAAGAGAAAGGGAGAGCAGTTATAGACGCTACACAATATGGGGGAATAGGATTCTGCAGGCTATAAAACAGGGTGAAGAAAGGTTCTGTACAATACAATTTATATTTATAAAGCATCTTTCACATCGCAAGGATGTCTCATAACTCCAGCCACTCGGCCTTAGGGTGGGCGCCATAGAGGGAGGAGAAAAATGATTGAAAGCTCAGTCAAAGGTACATCTTGATGTGGGCAATGGCCACAGTAACACAGTGACTGGTACAGCTCACCCGAGTTCAACCAGAGCATATTTTGGAATACTTTTCCATTCATTACTCTCCACCTTCTGGGATTCACCTGGAAGACTGGCACCACCTCCAACACTCCTCGAGGGTTCGATGGATCTTTTAGGAGAATGCACAGGTAATAGATGACCTTTTGCTGAAAACAAAAGACACAGAGGATCAGTTCCTCTTGTGCTGAGTTTGTAATAATGCAGACAGCTCTTATACAGGGTGACCAAAAAGTCTTGTTTTACATCTACCCTATTATCTAGAAAAATATATAAAAATATCATCCTTTAAGACAGTGTAATGATATCACAACTTTTTGGTCACCCGTATGAATGCTCATTCTTCACAGATCTGAGAAGGAATGCTCATCAGGGAATATAAACAGTAAAGCTCCCTCTACACTTAGTCCATCCAGCACTCCCGGGTCAAGTGGGTGCAGGTAGATACAAAGTCTCCTTCCACTCAAGATCTCCACCAGACAACAACAAAAAATTACATTTGTATAGCGCCCTTCACGTCGCAAATTTCGTCCCAGCGCGCTGGACAATCGGGTTTTGGACCCAAGCTGGAAGTTGGGGTCAGAAGGGGAGGAGGACAGGGAGAGTGGTGGTGGGAGGGTGGCCGAAGGCTCGGGTTGAAGGTCTTCAGACGGGATTTGAAGGAGGCAAGAGAGGGGTTGAGGTGGAGGGATTGCAGGATAGAGTTCCAGAGTGTGGGGAAGAGATGCTGAATACTCTATTATTCTAAATACTGAATACCAAAAAAAATTTGCGTTTGAAAGGCATTCGAGAGAGCGCCTTATATGTCATCGAGATATCCCTCCCAAACCAAACCGAGATAATAATCCCTCCAAAACCAAAAACAATAATAAATTGGTCATTTTCAATCTACGACTGTTTGTGGGACATCGCTGTGCGCAATTGGCTGCCGCGTTTGCCCACAAATATACAGTCAATTCACTTTACAGTGTGTTCTGTGAAGCGCTTTGGGACGTCCTCCTGACGTAAAAAGCGCTACATCAAATGTAAGTATTATTATTATTACTCGACCGCCAATGGTGGGGCAGGACGTGCGGGGGACCTGAAGCAGGCCGGTAAGTGCTCGGTGGAGAGAGCGTACAGGCTGATATGTGGTTATGAGGTCGGAGAGGTGGGGGGGGAAGCAAGACCATGGAGGGCCTTGAAGGTAAGAACGAGGGTTTTGTACTTGATTCTCTGAGTAATGGGGAGCCAGTGAAACCAGGAAAAAACAGGGATAATAGGTTCCTGGAGCCTAGTGCAGGAGAGGTCATGAGCTGCAGAGTTCTGAATAATCTGCTTTTGGAGACAAAATCAAAAGTGGGCACAAATTAGAATATCTTAAATAGAATATCTACTTAAATGTTCCTTTGGAACATCTGACATATTTTACCTGTTTTAATGTGCTCCCAAATAAGGGAACCTTACTGTCTGCCTCACTCACCATGTAAATGGCTTCGTTGATTACAATATCCTTCACTTTATTAATCTCGATGAAGGTGACATTCTCTCTGCCCGAAGCGTAGAGAGTGGTCAACTGCACGCCCACTGAGCCGATAATTAGCAGCGTTTCGTGGTCTATTTTGAACAAGTGGAGGTAAACGGTCATCCCAACCAGAGTCAGGATGATGGTAGCTGAAAGAACCGATGAGTTCTGTAAGATATAATGTAACCACAAACTGTAGTCGATGCCTCACTATTCCAGCTCAGTTTTCATCCAGTGTCCCCAACTCCAATGGTCGGGTAGAATGGGGGTGACTGATCCTCTGTGCAGCAGAATGCTGTTCCCCATGACCATGCCAGGCTGATTTCTCACTCCGCTTTGAATTGAGACACCCAATTTGATAAGAGAAGAACGTTAAAATGTGGAATTCTCTGCCACCATCTGTGGTGAAGAGACCATAATGAAAAAAAATTGATACGTTTGATCTGGTGCCCTTCACAGCAGGAGGACAGGTCGGGCTGCTTCACAGGGTTTACTGTGAAGTGTAGTGACTCCATTTTGCAGATGAACGCAGCAGCCAGTTTGCGCGCAGCGGTGTCCGGCAAGTGTCAGCCTAACGTACCCAAGCTCAAAGCCCTGACGCGGAACACGAACCCCCACAGGCTTTCTGACTCTGTGGCGCAAATGCCTTCCAACTCATTTTAAAAATCATGATAGTAGAGAAATACATCGACTAACGTCAAAGGAACGCGACATAGACTAACGTCAAAGGAATGCCGCCATCTTCCCCGCCCCGGTGCCAAGGTAACGGGTTACGTCAAGACGTTCGCCTCCACCTCCGGGTCGTCCGGGAGCAGGAGAGCGGGGATTTAATTAGGTTGGATCATGACAATAATCCTTGCATTTGACATAGCGCCCGATCGCATCTTCCAAGATGTCCCGAAGCGCTTCGCGGAGTACGCCGCGGAGCGGCCGCGCATTTCTGCGGGCGCAACGGGGCAGCCGACTGCGATGGGTTTGCGGCCCACCTGACCGGAACGCAGCAACGCCCCACTGGACAGCCATGAAGTTGACCACTTAACCACTTAACCTGGGCCACCTGGGCCACCTGGGCGGCATCAGTCACTGGCCACCTGGTGGCCCGCCCACTGACGGGCCATTGGTGGTGGTGGTGGTGGGGGGGAGGGGCTCAGTCTGACTGACGTGTCGTTGGACCAATCGGAGGCTCGCTCCGGGCCGGTTGCCCGGCCAATGCGCGGGCGCGGCCTGACCTGCGTGTAGTAGAAGGCGAAGTAGGCGGCGAGCCAGACGCCCGAGGTGGCGGCGAGCACCGAGCGCAAGGACAGCTTCGGCGACGTCACCGTAAACTCGCCGCACAGGGACGAGTGGAGCCGCTGCTCGAACGAAATGCTGCCGCCGCTGACGTCCCTGAAACCTCCAGCCGCCATCTTCCCCCGCGTCCCTGGTGAGCCGGTCCGCGTGACGTGACGTCGGGCACGTCCTTCGGTGCCAAGGTAACGGGTTACGTCAGACGTTTGCCTCCGCCTCCGGGGCTGGCACCCTGGTCACGTGCCGGGGGGGGGGTGAAGCCAATGTGACAATGTCGCCTCTGTCCCTCCCACAGTCTGGGGGGGTGGGGGGGGCAGCAATGATACTGATTATTGGGTTTGCTTTAATTAATAAATAATCCTTTGCATTTGATATAGTGCCTCGTCACGTCACACCGAGACGTCTCACAGGGATGCACTGTGAATTATATATTATATCACCGCATATTCTGTGAAGCGCTTTTGAGACGTCTCGAAGACCTGATAAGGCGCTATCTCAAATGCCAAGGATGATTATATCATGACTGCGTATTTTGTGGGCTGAACGCAGCAGCCGATGGCGCCCGGCAGTGTCCCACGGTGGACAGATTTTTATTTGGGACCGTTGAGTCAGGATCCCGGGAGAGGATCGTGCCGCGGGATCTTTACCAGGGCAGGACCTTGGCTTAACGCCTCTTTCAAAGGATGGCACCTCCGACAATGTAGCAAACCCCCGGCACAGCATTGGAGTGTAAACCTTGGACAATGTGGTTCCGAGTCTTCAGTGACTGTAATGTATAGGAAAGTCACCGTGAAGTGCACTGACTGCATTCGTATTCGCGGAATTCGAGCACAAACAGTCCTCAAGCAGTCGTGGAATGAATGACTGATTTTTATTTTGGGATACTGTTGGCCAGGTCACCGGTGATGCTGAAGAAATGGGATTATACGTCCCAGTCAGGACAGCGAATGACTTGGAGGAGAGCGGGTTGTTGGTGGTTGTGTGACTTAGAGACGAGAACGCTACCGACCAAGCCAAGCTGACAAACTGGCTGCTTTATGCCACTCATTGCCTCCAGGGACGAATCAGTACACTGTAATGAAGGCGTGGTCTAAGCGGGTCAAAATATATGGCGATAGTACAAAATACAAAGCAATGTCACTTCAGACTTTATTACTCGATAACTTATCAGTGATGTCCACGAGACTGCCCACCACTCAGACCGTTCACTGCCAAACATTTGAACACGTTTCTAACACATTCTGACTGTAAACAGAAGAAGTTTCAAAGTGCTAAGCGCCTCGTGCAAGTCACTATTCAGACCTCTGTAGGTCCGCAGTTTTTAGGAAGAGGTGGTGCGGTTCATATCAAAGGTAAAACTTTGTGGAAAAAGGCATGTGGCAATCGTTTAATCTGGGGAAGGAGAGGGAGAAGTGTCATTCCTAATGTTCAGGACAGCGAGTGACATGAAGCACAAGCCATACAAAGTGAAGTGTATTGTAGTTGTTGTGTTCTGTCTGGAAATAAATGGTCACAAAACTGATTTGACAACCATTTGATATTAAAGACTGCCCCTTTAACTAGGATGAAGACAGTGAAGGTGGACTTCGACGACAGTGAAGGTAGACTAAACCATGGCTTTGGGATCTGGATTTAAGGCTGCCAGAATCACGGGAATATTTTATAGATTGCGTGTTCCTGGAATGGGATCTTCTGAACAACTTTGTAAACCGTGAATTTTCAATCAAAGAAATGTCAGCGTCCCTATGCTGGGACAACCCACATTAGATGGCCACCCCGCTGTTCTAAGTTCAGGCTAATTTGGGAGACACTGCAGAAAGAATTATTGTACAGGGTGTCCACAAAATCCTGTTACCCCTGTGCTGCATACAGTTAAGTAATTCTTCCACATTTCAGTTGTTGGTCAATGCACTGTAGGGGGAAAAACACACACATACACGGGGGGTAACAGGACTTTGTGGATACCCTGTACAAAACAATCTGCACATCAAGCTGACGTGGCTGGCTGCTAAGGCACTTTTACAGAGGGCTTCGGAGTGTTCAGGGGACCAGCTCAGCCATCAGCGCTCCATCGTCTCGTACACTTCATTCACTCTGGTTAACAGTAGTCAGAGACACCCAGTCATCCACAGGGTGCAGGCAACAGGGTCAAGCTCCCAAACTGTCCATTGTATGACAATTCCCACTGTTGATGGGATGGAGTCTTGGAATGGAGGAGTGGAAGTATAGCTCCAGTGTGTGTACAGCCATGTTTGTTGTCAGTCAGAATGGCATGATCAATATTGAAGTCATGGCTGGCACTTGTTCACGGGGAAGCTGTCACACCACTGTATATGATAATAATCCTAGCATTTGATGCATTGCCTTACCACGTCATTGAGATGTCTCAAAGCGCTTCAAAGGATATACTGTAAAGTAGATTGACTATGTATTTTGTGGTCGAAACACAGCAGCCAATTGCGCACAGCAGTGTCCCACAAATAGTCATGGACTGAATTATCACCATTATTATTAGGTTAGCTCACTCACTTGGGGCAAACTCTGCCATATTCTAATAGCCTTCCACATGAACAGGAGTCTCCTAACCTCCCTTAACCGTCCTTGTGTCAATCCTGAGTTCGTGCAACCATGTGACTGATTCACACTCCAGCGGGAATAATCTTTCTCGGTAGAAATAATCTTCCAGACAGAGAGTTCTGAAGACTTCTATCAGGTGCTCGGTTCCTTCATCTCCTCTTGCCTGTCTCGCAATCCAATCCTCTGCAAGGTGCACGCGAGAGAGGGCCGATTGGTGAGAACCAAAGTCCCACTGACTGGTGAGTGCAAAAGAGTGGACAGAAGTATTGAGGAGCTGTCAGGCAGCAAATGTTTCCCTGGGGACGTCCACCTTGGGTCTGCCGGCTCCCGAGGAGAGCAGATTAGAAGCATTGTCCCTTTAAGGATTGTCTTCTCTTGTCTTGTTATTGCACTGGTCGCTGATGGTTTCCCAGCCTCTGTTCGCTACAGATTGATGATAACCCGTTCCTCTTCGACCTCTCCCTCGATTAATGGATCTGTTACCTCGTGTCTCACAGAGGTGAAACGGTTGCACTCAGTATGTTCCGTGGCTGCGTCCAGAGGAACCATTACGTAGCGGTAGCCAGAACTGGCTTCTAACCGCATCTCTGTTCTCTGGGGTCTCTGTCCCTCCGCTTCCCAGCAGCCCATCCCGCAAGCTTGCTTCAGCCCCGATGCTTCCTCTTCCTCGCGCAGGTTCATGTACAGATGCTCGCCGGTCTCTGGGGCCGGAGAGAAGCCAGCTAGGAGCTCCTCCAGGGACTGCCTCAGGGACTGGAAACTGGGCCTGAGCTTGGGCTCGGTGTGCCAGCACTCGCTCATCAACTGGTACCTATTTCAATACACAATCATCATCAGGTGATTAGCCAGCCATTTCCTGGCCGTGACAGTCTCTTATACGTACGTACAGCAAAGAACAAACCTGTCTACGACATAGCATTTGTGGGTCGATGAATTGACCCAGCAGTTTTTGGGCGAAACACAGCAGCCAATTGCGCACAGCAATGTCCCATAAACAGTTGTGGATTGAGTGACCAAACGTTTTTTTTTTGAGCGATGATTACCCCTGGAAAATGATTCACCAATTGACTAACAACCAGGTTACGTAGGAATATAGGAACAGGTGTAGATCATTCAGCCCTTCGAGCCTGTTCCGCCATTCTTTTAGATAGATCACGGATGATCTGTACCTCAACTCCAATTACCACCTTTGCCCATATCCCTTGATAACCTTACCTAAGAAAAATCTCTTTACCTAGCAGCAAGGGTTCCTACTTACTGCTAGGTAAACAGAGGCGAGTGGAGTAAGGAAATGTACCTAAGGTTTTGACCCGTAAATTGAAGCTGGGTCCTCTCGCTTGCAAGGGTGAGCACACTAACCACTATGCTACAGGACTCCACAGTTATCGGACCGCTTAAATCCAGGCGATAGGTTAATCTCTCCCTCATCTGTAAAAGGCACAAATAAAGGTTCTGCCCTGGCCTACCGTGAACCCACACCTCCCACCCCTTGGGGGGGCTTGCAGACTCTGGAAGGAGACGATCTCACTACCAGACTGGAAGCTCTGATTACTGTGCTTACAGACATCCGCCTCTCTCCCCTGACTGTTTGTGACTTACAGCATGGGTGTGCAGTGTGGGGGCTGTTTGAGCCTGTGGCCCTGGAGGAGGTAGTCGTAGATCTCTGCGTTCTCTATGCCTGGGTACGGCGTCTGGCCTCTGGTACTAATTTCCCACATTGTGACCCCGAACGACCACTGCAAACAGAGAAACAACAACAACAAATTACATTTGTGCAGCGCCATTCACATCGGGAGGACGTCCCAAGGTGGTGGACAGTCAACGACTCACCTGATCTGGGGGTTGGGATCAGGAGGCTTGGGAGGGTGAGAGAAGGCGTGATCGAAGAGAAAGGTCTGGAGACGGGGCTTGAACAAAGCAGCCGCTACAACAAAAAGGTGCGCTCACAGAAGGCTTTATTGAGGGCGGGAGGGTAGAGGATAACAGCGAAAAGGACAGTTGAAAGTTGCTCTTGTTGGTGTGTATACAGTGTGGCTGTTTGCGGTGTACATACCACGTCACTGTGGAGTGTGTACACGTTATCTGCCAGACTCTCCAATGCGATCCACTTGACGGGGAGCTTGCCAGCACTGCCCTGCCGGTAATAGTCACCGCTGTACAGCTTCCTGGACAAACCAAAGTCCGCCACACACACCCCCATGTCCTCGTTCAGCCTGCGCCAGACAAGAGACTTTAAACAGTGGCTGATCAATCGGGGGCAAAGCCAGCAGAGAGACAGAGGGAGGGAGGGAACGAGCAAGAGAGAAAGGGAATGAGTGAGTAAAGGAGAGAGGGAATGAGGGAGGGAGGAGGGAGGGAACCGCAAACCTTTTCACACTGTTCACATTGATGTCCTTGGATTATCACCTGACATCAGTGATTGACGTTGTGATATTTTTAAGCTAAGAATTAAGAAATCTGGTCGCAGAGTGTGTATGGGGTACGTTTCCCCAATAATGTGCTGGAGGATTGATCCCACCCATTGGACATCAAATTCTTTTATTAGGAAATCCCGTAAACCACCTCCCCTCCCCCCCCACCGGCCCCCGGACTTTACTGAGCAAACACTGCGCAAAGCAACACCTGACCATCGTGGGAGAGGTCCAGGGAGTTTAATATAATAATAACCTTGTATTTGATATAGCGCCTTATCATCAGGTCAGACGCCTCAAAGCGCTTCACAAAATATAATGTAAAGTGTAGTGACTGTGTATTTTGTGGGCGATAACTTTAGGTTGAGGGATAACTTTAGATGTCACAAGTATAACGGGGGGTGTGGAGATGATGCAGATAGATACAGTACATGGATTTTCACAGAGCTTTGACACAGTTCCATATTAAGAAAGGGGGAATAGCTTTAGGCTTTTATAATAATAATAATAATAATCCTTGCATTTGATATAGCGCTTTCCACGTCTTCTAGATGTCCCAAAGCGCTTCACAGAATATATTGTAAAGTGAATTGACAGTATATTTGTGGGCGAACGCGGCAGCCAATTGCGCACAGCAATGTCCCACAAACAGTCGTGGATTGAAAATGACCAATTTATTATTGTTTTTTTCTTGAGGGATTATTATCAGGCGTGTGGAGTAAGGAAACTTGCCCAAGGTTTTGCCCTGCCTTTTAAGGAGTCATGGGATCACCAGCTGTTGGGGAGAAAATTGGCTGTAAACACAAGGCTGTACGTGTGGGGGGTGAGGAAAATCAAAGGGATCTGAACTCGATCCTCTGAGGGATGGGGAGCCAGTGGAGCTGGGCCAGGGTGCGGGTGATGGGGTCACGGAGCCCGGTGAATGGGTGGGGGGAGAGCCAAATGCTGCAGAGTTCTGGATGATCTGCAGCTTGTGAAGGGAAGAGTTGGGAAGGCGAGTTGCCATAGCTGAGCCTGGATGTAATTAAGGCATCTATGAGGGGTGAGGCAGTGGCAGAGTTGGACAGTGTTGCAGAAGTGGGGGAAGGCAGAGTGGGGTCCTGTACCGTATTAGTTGGCGCACTCGCCTCATAACCGGAGGACCCGGGTTCGATTCCCAGGTGGGGTGAAACTGGCACATTTCCTTCCTCCACACAACTCTGTTTACCTAGCAGTATGTTTACCTGGTTTTTAGTCGGTTAACGGATCGTTTTCCGGGGGTAATAATCCCTCAAAAGAAAACATAGTCACCCAATCCACGACTTGTTTGTGGGACACTGCTGTGTACAATTTGCTGCCAAGTTTCACCACAAAATATAGTCACTGCACTTTACAGTATATCCTGTGAAGCTCGATAAGGCGCTATATCAAATGCAAGGACTGTTATTATTATTTTTCTTCCCCTCACATTGCGCCTTCTCTCTCTACCTTCAAAACTCTACTTAAACCTATCTCCCTGACTGTGGTCAACACCTTCGTTAGTGTGTCCTCCACTACAATTCTCAGTGTCGCTGTGATGTACTTTGAGATGTGTACCCTCGTGAGAGAGAAGTGCAGACTGTTACTGTCGATCCCATATGGAAGTCAAGAGTAAATAATGAGGACCATCACAGGCAGACTCAGAAGGATTTGGTTATTTGGGGAGCTGGGCTGATAGGTGGCAGATGCAGTTTAGTGGGGATTGAAATTCAGTGTCGCAGGCAATACCAAAGTGTGTCACTCTGTCCCATCCTACGGTCACTTACATGCAGTTGCGTGTGGCCAGGTCCCTGTGAATAAAGTTCTTTTGACTCAAATACTCCATTCCCCTGGCGATGTCTATCATGAATTTCAACAGGGTCTGTACTGGCATCTCCTGAAAGAGAGCCAGAGCCATGTCACCCAGAGACAAAGAGAAGAGAAAGAAACTGAGACAGAGACAAAGCCATGTCTTCCAGAGACAGAGAGAGACGGAGACAGAGACAGAGAGAGAGAGAGAGAGGCAGACACACACACAAACGAGACAGAGAGAGACATGCACACACGTGTCACTCCGCCAAACAGAGAGAGTTACACATGTCACTCAGCCAGAGTGAGAGACAGAGAGAGATACACACACACACATGCGTGTGTCCGGGTGCTTACAGTGGGCTGCTCTCCCAGTCTGGACATCACCAGGAAGCTGTGCAGGTCTCCGTGTTTCATGAAGGGCAGCAGCACCATGGGCACTGGGAGCCGGCGATTGGCTCGGCTTTGCAGACTCACTCCTGGGCGCGACCGAGGGACGGAGATACAAAGAGACAAACTCGGTTACCTTTCCCTGGGGAAAGGGTGTGAAAGCTCCAGCTCCCCCTCCTCCTCCTGCTACCCCCCCCCCACACAACCACCCTCCCTGAACCCCTCAAACACTCACCGATCACCTTGATGACATTGGGATGGTCAAAATCCTTCATACAGGCCGCCTCTCGCAGCAGCTCCTCAATATCACCCGAGGAGTTTACGTCAGCTGTGCAGGTAACATCACAGTGATTAGATCCCCAATACAGTGAGGGAGAGAGTGAGTGGTGGGTGGAATGAGGAGGGGAGTGAGTGGGACGGGAAGGCAGTGAGGGGGGGTTCCAGGGGAAACTCTCTGTGGCTACGTCTTGACGTCACGACGTCTGTCTTCGCAGTGGAATAGGTGTATGGGAGAGGGAGAGTCTCCTCCGGTGTGGCATCAAACATGGCTCAGTTCCCTCCCCCCAATCCTCCCCACCCCATTGTTGTCAGTTCAGCAGCCTGAAGTTGAAGTGAATGCTGTTGTCACGTCTCACACTTTAACCAGCGCCATCGCACACTCACTTTTCACTATCTTCACAGCCACCTTCTGACTGGAGCCATCTTCCATCTTCAATTGAGCCTCTTTGACTGAGCCGAACTCTCCTGGAGCGGAAACAAGGGCAACGGTTACCCAACCAGGTAACAACAACAACAAATTGCATTTTCAGGAGGATGTCCCAAGGCCCTGGACAGTGAAAGGCTTGCACCCTGGGCTGGGTTCATGATTGGTGGAGGGTAAGGGGGAGGGGGGGGGGCTGGAGGATGACCGAAGGTGCGGTCGAAGAAGGAAGGTATTAAGATGGGCCTTGAATGAGGCAAGAGAGGGGGCGAGGCAAAAGGATTCCGGGATGGGGTTCCAGAGGCTGGGGGCAAAGAAGCTGAAGGCTCTTCTGCCGATGGTGGAGTGTGCAGGGTAGGGGACATGGAGTAGGCCAGTGGCCGCTTAGCGGGGGGACTTGGTAAAGTTTTAGGAGGTCATGGAGCTTAGTGTGGAGAGGATATACAGTAAATACAGTAATAACCACATTCGTGAAAGAGAGAAAGCACGGGGGAAGTTTGAGTGTTCATTGAAGAACTCAGTGCAGCCCTCGCAAACCACTGTCCTATAATTACATTGAGTGGTTCAGTTATACTCTTCATTGAGCTGTCAAGCTAATCCCGACAGACTAGACTGATGCTCCAGTGCAATGTTGGGGATGTGCTGCATTGTCTGAGATGCCGTCCTTCGTCTGCCTGTACAGGTGGATGTTAAAGATCTCATGGCATTATTCGAAAAGAGAAGGGAGTTTCTCTTCCCGGTGTCCTGGCCAACAATCCCCCAAATAAAATTGGTCACTCACTCCATGACTGTTAGTGGGACATCGCTGTGCTCAAAGTGGCTGCCGCATTTGCCTACAAAACACACATTCACTAAAACACCAATCACAACAACTTGCATTTTGCGTCTCAGAGTTTGACAGTGGTGAAGGGGGAGGTGACTGTATAGTCGAAGACAAGCTTCTTCTAATAATAATAATCCTTGATTTGATATAACTCCTTTCACATCAAAACTACGTCTTACAGGATATCCTCCGAAGCTCTTTGAATTGAACGGAGTTATAATAATAATAATCCTTGCATTTGATATAGCGCTTTTCACGTCTTCTAGACGTCTCAAAGCGCTTCACAGAATAGACTGTAAAGTGAATTGACTATATACCTGTGGGTGAAATGCGGCAGCCAATTGCGAACAGCAATGTCCCACAAACAGTCGTGGATTGAAAATGACCAATTTATTATTGTTTTTTTCTTGAGGGATTATTATTGGGCTCTGTGTGGAGTAAGGAAACTTGCCCAAGGTTTCACCCTTACCTGCCTGGAATCGAACCCAGGTCTCTCGCTTGCAAAGCGAGTGCTCTAACCACTGAGCTACAGGACTCCACAGTTGCATTGAATGAAAGGATTACTACTATTATTGGAAGATCCTGCGTTTGCGACAGGGAGGGAGGTTGTTGTTGAGCCACTCACCTCTGCCCAGTGTCCGGCCCAGTATCAGCTGCTGTTCAGGGATGAAGATGTCCTGCAGCTTTTGCTTCAGAGATTCGCTGATTCCCAGAGTGTCAACTGCAGCGGGTGAAGCACAGATAGAGAGAGATCCCTGATTACGTCAGAAATTTGTCTTACAGGCAGTAATCTGTTGCGTACTATTTCTGATGGATTGTGTATCAGCCTGGCTCAGTGGTAGCACCCTAGCCTCAGTCAGAAGGTTGTGGGTTCAAGCCCCACGACGGGACTTGAACTCACATCGTCCAAGCTGACACTCCAGTGAAGTGCTGATGATGTGTTGCATTTTCAGAGGTGCCGCCTGCTTGTTGAGGTGGGGTTTAAAGATCTCGCAAGACTATTTGAAAAGAGAAAGGAGTGTCTCTCCCTCGGTGTCCTGGCCAACAATTTTTCCCAAAATAAAATTGGTCACTCCTTTCATGGCTGTTTGTAGGACACTATTGGACGCAATTGTGCTGCCACGTTTGCCTACAAATACACAGTCACTCCACTGTAAATCCTGTGAGGTGCTTTGAGACGTTCTTTCAACGTGGCAAGGCGCTATATCAAATGCAAAGATTATTATAAAAAATTCCTTATGTTGCAGTGTTACAGGGGTTTATAACCTGCTCACACGTTCAGAGCAGTAGCTGAATGACAGCAAAGTACACTTGCTTATCAGTGTTACACCATCCTTACAGATGGTGAGGGGAGAGGCTCGAAAGGATGATTTCACTCTGAGTGAGTCAGGGTGCGGAGTTTACAAGCACAACGTGTCCAAGATTAAAAGGGACCAGGAATAAATAAAATATTGATGGAAAAATGTTGGGTGGAGAGAAAAAGTGAAATTAATGAACAGGGTGACCTTTTCTACAGTTCGAATCTCTGAGTGTCACAAACACAATGAGTAAAACAATAACAATAATACTGCTTGCATTTGATATAGTGCCTTAGCACGTCACGTCAAAGCGCTTCACAGAATATATTGTAAGGTGAAGTGACTGCATATTTTGTTGGCGAAATACGGCAGCCAATTGCACGCAGCAGTGTTCCACAAGCAGTCGTTGAGTGAGTGACCAATTTTATTTTATGGAGAGATTATTACACCCCAGGAAGCGATCTGTCAATCAGCTACACCTGGGTTTCTGCTTACTGCTAGGAAACAGAAGTGTGTGGTGTAAGGAAAGTTGCCTAAGTTTTCGCCCTGGCCAGGAATAGAACCTGAGTCCTCTCGCTTGGGATGCTTCTAATTCTCCCCTGACTGACCGTTACCCTCCCAGCCCCCACAGACCTCCGTCCCGCACATCCCCCCACCACTGACCGACCGGCTACTTGCATACATGTGGCTTCGAGCCGCTCTGTGCCTTGCCGGTTGTAGGTCCTCACTGCTCGGTACTGCACCAGCACGGTCCTTCCCGGTGTAGTAGGTCCAAAGGCTTTTCTGGGGACACAATCACATGTCACCAGCACAGTATTCATCTGAATCCCAGCATCAATAGTGTCACAAAGGCTATCTGTACATTCCCTGTGTCTCTCAGGGAGATAGCTGTATGTTCCTTCCAGTCTCCTCACTCAGGGAGATATCTGCACTCACTGGGATCTCTCAGCCTGGGATCTCATTTCAATTATTTCCCTCAGAGAGGACAGTAGTGGTCTTTAGTCCAGTTCCTGAGCCAGGCGGGTCCGCAGTATTCCAGGGCATAATAATCCTTGCATTTGATATAGCGCTTTTCACGTCGGGAGGACGTCCCAAAGCGCTTCACAGAACACACTGTAAAGTGAATTTGACTGTATATTTGTGGGCAAACGCCGCAGTCAATTGCGCTCAGCAATGTCCCACAAACAGTCGTAGATTGAAAATGACCGATTTATTATTGATTTTGGTTTTGGAGGGATTGCTGATGACAGCACAGCCAGCCTGGCTCATCTGCAGGACTTGGAAGGGCAGACCAGTCACTGGGGGCAGGGAATCCTCCCACTCAGCTTCTGTTAACCCTGCAAGCCAAAGCCCTAGTGGGGAGGGTGGTCCTAGTTGGACAAGTAGCGGGAAAGCTTTGCAGACAGCAGTATCAATGGCAAGCTATATGGTTGTTACTTGTTAGACTTGTTACTTGTTAGCAGTACACAAGCCTTGGCTCCTGCCAACCTGCGCCAAACACTTTCCAGAATTAGGAAAGTAGGGTGAGTCCCTCCAGGGAGGGAGAGAGTGCGTATTCCATTCCAACAATCTGGATATGTGGAATTCTCAGTTTGGTTTGGACACTCTTAAGCACGGTGATGGGTTTCCGCATGTGTCAGACACCCGGCTGACCCCAAAAAAAATCTCCGTCAGGGAGATATCTACCCACTGACTGGGTCTCAGCCCCTCACAGACTAGAGATAATGGACAGAAGGGGCTGAATCTCTTTTTGACCCTCTCAGTGGCATAATGGCTCACTCACCCAAACTGTAGCTCCTTCTTCCGGGTATGGTACACGACCAGCAGCACAGCCACCAGGGTCAGGGCAGCACACAGTATCCCAATGACCAGAGGGGCCCACGACCGTCTGTGCTTTCCTTTCCGAGGTTCTGAGATCGACAAACAAGGGAAGGATCTTTAAAGAGCAGCGACCATCTGTATCGAGGTCACAGATTGGGCAGTAGAACTGAGACTCAGCAACAGGAAACCCGGGGAGTGTCTGGGAATTTGTCTGATATCATAGACAGCGATAGTGATAGAAGGCGTCAGGCTGGTACACAATAGTATGTTAGATGTTCCATTTTCAAATCAAGAGTTTTATTATCCACTAAAATCCACTGGTTGGGAATCGATGCAAAGGGGGAATATAGTCTCAGGATTGGGAGGGAGAGAGGAAAACATCTCTTGACCTAGAAGGTTGATGAGTGAATGTGGGGAGAGCTGGACAGTGAGGTGGACAGAACAGGCTGCTGGCCCCTGTGCTGAAACTCTATGTGGCTCGTGTGCTCTCATCCTTGAGGCCTAAGGATGATACAGGAACAGATGGAGGTTATTTAACCCGTTGTGTCTGACCTGCCAGTTTATTAGATATGGGCAGAACTTTACCTGACGTTTCACCAGCCCTTAACAGCCTTCCTTCCCAATCATCCATCTGTCTGACTGGAGGATGTCAGCCTGGCTCAGTGGTAGCACGCTCAGTATGACTCAGAAGGTTCTGGGTTCAATTCCTACGTCAGGACTTGGAACTCATAAGGTCCAAGCTGACACTTCAACGCAGCGCTGGGGGAATGCTGATGTGTAGGAAGTGCCGTTCTTCAGGTGAGACCAAGGTCCGATCTGGCTGTTTAGTGGAACTTAAAGATACCATGGCCCTATTCCAAAAGAGAAGGGAGTTTCTTCCTGTGTCCAGACCAACAATGCCCCAGATAAAATTGGTAACCCACTTTGGCTGTTTTGAGTTATTGCAATGTGCAAATTGGCAACTTCATTTGCCCACAAAACACATAGTCACTGGACTCTACAATATATCCTGTGAAATGCTTTGAGACTTCTTCCCGACATGAAAGGCGCTATATCTAGTGCAATAATTATTACCATAATTAATGGATTTTACATTTGGGGCAATGAAATCCATTATTTCACAACCCGCTGAAAAATGTTTCTGATCTCCCCTCTTCATTCTGATGTTAAGAGCCACATTTTGGACACCACTACAGTCACCCTCGATCAATCCCAGAGGGATTGGACAAGCTACAAGAGAGAGTGACTACTTTTCCAACCATCCATCTGTCTTGGCTCATATCCTTCACTCTTGGCTATGAGTTGGAAGGTTGTGGGTTCAAGCCTCGTGTCAAGATTTGGAACCCATATGGTCCAAGCTATCACTACAAAACATAGTTGTTAACATTGCAATGACCTTCGCGCCCAATCCCCGGTAACCTGCAGAGAGGAGCTGTGTAATAATAAGGCTGTTCACCTGGCTGAGCTGCCAGTACCAGTGTTTGGCTCCACGGCCCAGCACCTGCCACAGTGAATGCCTGCACACGGATCAAGTGTCTGGTGAAGGGGTCGAAAGGTTGAAGGACGGCTCGGGTATCCGCGTGGACAGTGATCTCCTGCAACACACAACAAAACTGCTTAGCAAGCCCCCCCTCAACAACACGCCCCCCCCATCAACAACCCCCTGTCAGATATCTCCCCCGCCCTCTTGTCAGGTAATGATAATCCTTGCATTTAATATAGCGGCTCATCATATCTTCGAGACGTCTCAAAGCGCTTCACAGGATACACTGTAACTTGACTGTGAATTTTGTGAGTGGAACACGGCAGCCAATTGTGCACAGCAGCTTTCCACGGACAGTCGTGGATTGAGTGGCCAAATTGTTTTGTAGAATTTTTTTCTTTGAAGGGATTATTACCCCCAGAAAAGCGATCCACTAACTGACAAACAACCGGGTTCCTACTTACAGGTACGGAAACAGAGGCTCATGGAGTAAGGAAACTTGCCTAAGGTTTCACCCTTCCCGGGAATCAAACCCGGATGTAAGTTTGCAGTTACCTTGCTGCTCCTGTTTTTACTCCAATCCACCCTGTAGCCCAGGAGAACCCCATTCACATCCTGGGGCCTCAGCCCTTGCCATCCAACCACCAAGGACGACTTGTTGCGGAGAAATGTCACGTTCTTGGGTGCTGCACCTGGAGCTGAACACAGACAGTTACCACCAGTCGCCTGCTGCCACTCCTTCATTGTCACTCCTTCTTCCTCCTCCCATTGCCGCTCCCCCTCCCACTCCCCCATTGCCACTCCTCCTTGGCCACTCGTCCACTGACACTGGCCATTCCCCCACTGGCTCTCACCTTCCCATTGCCCCTCCCGCTCCACTGCCACTCCATCAACTGTAACTCTCCCACCCTCACTGCCAGTCTCACTGTCACTCCCCCACTGCCATTGCCGCTCCGCGATTGTGACCCTGGTTTGGCTTTGTTGTGCCATGACCCTCACCAGCCTCCAAGGTGCTGAAGTGGGTCCAGTTGGTGAAGTGAGAGTCGCCGACCTGGTTGGTGCAGCGCAGGCGGGCGATATAGTGCGTGAAGGGTTTGAGGCCCTCCAGCATGTGTTCGTACGGCGGCACCTCAAACGTCTGCTCCAGGGGCACAGTGACGCTCCCGTCAGGGCCCGAGCTGGGGACAACCTGCCAAGAGAGAGGCCAGAGAGACAGAAGGCAAGAAAATGAGAGAAACATTTTGTTGGGGGATCAGCCGGGAGTCTGACACATCATCGTGCTTAACAGTATCCCAGAGATAGATTGTTGGAATGGAATACGCCCTCTCTCCCTGGAGGGACACAATCTGCTTACCTAATCCCAGAGAGTATTAAGCGCAGGTTGGCAAGAGCCAAGGCTTGGGGACCCCAGAGCATGTGTTGGAGTCTAACCAGCTAAAACCGCATAGCTTGCCATTGATATTGCTGTCCGGGAAGCTTTCCTGCTGTTCGAGCAACTAGGACCACCCTACCCGCTAGGGCTTTGGCTTGCAGGATTAACGGGAGCTGAGTGGGAGCATTCCCTGTTCCCGGTTACTGGTCTGCACCTTCCAGATCCTGTCCAAGAGCCAGGCTGGCTGTGCTGCCATCAGTAGTGCCCTGGAAAACTGCGGACCTGCCTGGCTCAGGAACTGGACTGGAGACTCCACAGATGGCTGACTCGATTCCAACATTCCATTGGCAAACATGTCACCCTTGGAGCCAGTTCAGCTCCAAGGCGAGAGAGAGAGAGAGCAATCAAGGGAGAGAGGTGAGTGCAATCTTTTAAACCTCAGATGTGCCATGGTATAATCTTAAATAACAACAATAATAATCCTTACATTTGATAAAATACCTTAGCACATCATCAAATCTCAAGCACTTAGTAGGCTTTACTGCAAAGTTTAGTGACTGTGTCGTGACCGACTAGTAGCCAATTTGCAGACAATAACGTCCCACAAACAGCTGTGAAGTGAAGGCCGTGTTGAGTTACAGCAGAAGGAGAGACGGGCTGAACACACAGACTGAGACACAAGCTCCCTCACCCCACTCCACTCAGTGACCAATGAATGAGGTGAGAGACACAAATTATCTCAATGGCCTGACTTTGTAAGCTTCAAAGCAGAGAACGGAACTATTACTTGTCGAACATAAACCTAGCATTAAAGTCTGATCTTTAAATACATGTCAGGTCTGATTTAACCCTCTTTATACCAAGACATCAGAGACTTGAGTAGTCGATCCTGATTAATAACTATCGCTTGCGTGGTGACTGTCTTTACAGAAGCTAATCTATGCCAGGAACAAGCTGCAGAGAGTTGAATTTCCATTTAATCTGTGAAGTTGGATGAGGGAGAATGATTTAATAATAATTCTTACATTTGATATAGTCTTAAATAAGGGTAATAATAATCGTTACATTTGCCTTTCACGTTGGAAGGACATCTTCACAGGATTTACTGTGAATTGTGGTGACTGTGTTTTGTGGATGAACTCCCTGCCCTGTTGTGACCACTGCGTGCAATACAAGAATAATAATTCTTGCATTTGATGTATTGCCTTAGCACGTCATTGAGACGTCTCAAAGCGCTTCAAGGTATACTGTGAAGTGAATTGACTTGGATATAGCAGTGTTCCACAAACAGTTGAGTATTGAGTGACCAAATTATATATTTTTTTGAGGGATTAATAACCTCCAGAATACCGGTCTGCCAATCGACTAGCAACCTGGTTCCTACTTTACTGCTGAGTAAACAGAGGTGTGTGGAGTAAGGAAACTTTCCTAAAGTTTTGGTCCGCCTGGGAACTCAGATTACTCAGGAGGAGTGAGTCTGGCTGTGTGGCATGTGTAACTTTCATCATAAGGGGTTTGTGAGGGAAGAACACTTGAAACCCTTTCTCCTGACAGAAGCTTTTTCAGTAAAAAGGCCTGTGTCCGTGATTGAGAACCGTGAAGTAATTCAATTAACAAGCAAAGTGTAGCCCTTGGAGCGAGTCATAGAGGCACAAACTGGGGAGCAAACCACAGGCCCAAAATTCCTGTGGTCTTAGCCTACAGACTTATTAAAATGTCTATTAAAATTAAAAATTGCACAGGGTTGTGAAAAATCTTTCACTTCAGTCTTAAACTGGAAACTGGATTTCCGCATTGCTTAAAAGAACTATCTTCCTAATAAATAATAATAATAATAATAATCCTTGCATTTGATATAGCGCTTTTCACGTCGGGAGGACGTCCCAAAGCGCTTCACAGAACACACTGTAAAGTGAATTGACTGTATATTTGTGGGCGAACGCAGCAGCCAATTGCGCACAGCAATGTCCCACAAACAGTCATAGATTGAAAATGACCAATTTATTATTGTTTTTGGTTTTGGAGGGATTATTATTAGGCTCTGTGTGGAGTAAGGAAACTTGCCCAAAGTTTCGCCCTGACCTGCCTGGAATTGAACTCCGGTCTCTCGCTTACAAAGCGAGTGCTCTAACCACTGAGCTACAGGACTCCGAGGCTAATAGTGGGCTCTTTCACAATTCTGCCCATTCTTACATTTTAAGACAATGATTTTGACGTGGACTTTGAAACCACAACCTTCTGACTCAGAGGTAAGAATGATACCATCTGAGCCAGGCTGACATTCAAATGTATTTCAATATGTTATGACAATATTAATCTGAAAATCAGCCTATTTGACTATTAAACTAAGAGCAGATTATGCCTTATCACGCAGTTTAGACTCCTCAAAGCATTTCACAGAATATACTGTAAAGTGGAGTGACTGTATATTTTGTGGGTGAAATGCAGCAACCAGTTTGCACAAAGCAATGTACTGCAAACAGCCATGAATGACCAATTTTATTTGAGGGATTGTTGGTCAGGACACTGGGAGAGAGAAATTCCCTTCTCTTTTTGAATAGTGTCATGGGCTCTTTAATGTCCTCCTGAACAGGCAGACAGGACCTTGGTTTAACATCTCATCCGAAGGACGGCACCTTCGACAATGCAACACCCGCTCAGCACCACATTGGATTGTCATCTTAGACAATGTGATTCCAAGTCCTGACGTGGGGCTTGAATCTTCTGACTCAGAGAGTGCTACCACTATACCAGGGTGACACCCAGTGCTGTGTGAGCTTTAGTGGTTTACAGTGCATTTCAGACTGTTTGAAGGGTTTCAGAAATCAGAAGTTCAGTGTCCTCACTGATAGTTACCTGAGCGGTACACGAGCGAAGCTTTGAGAAACCCTCTGTCTGGACGGTCCAGGTGATGCTGACCTCGTGAGGGGTCATGTTGGTTACACTCAGTGCCCTGGGTGGATCTGGTAAAACTGCACAAGAAGCAAGTACTTCAATCGTATGATCAGTGACTCACTGTAACTGAGCCCAGCACAGACAGTAACTGTGATCAGTGGCCTCTCACTGAGCGTGACTGAGCCCAGTAACTGTGTGATTAGTGGGCTTTCACTGTGATTGAGCCCCGCACAGACAGTAACTGTATGATCAATGGGCTTTCACTCTGACTGTCACTGAGCCATGGAAGCAGCCCCAATTGTGATCGCAAGTCTTGACAAGTGAGGAATTTGCACGAATTGACTATTCCCGGCGGCCTCAGCCACCAGGAGCCTGTGCTAGTCCGCAGCTCTCTCTCTCTCCATAATATCTGGATGATCGAGCAGCTCTATGAAGTAACACTGGTCAAATGGACTGACTCTGCTCTATTCCAGTCAGGGAGGGGCTCCACTGGCAGAATACTTTTTTATTGTTTGCTCGAAGAGGTACATATTCCCCCTCCCCCCGCCCTTCTCACCCAATTCACTGTAAATTCCCCCTATAAAGTGTGACTTTCATCCATTCAAAGGCAGAATCGGAGAATTAGACCTATGATGAATAGTTTGCGACTTTAAATCGGAGCTTGTTACAGTGAGCGAGGAAGGTGGGGGTGGGGTAGGATGATGGAATGAGTAGATGAATGAGCAGATGAGAGGTGAGAAACAAGGGAGAGGTCACAGTTGGTGTCAGGAAAGCACCTTTAACATTGGCGATCCTGGAGGCAGCGACTCCCTTACTGTTATGAGCTTCACAGGAGAAGGTGGTCGGCTGGTTTATTCCTGAGAGGAAATCACACACACAGAGAGAGTGAGTCAACCTGACATTCACATGCTTCAACCGAATCCCTGACCAACAACAACAACTTGCAGTTTTATTATAACTTGTGGAGTCCGTAGCTTAGTGGTTAGAGCACTCGCCTCGCAAGCGAGAGGACCTGGGTTTGATTCCTGGGCAGAGCAAAACATTAAGCAAGTTTGCTTACTCCACATACCTCCATTTACCTAGCAATAAAGAGGAACCCAGTTGTTATTCGCTTGGCGGATGGCAATAATAAAACCTTCAAAAAAATATAATAATAATTTGATCACTCAATCCCCCACTGTTTGTGGGACACTGCTGTACGTAATTGGCTGCTGAGTTTCACCACAAAATCTACAGTCACACCACTTTACAGTATTCTCTGAAACATTTTGAGACATCTCGAAACGTGATAAGGCGCTATATCAAATGTATGGATTATTATTATTATACAGCACGCCTTACGCACGTTTCAGAAAGTGCTTGACTGTGGCGGAGCCTGATGCCAAGATGGGGATGGGGGATAAGGAGAGGGCAAGGCAGAGGGATAGAGGGAGAGAGATCCATAGTTTTGGGGCATGGTGGCTGAAAGCACGACTACTGATGCTGGGACAGAGGGCATGAGGGGCAAGCAGGAGGCCGCAGTGAGTCGAGCAGAAGCAACGGGTAAAGGACTGGGGAGTAAGCAGGTCGGAGATGTAGGCAGATGCCAGGGCATGAAGGGATTTGAAGACGAATATCGTCTTTGTGCTGGATAAGTTAAAAAAAAACGAAGTCCTCAGTTATACACCACCCTGTAACTCACTGCCAGGTTCAGTTTGCGTTGTATTTCAGGTATGATATTACAGTATTTCCATTCTTTCCCAGAGCCTGTGTCTGTGGACATTCAGCATTCAGTTGATTCTTCCCTCCAACTCCCTACCCACCCCACCGATGTGACTCACGTACAGCTCTGCACGTGCCCAAGCTCCGATGAAGCCATGTTAGCAGCCTGGGAGCTCGCCACCTCACCTGCACAACATCCTGTCTCATTACAAGATTTTTTTGGGAGGAGTCAGACAAATGTGTAAACCCTTCACCATGCTTACAGGTTTCCGCATGTGTCAAGACACCCGACTGACCAAAAAAAACATACTACAAGATCAGACTCCCACTGGCAGGGAGAGATCTGATATCTCCAGGGGTTTCAACAGAGCAAATACGTCAATGTGTTGGAGCAGCTGGAATGTGAGATGTGGAGCATGTGAGGACTTGCTCAATATATTGTCCTAAGAGTCCATTAGTTACCAACCCTCCAGGATCACGTTCCTCTCATTCATTCTCACTGCAACGATCGCACAAACATAAAACATAATCCTTGCATTTGGCAACAACATCAACAGATTACATTTGTATTGCGCCTTTCATGTTGGGCTGGCACTTTTCAAACTCTCTCCGGGTCGCTCTTACCTTGAACTCTCAGCACAGACGGAGACTCGGTCCATTTCCCACTGACAAACGCTCCTCCCATTTTCCAGAAAAATGTTGTTGGCTTTGGTGATCCCACAGCAGCACAGGTCATGTTGAAGGTTGTGTTCTTAAAGACAGCCAAATCCTCAGGTTCCTGCGTGAAGTGTGGCAGACCTGTCGCATAAGAACAGGCATTGGACAACGAGATACTAACTAGAGAACAAGACACTAACTAAAGAACAAGGACTCCGACCTGGACAGTATGAGCTTCACTCCAAAGGCACATCAACAACAACTTGTATTTACATAGCACCCTTCACACTTCGGCCCTCTATGGTGGTATAGGGAAGTCCGATTCCTGGGCCAGGCAGGTCCACAGTATTCCAGGGCACTACTGTCATCCCAGTCTGGATTATCGGCAGGACTTGGAAGCGCAGACCAATCACTGAGGGCTCCCAGTGGAATCCTCCCACTCAACTCCTGTTAACCCTGCAAGCCAAAGCCCTAACAGGTAGGGTGGTCCGAGCTGGACAAGCAGCCGGAAAGCTTGCCAGACAGTGTGCTCTCAACGGCAAAGTATGTGATTTTAGTAGGTTGGACTCCAGCAGTTACCCCAACACACACTCTTGCCGACCTGCGCTGAATACTTTCCAGAATTTGGTAAACAGGATGTGTCCCTCCACGGAGAAAGTGCGCATTCCATTTCAACAATCCATCTCTGGAATTTCCGTGTGGGATGCGTGGTATTCTCAGTTTGGTTTAGATAGTCTTAAGCACGGTGATGGGTTTCCACACGTGTCAGACACCCGGCTGACCAAAAATATATATATATTGTTGAGAAATTGCGACGTGCTAAGGTACTACAAAAATGCAAGTTCTTTCATTACAGCCCAGAAGCAGCAGTAGAGCTCAGCTCCTTACCCTCCACACTCAGAAAGCCCTTCTTGGAGTTGATCTGAAATCCGTTGGCATTGCTCCTGCACCAATACGAGCCTGTGTCAGCCTGGTGAACTGAGCTCAACCTGGGAGAGATGGACAGAGAAGATGTCACAAGTACATTTACAACAAATCAAATGGACTTGACTTAGGATGAGATGGCAATCCAGATTTCCCAGCAGTAATTCATTTTTCAACAACCGTTACCAAGAACAGGTTGCATTAACACAGGGGCCTTCAAACAGGGCAGCGTCTCGGAGCGCTTAACTGGCAGGGCTCACGGAGCTGGCCAGACTCAGCTGAGCAGAGGGAGCAGACGGGTTGGTAAGGAGTTAGCAGGTCACAGAGATAAGGAGGGAGGAGCAGGGCCGTGGAGGACTTTGAAAGCGAGGACAAGGATTTAGCCTGTAGATACCTGATGCTGCTGAGCCACTCATCCTCGTCGAGCACCATGTGGGACACATCCGCTTCCTGCAGCTGCTTGCCATCCTTCAGCCAGTGGATTTGGGGGGAAACTGAGACCCCCTTTAGCACACACTTCATCTGTGCACTCCGACCCAAAGCCACGGTCTGGTTAGTTGGACTGGACATAAATTTCAATCCTGTTGAGACAAAACAAAGGAAGCAGGAACTGGTCAGAAAATGTGTCCTTTTGTTAACAATAATAACCTTGCATTTAATATAGCACCTTAACACGTCGTTGAGACATCTCAAAGTGCTTCACAGAGTATATTGTAAAGCAGAATGACTGTATTTTGTGGGCAAAATGTGGCAACTAATTGGGCACAGCAGTGTCCAACAAACAGTTGTGGATTGAGTGACAACATTTTTTTTTGAGGGATTATTAACCAAGGAAAGCGATCCGCAATCGACTAACAACCAGGTTCCTACTTACTGCTAAGTAAACAGAGGCGCATGGAGTGAGGAAGCTTGCCTAAGGTTTCCCCCTGCCCGGGAATTGAACTCAGGTCCTCTAGCTTGTGAGGCGAGCATCCTGACAACTACACTACAGGAATCCACTTTCCAGCCTCCAATTTACTCCCTTCTCATTACCCTCCAGCAGCTCTCCCAATCAGCCAGCCTGCACCGTGGCAGTGAGTCAGTGCGTGCAGTGTGCAATGACCGATCATATCCGCATATGCATCTGCGGAGGTAGATCAGAAGAGGGTCTGATCCTAACATTGCAAACACACTGTGTCCCTGGAAAGCATTTCCCTCCTCAGCTCTGGGCACTAGTTCATGTCTCCTGAAGGACGACACCTCTGGCAATGCAACACCTCCCGACGCTGCATTGGAGTGTCAGCTTAGACTATGTGATTCCAAGTTGGGCTTGAACCCACAACTTTCTGACTCGGGGGCAAAAAGCACCCTAATTGAGCCAGGCTGACACCAGTGTGGATGTGGATCAGGGATCAACCAGGTTACAAAATAAATCTTCCCCATGGACTTGGGCAAAAGTTTAGCAGCTGAAGTCAGTGAAGTTAACAAACACTGGTGTCACGATTGCGTTTTGAAAGGCTATTAAATAGCTGCTGCCTGTGAGAGCTACACACCCACTTTATAAACTTGCTTTTCCTGTTTAGATGCATGGATAAGAATGAATCAACAATGAATGTTCTGTGGATATCAGTTTGGATCCGGACCAAGCACAGAAAATAACAACAACATCCTACAAATATATAGCGTTCCTCACGCAGGGTAGCGTCCTAGAGCACTTGACAGCAGCGGAGCATGACACTGAGCCAGGGGGAGGTGGTAGTAGAAACGGTTGACGAGGAAGGTATTCAGGCACGACCTGAAGATGGGGAAGGAGAGAGCAAAGCGGAGAGATAGAGAGTGTTCCAGAGTTTTGGGGCGCAGTGGCTGGAAGCCCGGCCACTGATGGTGGAACGGAGTGACCTGCAGGAGCCAGTCGAGTGGAGGCAGTGGGAACTGGGTTGGGTAGTAAGCAGGTGGCAAAAAAGGGAAATAAAACCCTTAAATGTTGGGTTTAAGAATAAAACTTGTGTGATTTTCACTTTCAACATAAAGGGAACTTAATCTGAGCTGATCTGGGAGTCCTGCGCGGACAGTGTAGAGGGAGCTTTACTCTGTATCTAACCTGTGCTATAACTGACCTGGGAGTGCTAATAATAATCTTTGCATTTGATATAGAGCCTGATCACGTCTTCGAGACGTCTCAAAGCACTTCACAGAATATACTGTAAAGTGAATTGACCGTGTATTTTGTGGGTGAAACGCGGCAGCCAATTGCGTACAGCAGCGTCCCACAGACAGTCTTGGATGGAGCGAGCAAATTATTATTATTATTATTGTTGTTTTGAAGGGATTATTACCCCCGGGGGAAAGCAATCCGCTAATCGGCTGACAACCAGGTTCCTACTGACCGCGAGGTAAACAGAGGTGCGCGGAGTAGGGAAAGTTGCCCTACAAGGTTTACGCCCTGCCCGGGAATCGAACCCAGGTCCTCTCGCTTTGCGAGCCGAGCGCGGCGACTACAGGACGCCACAATATCCAAACGAGCTGCCTTTGCGACCCATTTGTCTTCGCCGGTAATGAATATTTAAAGTGTACATTTTTAATTGTTCCATTTGTCTCACACACACACAGAGAAAAGCAATGTGAAGCCCCAATAGACCATCTCATTAGCTACCTGCGATCCACTCCCACCACCCCCCTCCACCCCTGGGGCAGATCATATTAAAATTACTGCAACTTCTTTGCCTGTGGGGTTTAACCCGTCGTTTGCTGTGCGTGTTACAGTGAACATGCACCAGTGAAGTCAAGAGACGGGAGTGGAGTTAAAACGAGTGGGGAAAGTGCAGGGCAAGTGAGGCTCAGGGGACAGACTGAAACTGACCCAACTGAGGCTCACAGACTGACCACCAACTTGAGAGAGAGAGAGAGAGAGGGAGATGTGTGTGTGCAAACCCCTCTCTCTCGCACACACACAGTGACTGACCCACACAACACACACACAGTGACTGACCCACACAACACAGTGTCTGACCCACACAACACACACACACAGTGACTGACCCACACACACACACAGTGACTGACCCACACACACACACAGTGACTGACCCACACAACACAACAGTGACTGACCCACACACCACACAACACAGTGACTGACCCACACAACACACACACACAGTGACTGACCCACACAACACAGTGACTGACCCACACAACACACACACACACAGTGACTGACCCACACAACACAGTGACTGACCAACACAGTGACTGACCCACACAACACACACACACACACAGTGACTGACCCACACAACACACACACACAGTGACTGACCCACACAATGTCACCTCGGCTTCACTCGCACGCAACTAGTCGCCAAGTGGGCAACTTTTTTTTGGGGGGGGTGGTGGTGGTTTGGAGGAAGGAGAGAGGGAGAGATAGAGAGAGAGAGAAAGAAATAGGTTCGAAACTCACCCCAGGAGACGTGGAGCACCAGCGAGGCGATCAGACAAGTGGTTGGGATCATCTTTTTTCTTTGCAAAAACACAACGCAACAACACAAGTGTCAAGTTTTGCTCCTTCGATACTGAACGGATCCCCGGTGCCTTATCGGGGGGGGGGGAACCACAGGCTGTAGACTTGCAGAGCGAGAGAAGGAGGGAGGGAGGGAGGGAGGGAGAGAAAGAGAGAGAGAGAAAGAAAGAAAGCGAGAGAGAGAGAGGAAAGCAGAGGCTGGAACCCTCCCCAGACCATCTCCCTTTGGATGAGTTCAGGAAATAAGGAGGAGTTTGGCATTCAAGGAAGCGCCCCCAATGCACCCAATGCTGAGCTGCACATCTCCAGTGCTGGTTCAGTGTGACTCAGTCCCCCCCACCCCCCACCACACCATCACAACCCCTACCCACCCACCCACCCCCCCACCCCCCACCCCCCGATTGGAAGCTTTCACTTAATTAAAATCAGTAGATCATCATAAACCCCGACACGGTCCTCGTTCCTCGGCTGCTGACTCGGGGTTGGCATTCCGACTGCTTCGCTCCTCTCCCAGCGCCAAGGAGACGCCTGCGTTAACAATGACAGCGAAACCAGCCCGGCTCGGTGGTGGCGGGCTCGCCTCTTGTGTCAGAACCTTTTGTGGGTTCGAGCCCCCACCCCCCCAAGTCAGGACTTGAAACTCACATGGTCTGAGATGACTCTCCCAATGCAGATCGTGGGGTTTGGGGGTGGGGTGTTGCATTGTCCGAGGTGCTGTTCTTCGGATTAGATGTTAAGTTAATAATAATAATGATAATCCTTGCATTTCATATAGCGCTTTCCACGTCTTCTCGACGTCTCAAAGCGCTTCACAGAATAGACTGTAAAGTGAATTGACTGCATTTTTGTGGGCGAAGTGCGGCAGCCAATTGCGCACAGCAGCGTCCCACAAACAGTCGTAGATTTTGAAGTGACCAATTTATTATTTTTTTTCTTGAGGGATTATTATTAGACGTGTGGAGTAAGGAAATTTGCCCAAAGTTTCACCCCGCTGGGAATCAAACCCAGGTCTCTCGCTTGAGAGGCGAGTGCTCTAACCACTGAGCTACAGGATTCCACAAGTATTCTAAGGAATTCTAAAATAGGCACAAAAAAGAGATCTTTTCTCTATCCCCAAAATCGATGGACGCACCTCTGATAATTCACTGTCAGTCTCGACTATTAATCTCAAGACCCAATATTGGGCTTTGAGCTCACAACCTTCTAACTCAGAAGTGAGGGAGGAGCAATTCCAACCGAGCCACACTGACATCCTAAAATACTAGAAAATCAGCACTATTTAAACATTCCATTAACCAAAGCAGTTGTTTTCTTTAAAATAGGCAAGACACATTAAATGACTAAGAGCCTGAACAACAAAGTCAATAACAAAAATCATTGTCACATCTTAGGGATATTGATCAGATCCACTGGCGTATCAAAGACTAACACATTTCATTTGGTTGTCTGTCTGGTGAAGGGACAATATTATTGGAGCTTGTATTTGTTTTAAATTGAGGTTCTAACAGTAACTGTTCAGGTGGATGTTAAAGATCCCACCGCGCTATTCGAAAAGAGAAGGAAGTTTCTCTCTCCCGGTGTCCTGGCCAACAATCCCCCAAATAAAATTTGTCGCTCACTCCACGTCTCTTTGTGGGACATTGCTGTGCTCGATTGTGCTGCTGCATTTGCCTACTAATACCCAGTTACTCAACTTCAAATTAACCCCGTGAAACGCTTTGACATGTCTCGACGATGTGATAATGAAGGGAAATAGAGAGGAAGAGGGGAACTCAGATAAGAAACTCACCAATAATGCCTTCATGCCCTAGCACCTCCCTCCTACCCCACTGCTCTACAGGCCCTCCGATCGGCTGGCTCAGGCTTGCTGCTCAGCCCCCGCCTTTGCATTATCGGCTGAGTTTCCTATTTCTACGCTTCCGCCCTCTGGAATTATCTCCATCGACCCCTCTGTTTTCCCCTCGCAATCTGTCTTGAAATATATAAATGCAAAAAGGTTATGGAGATGAGGATTTGTAAGGGCAACAAGGGATTGGTAGGTGAGGATGAGGACCTTGAATTTGAACTGGCAAGGATTGTGATGATGGACATACAGGGTTTGGTGCCAGAGAGGATGTGTGGGCGGAGTACATTGGAATTCATGGATGGTGGAGCTAGCAAGACCAGCGAGGATACCTTAGAGAACTTTAAGTGGGAGATATTGATGACATGGATCAATGTTTCATTGGCATTGGTTGTGAGTTAGGGGCAGAAGCCCCATGTGGAGTCCCGTAGCGTAGTGTTTAGTGCACTCGCAAGCAAGAGGACCTGGGTTCGATTCCCAGGCAGGGCGAAACCTTAGATGAGTTTCCTTACTCCACATGCCTGGTTGTTTGTCGAATGGTGGATCGAGATTTTGATGTGAGCCAATGCGGAAGGCTTCCATCCTGTCTATGTTGATTTTGAAGTAAATTGTGGACAGAACATCAGTGGAAGGGTCGTGGACCCGAAATATTGACTCACTTTACTTTCTCCGTAGATGCTGCCTGACCTGCTGAGTGTTCCCAACGACTTCTGTTTTAGTTCCAGAACATCAGTGGATGTGGAATCAAGAGTAGATGTGGAAAAGTAGAGTTGGGTGTCATCCGAACAGAGGTGTAAATTAATCCCATGTCTGTGGATATCATTAAGAGAATCTTTCACTGTTACTCAATCCTTCCACAATGGCTGAACACCTTTCATTATTTGTCACTTCTCTCACAGTGATCAAAGATCTTTGAACTCAAACTCGTGCCCTTCAATATGTAAATGAGTAAATTGGTTCACTTCTTCAAAGATACTGCACAAAGCAACACTCCCTCATTTTACTTCAAGTACAACCCATTTTGACACACACTTCACACTGTAAAGGAAGCGCTCTGCATGTTTAAATGAGTGTGAAGCTGATCACACTCTGTGCAGTAATATATTCCACCCCCAACATTTGCCATTATTGATGACCTGACTGTAAACCAGAGTAAATGATCCACAGTCACGCCAGGAACCCAGCCAGGGAAACGGAGACAGCAAACCAGCTTAATACACAAGAGTAACTGACTGATCGCAGTGCGTTACAGGCTGGAATCTAAACCAGGAGGTTTGGTAATGGTTTAGAAACAGAATCATTGATCAACTGGAGTGAATCACTGGCTGGAATCACATTGAGGGATTGGACAGTTTATATATAGAACGCAAGGAGTGAGTCACAGTCTGGAGTCGGTTTGAATGATTTATATATAGACCACTAATCTTTGCATTAATATCGTGCTTTATAATGTCCAAACATCTCAAAGTGCTTCACACAAGAGTTACTTTGACCTACTATGTAAAAAAAACAGCTAATCTGTGCTAATAACAACCCACAAATGTCCAATTATTTTGTTTATTGGTTAATCGGGATGGTGGGACATTGCTGTATTAAGTTTACACAGTATTTGATAATAATAATCCTTGCATTTGATATAGTTGCTTATCATGTTGTTGAGACGTCGCAAAGCGCTTCACAGAATGTACTGTAAAGTGGATCGACTGTGTAATTTGTGGCCGAAACGCGGCAGAGAATTACGCACAGCGGTGTCCCACAAACACTTGTGGACTGAGTGATCACACTTTTTTTTGAAGGGATTATTACCCCCGGAAACCGATCCGTCAGTCGACTAACAACCGGGTTTCTGCTCACTGCTGGGTAAACAAAAAAACAAAACCCCAGAGTGGCCGATGTGTCCGAATGTTGCCGCCTGTGAATTGGATGTGGAATGACACAGACGCAGCTTCACGTACCCCACCACTGGGAACGATGGCTGCAAGGTGACATGCTTGACAACGAATGCCAGGATCGAGTGAACCCTCTGTGGCGGTCCCGGCGAGTCCATTTCCTGAGCCAGACGGATCTGCGGTGTTCCATGGATGACAGCCTGGCTCATCGGCGGGACGTGGAAAAGCAGACCAGTCACTGGCAGGTACTCTTCCCACGCAGCTCCTGTTAACCCTGCAAACCAAATAGGGGTAGGGTGGTCCTAACTGCACAAGCAGCGTGAACATTTACCAGAGAGTGCTCTCAATGACAAGACATTCGGTTTTAGACTATAAAAGTACTGCAACGCACGCTCTGATTCTCGGTTTCGTTTGGATACTCTTAATAATGGTGACGGGTTTCCGCATGTGTCAGACACCCGGCTGACCAAAAAAGATTAGGTAAGCAGGATGAGTCCCTCCAGGGAGAGAGTGTGCGCATTCCATTCCAGAAACAAGGTAGCTTCTATGTATAGGTGACCTACATAGCTGAATCTCTGTTTGGTTTGGATACTCTTAAGCACGGTGATGGGTTTCTACGTGTCGGACACTCGGCTGAGCAAAAACAATTGGGAACAACATGGGGGGAGAGGGGGGAAGGAGGAGGAGAGGAAAAACAATGTGTTTAATGTAAGCAATAAGGTAAGGTGTGTCTATATAGATTGCCTGACACCCACAGCCAGATAACTCGCTGTCTGCAAAATCTTAACTAGGAAAAGCAGTCTTTTGAATTTTTGATCATTTTGTTAATAACTCTTGTATTTGACACCTTAATGTGTTGTCTCAAAGCGCTTCACCAGATTTATTGTAAAGTGAGCTTGCTGGCAATAACAGCAGCCAATTTGCACACAGCAATGTCCCACAAACAGCAATAAAGTGAATAGCTGATTTTATCTGGGGTTTGTTGGCAGGGAGCACTGGGAGAAACTCCTCTGTCTTTTTTCAAATGACGTCATGAATCTTTAATGTCCATTTGAACAGGCAGATAATAATAATTCTAATAATACTTGCATTTGGTGTAGCGTCTTATCACTTTGGAAAGACGTCTCAAAGCACTTCACGGCATTTACTCTGAAATGGAATTTCTTTGTGCTTGTAGGCAAACGCTGCAGCACAATTGCACACAGCAATATCCCACAAACAGCCATGGAGTGAGTGACCAATTTTATTTGGGGGGGCGTATCAGGTAGGATCCAAGGATAGGAAACACAAGTACCTCGTACATGGAACAGAATGTGCCAAAGAGAAAGCTGAAAGAGACTTAGGGGTACTTGTTGACTCATCATGCACTATGTGAAAACTATGTGAGGCAGCAATAAACGAGGCAAATAAGACGAACAAAATGTTGGCCGATACTGCTAAATCAGTTGCGTTCAGATGCCCAAATGTCATACACGGGCTGTACAAGGCTCAGATCAGACTGCATCAATGTTAAATACTGCATGCGGTTCAGGTCACCGTAACATATGCCAGGCCCGAGAGACAGTGCGGAGAATGATGATGTTATAAGAATGAGCTATGACTAGACAACTAGACAAAGTAGGGCTCTTCAGTCTTGAGATAAGACAACAACAACAAATTACATTTGTATCGCTCCTTTCACATTGAGCGGACGTACCAAGACCTCAGAACTGTATAAAATAATAAATGGGATTGAAAAAGTAATAATAATAATCCTTGCATTTGATATAGCGCCGTATCATGTCTCTTATAAGACGTCAAAAAAGCGCTTCACAGAATATACTGTAGTGAATTGACCGTATATTTTTGTGGGCAAAATGCGGCAGCCAATTGCACACAGCAGTGTCCCGCAAACAGTTGTGGATTAAGTGGCAACATTTTTTCTTTTAAGGTTTACCCCCTGAAAAGCGATCCGCCAATCTACCAGGTTTCTACGTACTGCTAGGTAAACAGAGGCACGTGAAGTAAGGAAACTTGCCCAACGTTTTGCCCCACCCAGGAATGGAACCCAGGTCCTCTTGTTTCAAGGCGAGTAAGTCCAGTTAACACTTTTAGGATGATTCAAGATAGTAGAACAAGGAAGCGTTTATTTTCACAGAGGTTAATTAATGGCTGAAAAGGTGACTGAGGCCAGGACACTGGGCTCAATTAAAAAGCAGCTTGACACAGTGATGGGGGGAGTGGTGCTGGGTGGTTTGGAGGGAATAGATTGGGGCCCATCCAGACCAATCTTGTGATCTTGTGTAGTGACTGTGTATTTTTGTAGGCAAACGTGGTGGCCTATCTTGTGCACAGCAATGTCCCCCAAACAGCCAAACCCACTATAATTTGAAGGAACGATTAAATGCGTGAATAAGCACATTATCAACATTTAATTACGTTTTCGATGAAAGTTGGGGCAGAGAAGATGGCGTCTCTCAATGTTGCAATGGAGTCTTATCTGGAACAGCCCACTGATGAGGAGTGCTGGGGTCACTGAGAATCTACCGATCGAGTCTCCACCTAAGACAAAAATTATCACATCCTTCACATTCCTCCGGGAAGAATAGTTAACTGGCAACAAAGTCGAGGCTGGAACACAATCGAGTGGATTCAGTTGGTTATAGAGATTCGATGCTTGTCTCCAGTCTCTGGGGTTGGTGCCAGACTCTGAGGTTGGACATCTGCTTGGTGGGAGGAACGTTGATGGGAGGACCTTTTTAAGGAGCTGTTAGAACATCGCTGGCACGACATAAGCTGTCTTGTAAAGGTCCTCCCTCCATCCCGAAGGCAGACGTTCATCAGATAACTAATGTGGAAACTCTTGAGGCTTACCTGGAGTTCAGATTGATGAACAGACACTCACACTTACGGCGCTCGGAATCTACCTGGTCTGGTTTGCCGAGCGATAAGGCAGCTGCTGCTCAAGACCCACATCTCCAAGTGGTGGAACGATGTGCTCAGTGGGAAGCGATGCCTATCTGAGCAATGGCCAGACAGGAAGATGGCGGCGATGCTCTCACGCATTTGGTGCTGAGCTGTTTTGCCCATTGCAAAGCTGACAGGGAGTTCCTGGAACCTGCCAGCCAACGGGCGAGGCCTCAAACCCACACTGGTTTGATGCCAAATGACCCAACTGGTGACTGTTGTCCGTGTGGGGGAGGCAAGCGGGGAAGGGGAGGGGGTGGGGGAGGCAAGCGGGGAAGGGGAGGGGGGGGGGGGTCTCTCCTTGGAGCAGAACTAGCCCTGAAGCAATGTGTTTGGCAAAGCAATTCGGAATTGACTCAGACATTGCTGCCAGTCTCGGGGGGTCACTGCCAGCCTCCGGGGGGTCACTGCCAGCCTCCGGGGGGGGGTCACTGCCAGCCTCCGGGGGGGGTCACTGCCAGCCTCCGGGGGGGGGGGGTCCCTGCCAGCCTCGGGGGGTCACTGCCAGTCTCGGGGGGTCAGCCTCCGGGGGGGGGGAGGGTCACTAACAGCCTCCGGGGGGGGGGGGGGGTCACTGACCCCCTCTGGTGTGTCTGGTTTCTGTGGCAACACCGGAGCTGTACAGGAAGTGAAGGCAGTGAGTGCCACCGCGATTAGGGTCCCTCTGTCCCCCCACACCCCACCCCCGGCCTCTCGCTCTCTCTCTCTCCCTCTCCCCCCCCGGGCCTCCCTCTCCCTCTCTCCCCCCCGGGCCTCCCCCTCTCCCTCTCCCCATGGCTGTGCTCCGCGCTCTCCACCGGCCGCTGCTGGTGCTGAGCCGACAGCCCGCGGTGTCCGGGCTCCGAGCTCAGGCCCCGGGGCCGCGGCCCCACAGCAGCTCCGTGTCCGTCGACGACACCGTGAACGGCCTGAGCGAGGAGCAGAGACAGGTTAGTGACCGCTAACCAGCAGCTCACTACAGCCCGGGCCCACCATAACCAGCAGCTAACTACAGCCCGGGCCCACCATAACCAGCAGCTCACCACAGCCCGGGCCCACCATAACCAGCAGCTAACTACAGCCCGGGCCCACCATAACCAGCAGCTAACTACAGCCCGTGCCCACCATAACCAGCAGCTCACCACAGCCCGGGCCCACCATAACCAGCAGCTAACTACAGCCCGTGCCCACCATAACCAGCAGCTCACCACAGCCCGGGCCCACCATAACCAGCAGCTCACCACAGCCCGTGCCCACCATAACCAGCAGCTCACCACAGCCCGGGCCCACCATAACCAGCAGCTCACTGTAACCAGTGCCCACCATAACCAGCAGCTCACTGTAACCAGTGCCCACCATAACCAGCAGCTAACTATAGCCGGTGCCCACCATAACCAGCAGCTCACCACAGCCCGGGCCCACCATAACCAGCAGCTAACTGTAGCCGGTGCCCACCATAACCAGCAGCTCACTGTAACCAGTGCCCACCATAACCAGCAGCTCACTGTAGCCGGTGCTCACCATAACCAGCAGCTCACCACAGCCCGTGCCCACCATAACCAGCAGCTCACCACAGCCCGGGCCCACCATAACCAGCAGCTCACTGTAACCAGTGCCCACCATAACCAGCAGCTCACTGTAACCAGTGCCCACCATAACCAGCAGCTCACTGTAACCAGTGCCCACCATAACCAGCAGCTCACTGTAGCCGGTGCCCACCATAACCAGCAGCTCACCACAGCCTGTGCCCACCATAACCAGCAGCTCACCACAGCCTGTGCCCACCATAACCAGCAGCTCACTGTAGCCGGTGCTCACCATAACCAGCAGCTCACTGTAACCAGTGCCCACCATAACCAGCAGCTAACTATAGCCGGTGCCCACCATAACCAGCAGCTCACCACAGCTGGTGCCCACCATAACCAGCAGCTCACTGTAGCCGGGCCCACCATAACCAGCAGCTCACTGTAACCAGTGCCCACCATAACCAGCAGCTAACTATAGCCGGTGCCCACCATAACCAGCAGCTAACTATAGCCGGTGCCCACCATAACCAGCAGCTCACCACAGCTGGTGCCCACCATAACCAGCAGCTCACTGTAGCCGGTGCCCACCATAACCAGCAGCTCACCACAGCCTGTGCCCACCATAACCAGCAGCTCACTGTAACCGGTGCCCACCATAACCAGCAGCTCACCGCAGCCCGTGCCCACCAACACCAACAACGACAACAACTTGCATTTATATAGCGCTGTTCGGGCAGGGTTTGGGGGTCCTGGAATCCTCGCAAAGACTCGCCATAACCGGCAGCTTAACCGGAAACCGTCGCTCACCTGGCAAATAAGCCTCTGAAAGCGCTTCAGCGAATATACAGTCAGTTCGCCCGCAAATATACAGTCAATTCACTTCACAGTCTATTCCGCGAAGCGCTTTGAGACGTCGAGGAGACGTGATAAGGCGCTGTATCAAATGCGAGGATTATTATTATTATTATTGTTGTTGTTGTTGTTGTATATTGCAAAGCGTGTGTGGTGGGCGAAACGCGGAGGACAAACTTTGCTTCTTGTCGCTCGGTGGTTTTGAATGCAGAAAGCTCTTTGGGATCTGGGTTGTCCTGAACGCTAAGCGCTCCGAGCGCTACCACCCCACGTGAAGGGCGCGACATAAATGCAAGTTGTTGTTGTTGCTGCTGCTGTTAGCACGGCTGTGGTTTCAGGGTTTGCTTACACAGCGAGCGCTCAGATTATACGACTGAATGACAGATGACAGATTATACGTTGAATGAGGTGCAGGTTAGGCCATCGGCTTTGGGGTTTCTTTTTTAAAAAAAAATCCTTATTGCGAAAGGGATCATTTCATTGCCTTCGTTGCTTTCCACAGAACCCGAGACCCTGTGATTTTTTTTAATCTGCAGAAGTACAAACTTCAGATCATTAACTTTCACACTGTCGCTCCAGGTTCCCGAGACAGACGGACTTCAGGAATTTGATCCGAGAGGTTGCGTAGGCTTAGAATTGCGTGACGTTCCGGGAACACACCGAGTTATCTGATCGACTGAGGGAGTGTTGTTGACGTTTTGCTGCCATTGGATGATGTCAAAGTCAAAGTCGTGGTGCCCCTGACTGTTATGTGAATCATTCAGCCCTGTAGCTACTGCCTGATTTTTGTACTTTCTCTTCGAATTGTACTGTTTGTGGGACATTGCTGTGCGCAATTGGCTGCCGCGTTCGCCCACAAATATACAGTCAATTCACTTTACAGTGTGTTCTGTGAAGCGTTTTGGGACGTCCTCCCGACGTGAAAAGCGCTATATCAAATGCAAGGATTATTATTATTTGAAGGATCCGCCTTGTTTTTAAAGGTGTATTTTATGAGATAAGTACTCATAGTCTGCCGATCTCTCGCAGATATAATGATAATAGCCGATAGTGTGAGAACCCTCCGTCGGATCAAATGTTAAACCGAGGTCCCGTCTCTCTGTTTGTGTGGATGTTAACGATCCCGAAGAATTGCTTCCTGTCTCCTGGCTAACAATCCCTAGATAAAATTGGTCATTCACTTTGTGGCCGTTTGTGCGAGATTGCTGTGGCAAATTGGCTGCCGTGTTCGCCTAAAAATACCCGGTTACTACACTTTACAGTAAAATCCTGTAAGCTTCTTATCATGTCGTTGAGGCGTTCAAAGAGCTTCACAGTACATACTGTAAAGTGGATTGACTGTATTTTGGGGACAAATCGCGCAGGCAGTTTGGCACAGCAGTGCCCCACAAATAGCCATGAAGTGAGTGACCAATGTCATTTGGGAGAATTGTTGGCAACGACACCAGGAGAAAGAAGCTCCCGTCTCTTTTTGAATAGTGCAGTGCGATCTTTAACATCCACCTGAACAGACAGATGGGACCTCGGTTTTTAACATCTCATCCGAAGGACGGTGCCTTTGACAATGCAACACCCCCACACCCCACTCTCCGCAGCACTGCATTGGAGTATCAGCTTAGACGACCTGGTCTTCTTCCCACAACTTTCTGGCTCAGAGGCAAGATTACTACCACTGCACTAGGCTGACACACATGTGGCCTCCTCCTGTGCTGAAATTGCTGCGATCACAACTAGAACATTTTTCTTGTTCTTTAATATTTCTTCCGAGCAATTTCCAATCCGTTTTTCTTCCTCGTTTTTATATCAGCTTCGAGAAATGATGTACAAGTTCTGCCAGGAGAACCTCGCTCCCAAAGCCCAGGACATAGACCGGGACAATATCTTCCCCGAGTTGAAGGTCGGTATTGACCAGAGTGTGTTGGTGGCGATTGATTGTGTGGCCTTGTAGTGTGCTCCTGTGTGTGTGTGCAACAGAATCTCGTGCATTTGTAAAATGAGACACACAATGAGCAAGTATAGTGAGCAGTGTGTGTGTGTGTGTGATACAGTAAGTCAGTATAATGAGCTGCGTGTGTGTGTGTGTGTGTGAGAGACCACACAGTGTGTTAGTATAGTGAACAGTGTGTGTGAAACTGAGCAGTATAGTGAGTGTTGTGTGTGGCACAGTGGTGGGTGTATGAGATGCAATGGTGTCAGTTTAAGTTCTGTGCTCACAGACTGTAGATGAAAATACTTCTTAATCTGCATCACCCATAAATCCAGGTTAGGGTTAACTATGGTTTTATGACACAGAAACAGTGGCCCCTGCTGAGATGATCTCGACCCAGATTGTGCTTCCTGGTAAAATTCCTGTGTTAAATCTGACAGCTTCCATCTTTGTTTCCACCTGTGACCATGTGAGTGAGGCACCAGCATTAATCCTTACTGGGGCTGCAGGTTTGAATCTCAATCTGTGCTGAGTGAGGGTGGGCTGTTTGAGGGTTACAATTGGCCTCATTGCCCCTGAGTAAGGGAGGAAAGCATCAGACAGGTTTCTGATCCTGATCACTATCCCGCTGGTGTGTGTGTTGCGCGTGGATATGGCAGAACTGGACTCTTAAACCTCTGACACTCACATTCTGAAGCTCCTGTGTGAATAAGGATGACCGTCACTTTGGTAAGCACCAGAAGGAAGAGAAGGAAAATAACAACCATCAGGCGAAGAGGGAGGTGAGGGAAAGGGGAGAAATTATGTAGGAGAAAAGTTGTCAAGAGAAAGCCATATGGACCCGTTGAGTTGCTTTTGTCCAATACAGATGCAGGAGCTGAGAACACAAGCCTGCTCACACTTGGTTCTGTAAAGCAGTGTTACGTGAGCTTTCAGCTCTTGCCCAGTAGTCCTGGTAACCTAGTGGTCAGTTCACGGTCCCTGTTCACGTGTCTGCGTTGTGTACCAAACAGCGGCCTCTGAGAGCATCACAGATAATGTGAAGAATGTTTCTTTAAAATCAATGACGAGTTAGTAAAAGCTCAAACAATACAACAACAACAACAAGATTTCATTTATAGAGCGCCTTTCACATCGGGAGGACATCCCAAGGCGCTGGACAGTTGGGTCTGGACCCGAACAGGGGGGAAATGGTCAGGGTGAGGGGAGGGAAGGGAGGGAGCGAGGAGGGGGTAGAGAGTCGAGAGGGGAGTTGAAGGCAAGGTCGAAGAGAAAGGTCTTGAGACCGGCCTTGAAGGAGGAAAGGGAGGCAGCAAGGCGAAGGAATGACAGGTTCCTGAGAGTGAGCTCTTTGCTTTCAACAGATGTGTCTGTTGGGTCAGTAAGAAATATCGAGCAGCCGGCAGGAAAGCTTCAGAGCACAGCTGCGTCTTGTCTCCTACAACTTTATTAGGTTTCAGTCTAGAACTCACTCTCAGGAACCTGTTATTCCACATACAGGTGGAGGGAGCCCTCTGGTAGGTGAGGTTCATAACATTCCAACAGGGCTACAACGGTGGGTGATTTCTGGTGATTCACTGCGGCCGTGTGCAGTGCCACTGTGAAATTTGTGTTGAAGCGTTTGTCAGAAACCACGCCAAGGATATTATTAAAACGTTTTATTAGCAATTAGAAAACCACCCAAGCATAAGCATCACATTACACCCGACGCATTATCATTACTCGTCGCGCTTAAATGACTACTAAAGCACTATCTTAACAAGATACACTCAATACTAAAATTCTAAACATATAAAAAGAAACATTATGTGATATATGAAATGTGCCTAAATAATTTCTAACTGCTTTGTATGTGTGTTGGGTCCGTGTTTTAGTAAGTAGGAAAGATACTACCAAGCAGGCAGGAAATCATGACTAAGTTCTAAGGCTGGCACAAAAGTTAAACACTGTCTCTGGCTTGCTGCTGGCTGCAAACATCTCGGGCTTGCTTCTAGCTGCAAATGTCTCTTGGTGGTCCACTCTAGCAAGGCTGAACTTGTCCTCTTTGCAGTCCACTCTGGCAAGAGCTGGGCTTGTCCTCTTTCCCTCAAAGGCACTCTTCTTCCTCTCTTTAGAGGTTCGTCCCATCCCTCTCCTCAGAGGCTCCAAAAAAAACTAGTTTTGGCTATCGATTTTTCGCCAGCCATCTGTGTTCTAACTCTTTTTTTCATGACTTCTTTCCCACTCTCTGCACTTTTCCCAGGCATCCTTTCCCTATCTTCAAGTTGTTTCTCCTTGTACCAGCTAAGGTATCTTCTGCAAAAGAACAATATCCTCCTATTCCATCTTATTCCTATTCCTAATAATAATCCCTCCAAAACAAAACAATAATAACTTGGTCATTTTCAATCCATGACTGTTTGTGGGACATTGCTGTGCGCAATTGGCTGCCTCGTTTCGCCCACAAATATACAGTCAATTCACTTTACAGCATATTCTGTGAAGCGTTTTGAGACGTCAAGAAGATGTGAAAAACGCTATATCAAATGCAAGGATTATTATTATTATTATTATTATTATTATGTAGCCTGACCAAACCACCTGACTCCATGTCCCTGAAGTTTCAGTCCTTCTTTCTAACTCTGTCCTTGTGACCTGCTCACTTTAAGGGTTTTCTCAGTTTTAATTGCTAGTTTGTATTCCATCCATTCTCCTGTTCCAATTATCCCTGGTTCCTACCTATCCTGCCCGTAGGTCACATGCCCATATAAGCGCAGATGGCCTACAATCCATCCTCCAAATCCAGCTACCCTTATCTTCCCTGGCCATGGGTCGCATTCCAGTGTAGTCCCCCTAGCTCGGTGCCTCTTTACTAGGACTGGGTGTGTGTGTGTGTGTGCGCGTGTGTGTATGTGTCACATGGCAGTTTTTATTTCTTTAATTCATTCTACTTAATTCATCTATTCACTACATGATCAACACTAATGATTCTTATACTATAATCCCAACTATTTGCACCACGTGCAGCAGGCAGGATGTGACGGTGGTGACTTGATGACCCCGAAGATGGTTTGTGTTTGTGCGCTAGATGCTGACTGGCCTTTTGCCATTTAGGATTTTTTTTTGAATGTAAATGCAGTTCACACCTTATACCTGATACATGTCCTGCAGAATAGAGAGTACTTTTGTGCCACAATTTGAATTTATGGCAAGTTCCTCTATTTATCTGGTCAACAAATGTCTCTTTTTGGTGTTTAGGAATTCTGGAAGAAGCTTGGTGACCTCGGAGCTCATGGGATCACAGCTCCCGGTGAGTGGGGCAGTGCCTGCCCATCAACTTAGCTTTAGACAGCAGCGATCTCCAGCCCTGTTCGTGACTGCGTGAAGGAGACTGCAGTGGTGTCTGGCACCATGGTGTCTGGAGTGCTCTTAACCACTGAGCTACATGTGACTCCACACACATATACTGCCAGGATGTGTGAGTCCTGACAGTGTGTGTGAGCATGTTGCCAAATCCTGGTGGGGGTATGAGCCAACTGAACCAGATCCTTTACTTGCCCTCGGTCCACATGCATACACCTTCCAGTGTCTTATGACAGGCGTGTGGCATGTTATCGCACTGGTGTTTATGGCATGTTATAGGGATGTAGCGTGTTCGGTATGCCATGTCGTGGCAGCCAGATTGATGGATGTCTGGCTTCTGTGGCTCTGGGGGTTGGCTCCTGTGTATGACTCGAGTCACTCTGCTTCTGGCTCTGCGTGTAGCTCACCTGGCTCTGTCTGTTTGTGTGCGTGCGTGTGTGTTAGTGGAGTACGGAGGGACTGGCGGTGGATATCTGGATCATGTGATCATCATGGAGGAGATATCTCGTGCGTCGGCTGCCATCGGGCTGAGTTATGGAGCCCACTCCAACCTGTGCATCAATCAGCTGGTCAGAAACGGCAACGAGGAGCAGAAGAAGAAATACTTACCCAAGGTAAAGAGCTTTTATTTGGGCCAGGCTCTTGGGGGGAGAGGGGAGCAGAGGAGGGTGCCGTACCAGGTCTATGTCTCTCGGTCGGCAGGCCATATTCCCCCCCACCCCCCAATGGTTCAGTTAGTTAATGGATACAAAGCCCAGAGTCATGGTTAGCCGAGTTATATCTGCTGGGACAGTTATATCGTACGTGCTCTACAATGGGCATCACTCAGCTCACCCCCCCACACCCCCCCCCACCCGCCCCTCCACCCCGACCAAAACTGAATGGACAATTACCGCAGATTCTTTAACAAGTGCTGGGAAATATGGATGTTGGCTGAGAATAATATTATTCTTGACTGTAATACCTTGACCGTTGGCCAAATCGCCTGGCAGCAGCCCATGTCAAGGCTCACACTGAAACAGAGGGCACTTGATTTGACACCGGAGGATGCCGGTGTCAAATCAAGAGGATGCCTGGTGCTCAGAGGAACACCATAAAGCAGTGATAACACACTGTAACTGCAAGTTCTTTCTTCCCGTTGGCAAAGACAAAGCGATTGAGTTTATGATTCAACAGAATGATACTAGGGCTTAAAGGGTTAAATCAAGAGGACATGTTACGTAAACTTGATCTCCATTCCCTTGAGTTTAGAAGGTTGAGGGGTGATCTGGTTGAGGTGTTTAAAATGCCAAAGGGATTTGATAGGGTAGCTACAGAGAAACTATTTCCTCCTCTGGTGGGGGAATCCAGAAAAAAGTGGGGGGGGGGGGCATCATACTTAAAATTAGAGTTAGAGTTAGGCCATTTAGGAGTGAAGTCAGGAAGCACTTTTTCACACAAAGGGTAGTGGAAATCTGGAAAACTCTCTCCCTGTGTTTTCTGTGAATGTTGGATCCATTTACATTTTCAAGACAGGTGGGTAGATTTGTATTAGGTCAGGGTATCAAGGGGTATGGAACAAAGATGGGTAAATGCCCTTCATGCCCTCACACCTCCCTAACTATCCGATTTGCTTAACCCTCCCCCCACCATCCCCCCCACTCCACCACCCACTGCCTCTGCTCGGCTGGCTCCAGCCTCCTGTTCATCCCCCTGGGACGCTGCTCCGCGAGAAGAGCGCTATATAAATCAACACGTTGCCTCTGTGACTGACTTGCTCTCTTCTTCTAGTTAATCAGTGGGGAACACATGGGAGCTCTTGCGATGAGCGAGCCCAACGCAGGGTCTGACGTTGTCTCCATGAAAATGAAAGCAGATAAACAAGGTCTGTGGAATGAATGAGATAGTAATATATTAATAATAATAATCCTTGCATTTGATATATCATGTCTTACCATGTCATTATTATGTCTTGGAGACGTCTCAAATCGCTTCACAGCGAATTACTTAATTCACTGTAAAGTGAATTAACTGTATTTTGTGGGTGAAACATGGCAGCTAATTGCACATAGCAGTGTCCCATTAACAGTCGCGGACTGAGCGACCAAATTCTTTATTTATTTTGAAGGGATTATTACCCCTGGAAAAGTGATCCGCCAGTCGACTTAACAACCGGGTTCCTACTCGCTGCTCGGTAAACAGGCGTGTGGAGTAAGGAAATTTGCCCAATGTTTTGCCCTGCCGGGAATCGAACCCAGTTCTCTCACTTGCGAAGTGAGTGCTCTAACCGCTAAGCTACAGGACTCCACGAGATGTGAAGAGGGGGCTTCCTGGTAGAGTCCATTACATCACAGTCCCTTCACGTTAGACTCAGATCTCTCCCAGACCAGCTGCCTCTCATTGTCTTGACCATGTTAAATGCTATTGATATATTTTGCCCGGGGGATTTCATTGCTAATATAATAAGCCTTGGATTTGATATAACTGGACAGTCATTCTACAGAATATCCTGTGAAACGCTTTGAGAGGTCTTCTGGACGTGAAAGCCACTAAATCAAATGTAAGGATTATTATGATAGCTTCTTATCACGTTGGGAGGCCCCCTCAAAGCTCTCCACATACTTTACTGCGTACTTCGTAAGCAAACATGGCAACAGCAGCGTCCCACAAACAGCCAATTTTATTTGGAGGATGAGCCAGGACAAACTCCCTTCTCTTTTTGAATAGTGCAATGTGATCTTGAAAGACCACCTGAGCAGACAGATGGGACTTCGGTTTAACGTCTCACTCGAAAGTGGCACCTCTGACAGTGCAGCACTGCATTGGGGGAATCAGCTTATTTGCTGCCAATATATATCAAATTCTCAGATTTCATGCCACAGCCCACTATTAAAACATAGAGGATTCATCCCTTTCCCATAAATGAATCAAGATATCATGTTCACTGATACAAATCTATTTCCAGATGATTTTTTTTAACTATGAAGCAGCCTAGTCTTAATAAATTGACTGGAGACCTACCAGTCATTAGTTCTACCTCCAGGACACCCACATCTGACCTGAGTGCTGGATGGGGCAGTGCAGAGAGAGTTTCACTCTGTTTCTAACCTGTGCTGTAACTGACCTGGGATGCGAAAGCTTCACTCTGTGTGCCGCAAGTCACACCTGTTCTGGACTGCTGGATGGACCAGTGTAAAATGGCCTAGGGTGGTCCTAGTTGGGCAAGCAGCGGGAAAACTTGTGAGACAGTGCGAGCAATGGCAAGCTATGGGGTATTAGCTGGTTAAACTCCAGCGGTTACCCCAACGCACCCTCTGGGGTCCCCCAAGCCTTGGCTCTTGCCAACCTGCGCCTAATACTTTCTGGAATTAGGTAAGCAGGATACATCCCTCCAAGGAGAGAGTGCGCATTCCATTCCAACAATCTATCTCTGAGATTTCCATGTATGGGTGGGATAATTGGAATTCTCAGTTTGGTTTGGAGACTCTTAAACACAGTTTCTGCATGTGTCAGACACCCGGCTGCGTAAGAGAGGATTTGACTCTGTATCCAAACATTCTGTCTGATATTGCTGTTGTTTCCAAGGTGATCACTACGTCCTGAACGGGAGCAAGTTCTGGATAACCAATGGCCCTGACGCAGACGTTCTCATCGTCTACGCTAAGACCGACCTTCACGCCAAACCCGCCCATGGCATCACTGCGTTCATTATTGAGAAGGTACCGACTTGCGTTGAGAATACCCTCACTATCATTATGGGGCCCAACCTTCTCATTAGTACTTCAGATTAGACATTAAACCGAGGTCCCGTCTGCCTGTCCAGGTTGACGTTAAATATCCTGTGGCACTACTCAAAAGAGAAGGGAGTTTTTTCTGGTGTTCTGGCCAACAATCCCCCGGATAAAATTGGTAATTTATGTGTGTGGTGCTTTCCTGTGCACAAATTGACTGCCATATTCACATAGTTTATCAAGCTTCTGTTGCTTTTCCAGCTAGGACCATCCTTACCCATTGGGGCTTTGGTTTGCAGGATTAAAAAGAGCTGAGTGGGAACAATTCTATTCCCCCAGTGACTGGTCTGCCAATGAGCCAAGTAACCAAATCTGCCATCATCAGTGCCCTGGAGTACTGGACTGCAGAGACCGCCACAAAAGGTTGAGTCGATTCTGACATTCCATCGTCAAGCATGTCACCTTGGGGCCAGTTCAGATTGTTGTGTGCATATACACACACACATATCACCACCACAATGTGTGGACGCGCACCCTCTTTTTCTCTCCCTCTCAGACACCATGCTTAGTTCAATACCACATACACACACCTAAATGTTCCAGTTACTTGAATGACCATTCTGATGCTGTACGTAATGAACTGCCTGTTGTTGTTTCTCTCCCCAGGGCATGCCCGGGTTCAGTACGGCTCAGAAACTGGATAAGCTGGGAATGAGAGGCTCCAGCACTTGTGAACTCATCTTTGAAGATTGCAAGGTCCCAGGTATCTAGTAGCTTCTGTGCCAGAATTCCATCGTTGAGACGTCTCAAAGCGTTTTACAGAATATTTTGTTAAGTGGTTTGACTGTGTATTTTGTGGGCGAAATGCGGCAACTAATTGCGCGCATGGATGTTCCACAAAACAATCATGAACAATTTTTTTTGAGGGATTATCACCCTGGAAGAAGTGATCCGCCAATCAACTAATAACCGGGTTTCTATTTACTGCTAGGTAAACTGAGGCGTGTGGAGTAAGGAAACTTGCCTAAGTTTTAGCTCCGCCTGGTAATCGAACCCGAGCCTCTTGCTTGCGTGTTTTCTGAGCTTTGAAACTCCAGTACTGATCTGAGATGATGTCTTTTTTTGAAAAAATCTGATCATTTCTACATGATCTAAATTGTGTTTATTCTGTGATTTTCTGGTTTCAGCTAAGAATGTGTTGGGAGAGATTAACCGCGGAGTGTATGTACTGATGAGTGGGCTGGACTTGGAGCGCCTGGTGTTGGCTGCTGGCCCACTGGGGTAAGGAATAGCTCCTGGTATCTGAAGCCTGTGTTGTGTGGCTCGTGCCTGCCCACAGGCTCAGTACATAGACCACGACCCACAACCATCTCCATTGGCTTTGAATATCCCCCGTGGAAGGTCCCTGGGAGGGAAGTATGAAAGCAGAATCAAGTTTGGACCTGGAGAACACTTGGTCTGTCGGTAACGACAGCAGTTATATTTATAAAGTGGCTTTAATAATAGTAATAATCCTTGCATTTGATATAGAGCCTTATCATATCTTCGAGTCATCTCAAAACACTTCACAAGATATACTGTAAAGTGAATTGACTGTATATTTTTCGGGCGCAACAGGCTTTCACGTAAGGCAACGTCTCAGAGCATTTTACACAGAAGAAGCTAGACCTCATCTATAAAGTGTGGAGAGAGGAGGAGGGCAGAAGGTCGATTGGAGAGGTAGATTTCCAGGAAGCTTTGAAGACTTGGAGAGTTGTGCAGAATGATATGAGGGCCATCCGAGCAAGTCAGGTAACGGAATGGCCTCTCTGGCAGGGCAAGCCAAGATTGAACCTAATGACCAAGTGATCAAGTGAGCTCTGCATTCCAGCATCTCTGTTTCCTCTCTGTGAAGTCAGATCAAACTCCTCCGATTTAAAGTACTGAATTACAGTAATACAATCCCAGTCAACAGAGGATGAAAGCACAGCTGTTACCAGGAGCTCAATCCTTCCCATAACAGCCCCAACTCTAGGTGAGATTCTGTTGTGTTCCTCATACGACAAGCGAATCTCAACAGGAGAACGTTTCTGGTAGGTGTTAGCCCAAGGAGTAGCTAATAAGAACAAATACTACAGTTGGTCTTAGCCAAAAAGCCAAGGAGCAATCTGACCTCCTTTGAGATGCTGTTTGAAACAGACAGTGATGTGGGTACTCTGGAAAAGGGAGACTAACTAGGCCGAAAGACCTTCTTCATTCCAAACCTCTGCTATTCTTCATTAGAACTTATGATGTGCATGATCTGCTCCTCTCCGCTCCTTGCGTGTTGAATGTCCTCCTGGTGGCTTAGAGTATTGTGGTTCCTTTGCAGCCTGATGCAGGCAGTTCTGGACAACGCTATTCCTTACCTACATGTGCGTGAAGCTTTTGGACAGAAGATCGGCGAGTTTCAGGTGAGGTGACACTAACGGAATACGTGGAATTAATTTCATTAGAAGTTTCCAGTTACTCCCGTTTCTCGGTAACTCTTGTTCAGATCTCCACTTAATGAGTGCATATGTCATTCCAAGGCTCTGAATAGTGAGCACTCTGGTACCGATCAGCTGGCTCCAGTCTCCCGCTTGCTCCTCGTCCCCTCCGTTCCACCATCAGTGGCCGTGCTTTCAGCCTCTACCCCCTGAAACTCTGGAAATCTCTCCCTCAGCCTTTCTTCCCGATGATCTAAGGTGCTATACAAAATGCAAGGAGTTTTTTTCCAATGATGAACAACTTTAAGAGTAAAATAAACGCATTTCTGTTCTTTGCAGATTGACATTATCAAAAATAAGTGGGTCAAAGAGAGACAGGGCAGCTGCTTTCTCCCAACAAACGTCCTACCAGCAACTTTAGGGTTAATTGGCAGATTAGCAGTGAATATCATTGGGGACCTTTTAGTATGGAATGTCCTGTCAGCCATACCCTTATGACTGTATGAAACCCATCCTTTTATCCTGCCTTTCATGTGGAAATGGGCCCCTTTGGCCTCAGTGTTGCTGGTCACAAATCCATCTCTCTCTCATTCAATCTCTCTCTCTCTATCTCTTGTGCTGCAGCTTTTACAGGGCAAGATGGCTGACATGTTCACTCGTCTGAGCGCGTGCAGGCAGTACGTCTACAATGTGGCAAGAGCGTGTGACCAGGGGCACCTGAGCAGCATGGTGAGTGGGTGTGGGGGGGGAGGCGTGGGCGGTGGTGGGGGGATAGGACCCTGCTGCGGGCTCGCACTCCACCAGGGCACGCAACCCTCAACAGACACAAAGCACAATCAGACCCCAATAAACACTCCACTTTACAGCATACACTGCGAGGCTCTTTGGGAAGTCTGCCCAACATTAAAGGGGCTATTCCCTTATACTTGACCTCGGGTGGCGGTGGGGAAGGGGGTGCGGTGGGGTGTTGTGGATTTGAGGTTATGTGACTGGAGATTTCTATCTAATCTGTGCTTCACCTGTACTGCTGAATGGGACAGTGCTTCAGTACTTCAGCTCTGAGAATCTCTGTACGTCAATGCCTGTTGTGTAGAGGGAGCTTTGTGACAGTTTGTATCTTCCCTGGGATTGTGCCGGTGTGACTGTATTTCCATACTGACCGGCCCGACGGTTGTGGCCTGCTCCATGTCCCCCACTTGGTCCGCCCACCATCAACGGTTGATCTGCAGCGTCTTTGCCCCACCCTTTGGAACTCCATCCCACACTCCCTTAACCTCGCTCCCTCCCTTCAGAGCCCAGCTCATGACCCTTCTCTTCGACCACACCTTCGGTCAACCTTCTACCCATACCTTCCCTGCCCTCCATCCCTCGTGATCCCAACCCCTAGCTCTGGTCCAAATCCCTGACTGTTCAAGGCCTCGGCACCCCCTCCTGAAGTGGAAGGCGCTATACAAATGTAATTTGTGGTTGTATTTACTGTTTCTTTCCCAGGATTGTGCTGGTGTCATTCTGTATTCTGCAGAGGCAGCCACTCAGGTGGCCCTGGATGGGATTCAGTGTCTGGGTGAGTCAGGCTGTGCTTATCTTCCCTCTAGACTCAAGCTTTATTTATTAAAAGCCAGAGCAATGACTTGCGTATCAGCTATAGATCGCTCAGGAACAACAGGTTAACGCCTCAGGAGCTTTGTTTAAAAAAGAAAGTGTGTCTACATATGAGGGTTTCCTCCTGGAGCCAGTTTGTGTCCACGGTGGTGTTGCTCCCTACCTCTGCAACCTCTTAACACAACAGCAACCTCTCTGCTTCCTCCGTTGGGCGGGTATTTCTCTGCTCCACGTCTACTGCTCGCTCCTCCTGCCACAGCGTTAGTGGTTGGGCTGTCACCCACTGCACCCTGACCCCTGGAGCTTTCTTCTAAAATCTCCTCAACTTCCTCCCTCTCTTCAGGAGGCAACTTCTCTGCAGCTCTACATTGGTGGAAGGAATGCGCAGATAGTGAGACAAGGCCTGAGAACCAGCCCATCTCCAGGGAGATCCCGCTTACCTACGAGATCCCAGTGTCTATAAACTCTGCGTCTCACTGAATACAGAGCTAACTCTTTCCAACCCCCCCCCAACCCCTCCACCCGCCGTCCCGTACAGAACTGACTATTGAAGACAGAGAAGAGGAGTCAGAGGAAACACAGAGTCTTATTTATGAAAGTTTCCCCGTTGTCAGACTTAGCATATTGGCTCTTCCACTGAGTGTCTGTGACAGAGCCTCCTGCATCAAGCTACTGAAAGACTCCCCGCTTATTGTGCTCCGTTTGTGATTGCAGGTGGCAATGGCTACATCAACGACTACCCAATGGGCCGATTTCTGCGAGACGCTAAGCTGTACGAGATCGGAGCTGGCACCAGTGAAGTCAGGAGACTCATCATTGGCAGAGCCTTCAACGCCATTTACAAATAAGTCAGCCTTTCAGCACACGGACTACAACTGCCGTTCTTCCCTGGGCAAGCATTCTGCACTATGGTGCAACAGGGACCTGTAACACAGGGAAATCAAGACACAAATCATGAATGTTGATCTCTTAAATCGAATGTGCAGTGATCTGAGGCTGTGTCATAGGGAATGATACAATTGACAGCAAAAACCCTCATCTTTCTCTTCAGATACCAGCCTAGAAACGATGGAGGGAATTGGTTTCTCCACGCCTTACAAATTACGTTTGTTAGATTTCTGACAGGGATTGCTTGAGGCAGCACACATCAGCCTCGGGTGACACCTCAGCCATATTGACCCTCAGTCCTGGCTCTGACAGCCTTGTGTGTGCAGAAGGAGGTGCTAGCTTTTTAACTAACCAATAGATAATTTATAGAGCATGTATAATTGGACGTAATATCATTCAATGACTTTTATAATACAGTCTGTATCCAAGTCCCTTGGTGTCTTGTGGTTTATAAAGTATTGCTCGATTCTTCGTCTTTGGCACTTACTGCTCCCGTGAGTGTGTTTTCACATGCGTGTGCATGTTGCTGCGTTCACACGTCTGCCCTGATGCCTAGCCTTCTCTGTCTGGCCAGGCACTGGCGATGTTTGGACACACGTGGCTGGGTGTAAATCCCGTTTGCCAGCCTTAGTTGTTAACAGGTCCATCAAGAGTTTTGTACATTCAAGCCCTACCCCTGGGCTCATAGTATAGACAGATGCTTTGTCTGCCTGTTCAAGTGAACTTTAAAGATCCCACAGCATTATTCAAAACGAGAAGGAAGTTAGTCCCCAAACACATTTGTTATTCACCTGGTGGTTATTTGGGTGATATTTCTGCATGCAAATAGGCTGCCACATTTCCCTACACAAGCAGTTATTTACTCAGTAGTAAACCTGTGATTCACTTTGAGACGTTTCAGTAGCTTGCCAACAATGCGGGTAATTTACGTTGGAATGAGAGGAGGAGAAGGAATGGAAAAGCTGGTGAGCTTGAACTGCTACTACACAGAACCACGAGAGCGAGCCAGAGGACCTAGGTTCGATTCCAGGGTGGGGCGAAACCTTAGGCAAGCTTCCTTACTCCACATGCCTCTGTTTACTAGAAGTAAGTTGGAACCTAGTTAAGTCGATTGGAGGATCGCTTTCCGGGTAAAAATCCCCCCCCCCCAAAAAAATGGTCACTTAATCCATGACTGTTTGTGGAACACCGGCTACCACGTTTCACCCACAAAATACACAGTCAATACACTTTACAATATATTCTGCGATATGCTTTCAGACGTCTCAATGACGTAATAAGGCATGACATCAAATGCAAGGATTATTATTAAAATTGTAAGTGTGCCATGCGGTGCTGAGTTGCCACTGTATAAATAATTTGGTGAGACCATGCTGTACAGAAGTACAGTTCTGGTCGCCGCAGTACAGAAAGGATCTTGGAGAAATCGAGAAGATACAGAGGACGGCAACCAAAATGATTGAGGTAATGGATTACGACGAGCGACTAAGTAAATTGGGCATATTCAGGCCGGAAAAGAGAAGATTGAATGGTGACATGGTTGCTGTCTTTAAGATTCTAAAGGAGCAAAACAATATAGATCATGACAGGCTGTTTCAACTTGTCCAGAATAGTAAAACTAGAGGACATGGCCTGCGATTGAAGTGGGGGGTAATTTCAGAACGACTCTACACAAACACTATTTTAGTGAGCGAATCTAAACCTGTGGAACAGGCTTCCTTGGGAGACGTTTGAAACAGGAAATGTCGATTCCTCCAAACACAGATTAGATAGTTTTCTTTTAGGAAATAACATTATGGGATATAGTACGTCGGGAGTTCAAGAATGTGTGCATGTGACCGCCAGGAAGATGGAAGGCGAACTAGATGGACCTTGGTCTTTTTTCATCTAGCATTTCTTATGTGATCAGAAAGGTTAAAAACAACACAATGCTGGAAATCTGAACTGAGCCAAGTACAGAGCCTTGGGACGTACGACGTGAAAGGTGCTATACAAATGTAATTTTGTATTGTACACAGCAGGTTGGTCAGCAAACAAAACTGAGGTGACATGTCAAATGCAGGGTATAATTATCCTGGGAAGCGCTTTGAAATATTTCCTTTGTCCAATTCTGTTATAAAGCTTTATAGCAACTGTTTCAACTACCGTTACCATTTGTGGTAAGACATTCCACGTCATAATAACCCTCTGAGTCAAAAACATTCTCCTGACTTCTCTTTGCTTTTTTATGGTATTAACCTTAAGTTTAGCCATTAACTTGCTGACATTTGGAAAAAGTCTCGCACTATTTATGGAATGGCCTGCTGTCCTGAAATGTCTACATTTCTCCAAACCTCCCTGTGTGAGATTTTCAGGTCCCAACCTCGGATTCCTCAGAATAGAGTATTTGCCTCACGAGGGAAAGGACCCAGGTTCGATTCCCAGGCAGGGTGAAACCTTAGCCAAGTTTCCTTACTCTGCAAGCCTCTGTTTACCTAGTAAGCAGGAACCCGGTTGTTAGTCGATTGGCGGATCGCTTTCAGGGGCAATAATAATCCCTTAGAGAAAATGTGGTCACTCAATCCATTATGGTTTGTTGGGCACTGCTGTGCACAATTGGCTGCCACATTTTGCCCACAAAATACACAGTCGCTACACTTTACAGTATATTCTGTGAAGCACTTTGAGACATCTTGACGTGTTAAGGTGCTATATCAAATACAAGGAATATTATTATTATTATTATTCCCTTCAACCAACATCAGGTAAGACCATGAGACCATGTGGTGAAGTCACAGTAGAGTTATGACGTCTCTGACTGTGCATAAATCATTAGTGTAGATTGTGATATAAAGAGTCTGGACTGTGACATAATCCCACTGCAATCAGACAGGCAAACCATTGAGTTCAGTCTTGCTAAGATCTTGTGTGGTGACTGTTTTCTTTGTTTCTGGGTTTACCTGACCACCACCACCACCACCAAGTTGCATTTATACAGCGTCCCTCATGCAGCGTCCCTGGGTAAGAATCTGAAGAAGAATCAAATGACTGAAGAAGATTGGGGCATCATTGAAAAGGTGATCATGGCCAAGCACAGCAGAGATAGCCGTGGATGACCCGATGATGGTTGGAGAGAGATTCATCTGAAAACAATGAGTCCTGACAAAAGTAGAAACCCAGGGCACCAGTTCGTGTGCAACGTCACCTTTTCCCCCAGCCTATGTGGTCAGCAAATGTCCCATCAATGTGTCAGTCCCGAGAGGGGACTTACTATCCAGTCTGACTCGGACACGTACGACACACTAAAGTTGGTGGGTGAGGGCATTTATGGTGAAGTGACCAAGTGTCGCAAGAGAAGCACAGGTCGGTTTGTGGCCTTGAAAGCCCTCAAGCACATCTGCTGCGGCTCGACTGAGATCAGGATCTTAAAGCTCTTGGGCAAGACGGATGCGGATGAATTTCATATTGTTCGTCTCTTGGAGTATTTCCATGTCAATGCCAGGCCCCACCTGGTGTTTGAACTTCTGGATCAGAGCCTGCTCGACTTTCATAAAGCGACCGACTTTGCTCCCCTCCCCGTGAAGCACATCCGAGTAATTGCCACGCAGCTTCTGAAGGCTTTGGTCAAGCTGAAGGAGTTGTCCATCATCCACACTGACCTGAAACCTGACAACATCATGTTGGTCAATCATGTGCAGTTCCCTTTCAGGGTTAAGCTCATTGACTTTGGATCGGCCAGTGTACTGACTGAGGTTCAACATATTCAAGGTATGCAGTTGGACATCCTCCCGATGTGAAAGGCGCTATATAAATTCAATTTGATGTTGTTATGCAGTGTATCTATTGAAAACCTTCACATTTTACTGGATTTTTTTTACTACAATCACAGTATCATTGCTCCCTTATACTTGTGTCTCCTGGTTATGAACTCCCCAACCAATGCTAATCTTTTCGAACCCTTTTATAATTTAAAACACCTCCATTCGGTCTCCTCTTAAGCACTTCCTCTCGAGCGAAGCTTCGTATTTAAGCGAGAATATTCTTAGTGAAAATCCTGAGAATGACCCACAAAAATGCACCCTTTTTTGTAGTTTTTTTTACTGGAGCCCTGTAGGGCAATGGTGAGTGAGCTCGCCTCGCAAGCAAGAGGACCCCGGACTGGACGAAACCTTAGGCAAGTTTCCTCACACCAAACGCCTTGTTTACCTAGTAAGTAGGAACCTGAGTTGTTAGTCAATTGGCTGGTCACTTTCCGGGGGTAATAATCCCTCTCCACCCAAAAAAAGGATTATTATTACTTTTATTATCATTATTATTATTGATTGTATTTCATTTTGGCTTTAAAGAGCCGTACATTCAGGCCAGATATTACAGATCCCCCGAGATCCTACTGGGCTTGCCTTTCTGTGAGAAGATGGACATGTGGTCGTTGGGCTGTGTGCTGTCTGAGCTGCGACTGGGCCGCCCGCTCTATCCTGGCAGGAATCAATACGAGCAGATCATGTACATTGTTCAAACCCAAGGCTTGCCCAAAGACTACCTGCTCGACCAGGCCAGCAGATCCCATCTTTTCTTCACAAGACACTGGCGTCCCTTTACAGCTCATCAGTGGGAACTCAAATCACCACGGGAATACCCATCCCATGCATCGGTGCCACCTTTGGAGACTGGGAGACCCACCTTGAAGTCCCTCGACCAAATGGAGGCGTTGAGCATCACCCACGCTCTGCTCCTGGACGACGAGGAAAGGGCCGAGTACCACGATTGCAGCAACATGGTGCAACTCCTGAAGAGAATGCTCAGCCTTGATCCCAAAACGCGCATCGCTCCCACAGCCGCCTTGAGGCACCAGTTCATCAGCTTACAGCAACTGCAAGCGAACCACGACCGCACAGAGTATTACAGACTCTCTATCCAAGGCCTCAGTGCTGCATTGATGTACAACAGAGCTGAAAGGGATGAGGACAACCAGCACATGCTCGAGTGCTCTCATCACACCAGTACTTTGGACAATAAGAGCAAGCAGACACAAGGCAATTGCAGTCGTGCCTCGGAACACAGGGCAACTGACCAAAAGGACCACTTGGCCATCAAACATTCAGGAAGAGCAATGTCTCTTAACATGACCATTGGAGGGGCCAACCTTGTGCAGAACAAACCTTTCACCTCGCATGCTAAGAATCCCAAGCACCTCACTCACTCCTATCAAGGCGATTGCCAACACATATCCTGGTGCGTGCAGAGGAACTTCACTGAATCCGTTCAGGGCGGTCTGACCTGCCAGCCTCGGGAGGACCAATACAAGGTGCCTCCTCAGCGAAGGGAAGATGTCAGCTTCGAGGAAGTGACTACGCTGGAACAGGAAGCTGATCAAGGAATCGACATCAAGAAGGATATCAACACCAACAAATTCTCCATAGCTGTGTACTCTCTGAAACGATCACGTGAGATTCAGGATGTGAGTACCAGCCAATATTCCTCTGGATTTTCTAGACTAGAGATATGATAGTTTTCTACCGACACACTGGGCAAGCGAGAGGACCTAGTTTGATTCCCAGGGTGGGAGAAACCTTTGGCAAGATTCATTACTCTACACGCCTCTGTTTAACTAGCAATAAGTAGAAACCCGGTTGTTAGTCAATTGGCAGATCGGTTTTCTGGGGGTAATAATCACTTCAAAAATAAAATAAAAATAGTAGTCATTTGGTCACTCAATCCACAAATGTTTAGTGGGACATTACTGTGTGCAAAAGTCTTTGAGATGCTTCAAAGCGCTTCACATAACATGCTGTAAAGTGAACTGACTGTGCATTTTGTGGATTAAACGCGGCAGCCAATTGCGCACAGCAGCGTCCCAAAAACAGTCGGGATTGAGTGACCAAATTACTAGCATAATTAGAGGGTGAGAGATGCACTGTTCTACACACTGATGTGTGTGTCCTTTTTTCACAGAGGGAGACGAACGAGGCAACTTGCTCCAAAGGACAAGCCACTCTACAGCCAGATGGAGCCTCTCAGGAACATACATCTCCCAAGCGGAGCGAGCTTCCCACACGCAGGAGAGGTTCCCGGAAGCCTTCCACCACAAAGCCAGAGGTGGCAGCGTCAAGATCCAAACCAGCTCCTGCGGACAGTTTCTCTGTAGCCCCCAAACCACCTGAGTCCAAGATGGCAATATTTGTCCATCGGCACGGGGAGCCAGGGCTGCAGCTGGCCAAACAGCAAGTCTTGGTTTGTGCAGGACAATGCAAATCACCTCATAGAGAACTGACATCCATGATAGGTGATCACAACAAGCATTTTTTTGTGGGGAGTCAGCCGGGCATCTGATGCACGCGGAAACCCATCACCGTGCTTAAGAGTATCCAAACCAACCTGAGAATTCCATACATCCCACCTACACATGGAAATCCCAGAGATAGATTGTTGGAATGGAATGTGCTCTCTCTCCCTGGAGGGACACATCCTGCTCACCTAATCCAGAAAATATTAGGCACAGGTTGGCAAGAACCGAGGCTTGGGGACCCCAGAGTGTGAGTTGGGGGTAACTGCTGGAGTCTAACCAGCTAAAACTGCATAGCTTGCCATTGGCAGCGCTGTCTGCCAAGGTTTCCCTGCTGGTTGTCCAGCTAGGACCATCCTAACCGTTAGGGCTTTGGCATATAGGGTTAACGGGAGCTGAGTGGGAGGATTCCCTGCCCCCAGTGACTGGTCAACCAAAGCCAGCTGAGTAGTGTCTACAGTGAAGGAGGTATAAGAGGAGGTGAGGATTGCACTGCACATTATCTGTTGCTTTTCTTGGGGTGGAAGTAGAGGCTGAGACAAACTCTAGGTCAGGCTGGGGTCTCGGTGAAATCAGCTCCATTTAGAAAATTTGTGGTATGTAACGTGTCACACCACGGGTCTTCCTAACCCCCACCCCAACCCCATCTCCATCCTCCCAATTCCTCATCCCGTTCCTGACATTGGTCTGATTCCTAACTGAGGATTCCTCCCACTGGTGATCAGGATCTAGTGTAGATCCCAGGGTACTGACAAAGGCTTCACCTCATCATAACAGAAACAGTGAAGGGTTCACACTGTTATAGATATACAGTTATATTATATGTGTGTGTGTATATATATTATAAATGAACCCAAAGTATGTGATCTTTATTGAGTTGATACTGTTTTGTGTGTTGAACAGTATCTCTTACCCTCTTCACTAGGAGAAGGAAGGATCACCATTGGAAAGACACATTCATCCATCAACAAATCCTTTGGGTATGTACAAACATTGGACACTATTACATTAATTTTCTGGTAATGATGGTCTGGAGAAGATGTGGTGTGAAATGACACAAGGATTTAACGGATATTGAGAAGGAGGGCGGTAGATACTTGGGATGTAAGATTATTAGGAGATTTTGGAGTAAAGGCAGGGAATTTGGAATGGAAACATCGGCCATCATCTAATAAAATGGCCTTCTCCTATTCCCATGTTCCTATTGGTGCCTCTTGTTCCCCTTCAAATGTTTCTAAAAGAAGGAGCAGTGAGTTTTGTTGCAACAGATTTCACAGGTAATTATAACCGTTTAGCTGTTGGTGCTTAGATGTGTCTATGATCTTCAGGCAGTTTCTTGGTTTTTGGTAATTGTATAGTGAGAGTGGCCCTGGGTATGGTGAGACTAACAACACTACTGGGGGAGGGATACCCTGCTGGAGGTAGCAGGATCCGAAGGGAAAGAACTCCCGGGCTCTGCTGATGACAGCACAGCACATCTGCTCATCGGCAGCACTTGGCAGGGCAGACCAGTCACTGGGGGCAAGGGAATCCTCCCACTCAGCTCCTATTAACCCTGCAAGCCAAAGCCCTAACCGGTAGGGTGGTCCCAGCTGGACAAGCAGCGGGCAAGCTTGCCAGAGGGCGATATCAATGGCAAGTTTTAGCTGGTTAGACTCCAGCAGTTACCCCAACACACAGTCTGAGGTCCCCAAGCCTTGGTTCCTACAGCTAATATTTTCTGGAATTAGGTAAGCAGCATGCGTTCTCCCCACCTCCCCGCCAGGGAGAGAGTGTATGTTCCATTCCAGCAATCCATCTCTGAAATTTCCACGTGTAGGTGGGATGCATGGAATTGTCAGTTTGATTTGGATACTCTTAAGCACGGTGATGGGTTTCTGTACGTGTCAGATCCCTGGTTAGTTCCAAAGGTGAGCTAGCACCAGTCTAGGCTTGATGTCTGCCCCCCCAGTTAATGGAATTCGCGTACATTGAGGCACGTCGGTGGTTGATTACCATTCCGTCGCTGCTGTGAAACGAGTGGCTGAGGAAAATCACCTTCTTATATCTGTTGCTTCAGGGTGGGAGCACATCCTCAAAGACTGACGGGGCATGTCAGGCAGCACGCAGACCAGGATCCAGGGAATGTCCAGCTGAACCCAGCCTCGCCAAGGAACAAACTAGTGAGGCCAGCTCTTTATCTGCAATACTTAAATGTTTCGGGTCTTGTAAAGCAGATTAACTACAAGCTGATGATCACTTTAATGTGGGATGGAACCATAGAGATTTACAGCACTGGGGTGTGCGTACTTGTGCTTGTGCGTGTGCGAGGGTGTGAGCGTGTGTGCTCTTGTGTGAGCGTGAGGGTGTGCAATGAAGCTTTTTACTGACGAATGGTCCACCGGCTCTCTGTGTCCAGGCTCACGTGTAACCAGTGGCCACTGGTTTGAGTTATCAGCTTTAGGAGAGGAGGGATAGGAGAGCAGAAAAGGCAGAGAGAATTCAGGGGAAGTAAGAGGCTGCTTAATTCTGAAACTGACTGTCTGTTCTGTATTCAGGGTTCAAACATCAAGATGAAGTTTTCATTGAGCCAGCTATTAGAGGCCAAAGATTGCGAGGAGGAGGCGAGTGTGGATGGGCAAGTGTGGAGAGTCACTTTGGTCTGTGTAATCCTGACACTTCCTGCCAGCATTGCAGAACGTGTCTGATGTCAATAATAATAATAATCCTTGCATTTGATATAGCGCATTTATCACATCATTGAGATGTCTCAACGCGCTTCACAGTATATACTGTAAAGTGTAGCGACTGTGTATTTTGTGGCCGAAACACAACAGTCAGTTGCCCACAGCAGTGTCCCACAAACAGCCATGAAATGAGTGACCAGTTTTATTTGGGGATTGTTGGCCAGGACACCGGGAGAGAGAGAAACTCTCTGCTCTTTTTGAACAGTGTCATGGGATCTTCAACATCCACCTGAGCAGGCAGACGGGACCTCGGTTTAACGTCTCACCCGAAGGACGGCACATCTGACAATACAACTCACCCCCAGCGCTGCATTGGAGTGTCATCTTAGACTATGTGATTCCATGTCCCGATGTAGGACTTGAACCCACAACCTTCTGACTCAGAGGTGAGAGGGCTACCACTGAGCCAGGCTGACACACAATTATATATGTTGGTTCTATATCTCGGAGTTCATGTCAATAGGATCATAGGAATAGGAGGCTGTTCAGCCCCATTGAACTTGCTCCATAGCTTTATTAGATTTTGACAGATCTTTTAATCACAATGTCCCAGACTTTTGCCAAACCCTGTAATTACCTCTGCAACCCAAGTGTCTGTCTCTCTCTCTCTCATTTAAACATCTGGTCAGGATGTTTACATCACTCTCTTTCTCTCTATTAAAGGGATAGGCACTTGGGCGCCCATACAGCTAAGTTCTTCCGGAGAAACAAGAAGGAACAGAAAAAAAAGAAAGTAAGTCCTTTAATTATCCTTGCATTTGCTTCAATATCTTTCACATCAGGAGACTATCCCGAAGTGCTTCACAGGATTTATTGTAAAGTATAGTGACTCTGTATTTTGTAGGCATCTAATTTGCACAACATTGTTCCACAGACAGTCATAAAGTGAGAGAATAATTTTCTCTGAAGGATTATTGACGGGACAGTGGGAGAGAGAAATATCCTTCTCTTCTTAACATATCTGTAATGATGGGATACTTAACTTTCACCTGGACAGGTAGACAGCACCTCGGCAGAAAGTATCATCCAAAGCACAGCACCTTCATCCACGCAGCATTCCCCTAGCACTGTATTGAGTTCAAATAATAATAATATTCCTTGCATTTGATATAGCGTCTTATCACATCGTTGAGAGGTCTCAAAGGTGCTTTTATAGAAAGCAGAGTGGATTGACGTATATTTTATGGGCGAAATGTGGCAGCCAATTGCGCACAGCAGTGTCCAACAAACAGTCATTGATTGAGTGACCGAATATTTTTATTTTCGAGTGATTATTACCCCTGGAAAGCGATCCGCCATTTGAATAACAACCAACAACAACATTTGTATAGTGCCTTTCACATTGAGAGGATGTCCTAAGGTGCTGGACAGTCAGTGTTTCGGACCCGAGCTGGGAGTCGGGATTGGGGAGGGTGGAGGGCAGGCGGGAAGCAGGATGATCGAAGGCATGATCGAAGAGGAGGGTCTTGAGATGGGTCTTGAAGGAGGCAAGGAAGGGGGCAAGGCAGAGGAACTGCGGGATGGAGTTCCAGAGCTTGGGGGCAGAGTGGCAGAAGGCCCACCCGCCAATGGTGGGGCAGGCGAGGAGAGGTACATGAAGCAGGCCAGGACCTACTTACAATCTTCCTATAGCCAGATTCCTCCATATACTAGGTAAACTGAGGTGTGTGGAGGAAGGAAAGTTGCCTAAGCTTTTGCCACCCGAAATCGAACTGGGGTCTTCTCACTTGCGAGGTGAGCACCTTAATCACTATGCTACAGGACTCAAGTCCCAATATTAAGCTTGAACCCAGAACCATTTGACTCTGAGGTGAGACTGCTACCAACAGAAGCAAGCTGATGTGCAGTGTTCCTTATAGACAGTTCAAGTATCTCACTGTGAAGGATCGGAAGCTGAATAATGAGCTTGGACCAGATAAGTTCACTGATCTCATAAAGAAATAAAATTGGACTTGATAGTCAAAGGACAATCACATCCCATAGTGAACAGAGCTACATTAGTAGACATAACAGAGTTACTGCTCACAAAGATATATTACTTGTCATATCCTCAGGTTCATTATATCCTCAGGCTCATCATGGGCAAGACATGCTCCTTCAAGATCACTGGTTTCTTCAGGTTCATCAATGGCAGGAGATCACAACAGCAACAACTTGCATTTATATAGCGGCCTTCACACGGGGCAGAATCTCGGCTGACACATCAAGGCTCTAATTTCTCTCTTTCCTGAACAGGTCTCCTGCTGGGGTTGAATGTAATGTGAGTTTCCATCGGCTTATAACAATGGCATCTGAATTGGTCCAGCCAAACTTGCAGCTACACAACGCAATGGAACCAGTGGTGTGTTTGCACCTCCCCTCCACCGGCTAAACCAAGGCTAATAGAGTGAAAGTTTTTGTCCTTTTCAAAAAAATATTGGGGAAAGTTTTAAAAAGAATTGTTTAAAACCTCCCCGAAATGAGAACCAGCGTAGTATTTAGCGTAGCAGATATTTTAACATATCCTGGACCAAATGCTAACTGTTTAAGGTTCAGTTTTATGGAAATATCTTATAAAGTAATTGATATGAAATGAGCAAATGGTGATTTATTTACTGTTGATTTAATTCTTGTTGCAGATGGTTAACTCTGCATTTCCTCTGGTTCTGATCTTATTTCCTCTTAGTCTGGGAACGAGTGATGGAGCCACAGGGAGAGGCCAGGGGTGGGCATAATCACATCAGCCCATAGCATCAGGTCACACACAGGTCACAGCTCACACATTCTCCGGTAGTCTCTTAAGTTTCCTCTTTGACCAATGGATGGAGTTTCAGGCCAGGCTACTGATGGGAAGTGAGACCTTACAGGCAGAAGTGGTTTGCGAACTGCCTTTTTGAGGAGGAATTAATATCGAGGCTGAGTCATTGATGCGGAAAATACTGACTTCCACAATAATAATATAATACTTTCATTATTCTGTCACTGAGACGTCTCAATGCGCTTCACAGAATATGCTGTAAAGTGTATTTTATAGGCGAAAAGCAGCAGCCTATTTTGTGCACAGCAGTGTCCCACAAACAGTCGTGGGTTGAGTGACAACATTTTTTTTGGAGAGGGATTATGACCCTGGAAAAGGATCTGCCAATTGACATAACAAATGGGTTCCAACTTACTGCTAGGTAAACAGAGGCATGTGGAGTAAGGAAACTTGCCTAAGGTTTTACTCCGGCCGGGAATCGAACCCGGGTCCTCTTGCTTGCAAAGCAAGCGTGCTAACCACTACACCACAGGACACCAGGGGACTTCTTGTGATGAATATTAGTACTTTTTCAGAAGAAGGTTGGGGGCTAAAGTGTCATTTACCTTCCCGTCTTCAAAATCTTCCAGTTTCCCCGCAGTGATTTCCACCATATTCACCCACGAAAGCCTCTTCGTGATACGCAAGATAGCCCCAACTCTTCTTTCTCATGCTCCCTTTATGAGAAGCTTTCTGCTACATCTGACTTGTGGGTTCTTAATGGGACAGTAGAGGGAGCTTTACTCTGAGTGTAATCTATGCTGCCCAGATTCTGGCTGTGCAAACTGGAATAATAATAATCCTTTGCATTTAATAATAATAATAATAATCCTTGCATTTGATATAGCGCTTTTCACGTCGGGAGGACGTCCCAAAGCGCTTCACAGAACACACTGTAAAGTGAATTGACTGTATATTTGTGGGCGAACGCGGCAGCCAATTGTGCACAGCAATGTCCCACAAACAGTCATGGATTGAAAATGACCAATTTATTATTGTTTTGGTTTTTGGAGGGATTATTATTAGGCTCTGTGTGGAGTAAGGAAACTTGCCCAAGGTTTCGCCCTGACCTGCCTGGAAATGAACTCAGGTCTCTCGCTTGCAAAGCGAGTGCTCTAACCACTGAGCTACAGGACTCCACTCCACTATTTGATATAGCGCCTTATCACATCGTCAAGGCGTGACATGCTTTGAGACGTCTCGACGAGATGATAAGGCGCTGTATCAAACGCGAAGGATTATTATTATTCCAGTTTGCACAGCCAGAATCTGGACAGCATAGATTACATATCCTATAAAGTGGATTAACTGTGTATTTTCTGTGTGAAACGCGGCAGCCAATTTGCGCACAGCAATGTCCCACAAACAGCCATGGATTGAGAGACCAATTTTATTTGGGGAAATTGTTGACCAGGATTATTTATTAACTTCCAGAAACAATTATAGCTTTTAACTATTCCACACTCAGTCCTTTGCATTCGATATAAATGGAATACTGTTGTTAATGGAATAACAGCTTTTCTTAATGCACCTGCATCATAGACAAGAACACACCAGTGGGGAGGTTTGGGGGGTAATAGGCCTAACAGCCCACCTCCCCTGGCAACCTTTGGGTGTATGAATGCGCCTTTACCTCCTGCTCCACCTCTCTATCCACTGTTCCATGGCTGCCTCAGGCCTTGTACAACCTTGTGAGAGCCACTGGAATGTTTTCTCTCTCTCTCTGGAGGGACACATCCTGCCTACCTAATTCCAGTAGGTATTAGGTGCAGGTTGGCAAGTGCCAAGGCTTGGGGACCCCAGAGTGTGCTTTGGGGGCATTGCTGGAATCTAACAAGCTAAAACCATATAACTTGCTGTTGAGAGCACAGTCTGGCAAGCTCGTCCAGCCAGGGCCACCCTACTCATCCTTTGGTTTGCAGGGTTAATGGGAGCCCAGGAAAAAAAGAACTATCTCTGCTCCCAGTGAGCCAGCTCAGCTCCAAGGACAAGGCCCTGCCTACCCAGGCTCCCTCCCCCAAGAAGGATAGTCACTAGTCGGTCATTTGACATCTGACAAGTTCAGGTTTGAGCCCTCGCTAGATGGATGGCAACTACCAGGAACTCCCTGCGAGCTTCCCGGGGAGCAATGCATGAGATGCAGAAGAGGATTGTCTCCTGCCTAGAGCTCAGAAACACATCCCAACCCATTGATTCCAAGCCCAGAGTGAGACATGATTTAATTGAAGCTAATGAAACATGATTTAACAAGAGATTACATGCACACAATTCCCTTCGAGCTGTTTTTCCTCCTTCGGAATTTCAGAAGTAAAACAGCTTTGAACAATGCACAAAGGAAGGGAATATAATTTTGAGCAGTAAAATAATACTTTAATTTTGAGACATCGAGAAGACGTGAAAAGCCCTATATCAAATGCAAGGATTATTATTATTATTATATACTGTGGGGGAGTCAACCTGGCTCAGTTAGTAGCACTCTCACCACTAAGTCAGAAGGTTGTCGGTTCAGGCACCACGCCAGGACTTTGAGCTCACAGGCCAGGCATACACACTGATACACTGATGGGGGAGTCCTGTTTTATCGGAGGTGCCATCTTTTGGATGAGATATTAAACCAAGGTCCTGTCTGCCTGTTCAGGTGGACGTTAAAGATCCCATGACACTATGCAAAAAGAGAAGGGAATTTCTCTCTCCCGGTGTCATAACCTACAATCCCCCAAATAAAATTGGTCACTCACTTAATGGCTGTTTGTGGGGTGTTGTTATGTTTCGCTACCATCTTCAGATACAAATACACGGTTAATACATTTAGCAGCAAATCCCATAAAGGACGTGGAGTCCTGTAGAGTATTGGGTAGAGCACTCGCCTCGCAAACGAGAGGGCCCGAGCTTGATTCCTGGGTGGGGCAAAACCTAAGGCAAGTTTCCTTACTCCACACGCCTCTGTTTACCTAGTAGTAAGTAGATACCCAGTTATTCGTCGATTATCAATCGCTTTTCTGGGGCTAATAATCCCTTCAAAAAAAATAATTAAAAAAAAATAATAACTTGGTCACTCAGTCCATGACTGTTTGTAGGACACTCCTGTGCGCAATTGGCTGCTGCGTTTTGCCCACAAAATATACAGTCAATCCACTTTACAGTATATACTGTGCTTCGAGACATCTCAAACACGTGTGAAGGGGCTACATCAAATGCAAGGATCATTATTATTGTAAAGCAAGTTATGGAGAGGTGTCTCAATGATGCGATAAGGCACTACGTCAAATGTAAGGCATTACTTAATGACAGGATAATGAATAAAGAAGTTAACTGAAAACTACACTATTTAAAGGTAAAGATATTTAAAGACAAAGTGGAAAATGCAGAAAAGGGACAAGAGAGAGGAGGAAATACCAGAGTTTTTTCAATGATATGGAACAGACGGCCAGCACAGGTGGTGGAGCAAAAAACTGCACAGTGAGACGATCATGTTAACCACTACTTTCCCCCCCACCCGCCGCTCCACCATCGATGGCCGTGCCTTCATCCACTACACCCCAAAGCTTTGGAACTTTCTTCCTCAATCCCTCCGCATTGCCCCCTCCTTCCCCATCTTCAGGTGGCGCCTGAAGACATTCCTCTTCGATCGTGCTTATGGTCACCTCCCCCCGCCCCCAACTCGGAGTCGTGCTCCGTCACTGTCAAGCGCTCTGGGACGCTACCCTGCATGAGGGGCACTGTATAATTGCAAGTTGTTGTTGTGTTGTTGTTCACAGTAAAATCCTGGAGGGGAGGGGAAAGCATGGTCGAAGAGGTAGCTAATAAAGGAAAAGATTGAGAGCGGGGAAAATCCTCACTATCAAGAGTGTTGGGAATATTTGCAAGCACGACCGCTAATTTAGATGCGAACTCAGCTTTGAATATTCATAAAGATTTGCGTTATTCTAAAGGGAAAAACTTAAGACGAGCTTCAGACAGGTTTCAACCTGAAATTGTGTGTCTTGCAGACATGTCCCAGGACTTGTTCAGCTTTGTTATAAACAACCCGCTCATTAACTGGATCTTTAAGCATATGCTTGTCATGTGGGTTGTTTGCCAACCCTCATCTGCTTGTCTAATCGGTCCAGATCGTTTTGATTGCTGTCAGTTCTCCCGCATATTACTTGTTACTTGGCTATTCAGCATGAGTTTTTCAGCAAAACTGCCAATGCCGTAGACATGCCCAGTGTTTGAGAATGTCGCAGAAATAGTTATAGGGGAGGTTTGAAAAACATCTTTACACGCAGGAGGTTTTGATTGTGAAATTCTCTGCTATAATAATAATAATAATCCTTGCATTTGATATAGCGCTTTTCACGTCGGGAGGACGTCCCAAAGCGCTTCACAGAACATACTGCAAAGTGAATTGACTGTATATTTGTGGGCGAACGCGGCAGCCAATTGCGCACAGCAATGTCCCACAAACAGTCATATGGATTGAAAATGACCAATTTATTATTGTTTTGGTTTTGGAGGGATTATTATTAGGCTCTGCGTGGAGTAAGGAAACTTGCCCAAGGTTTCGCCCTCTGCCTGGAATTGAACTCAGGTCTCTCACTTGCAAAGCGAGTGCTCTAACCACTGAGCTACAGGACTCCACAAACTGCTGCAAACTGATTGAAGCAAAACCCAATGTTTTAAAAGGAAATCGGGCAGATTTCGATGCGCAAGCGAGCAGCAGAGTGGGGTTATAATAAATTGGTTATTTTCAATCCACGACTGTTTGTGGGACATTGCTGTGCGCAATTGGCTGCCGTGTTCGCCCACAAATATACAGTCAATTCACTTTATAGTGTGTTCTGTGAAGCGCTTTGGGACGTCCTCCCGACGTGAAAAGCTCTATATCAAATGCAAGGATTATTATTATTTTGGCCGGCTCGTGTGCAGAGAAACACCAGTGTAGGCTTGCTGGGCTGAGTGGGATATTTCTGAGATAAACGTTCAGTGATTGCATGGAGTCCTGTAGCGTAGTGGCTAGGGAGAAGACCTGCACGGCAAAACCTTAGGCAAGTTTCCATACTCCACGCACCTTTGTTTATCTAGCAGTAAATAGGAAAGCAGTTGTTAGTTGGTTGGTACATCGCTTTTCAGGCGTAATAATCCCTCCNAAAAATAAATATTATGATTTGGTCCACGACTATTTTGTGGGACACTGCAGTGGGCAACAGGCTGCCGTGTTTCATTCACAAAATACACAGTCAATCCGTTTTACAGTATATTCCGTGAAGCGTTTTGAGACGTCTCAACGATGTGATAAGGCGCTATATCAAATGCAGGGATTATTATAAAGTAAAGTGTTAGATCTCAGTGGAGTTAACCTGAGGTCTAACACTGCTTTATGATAACAACAAATTGCATTTCTATAACACCCCTCGCACAAAAATGTATCCTAATTTATCATAAATAATAGAATAAAACAAAGTGTTGGACCGCAAGTTAAGTCCTGAAGTTAACCTAATTTTAGTCCAAGAAGGTAAGGTAAATTCTGTGGTGTTTGTGGGATTCCGCCTCTCTTTCAATCCCTCAAATAAAATCGTTCACTCACTCTATGGCTGTTTGTGGGACACTGCTGTGTGCAACTGGCTGCCGTGTTTCGCCCACAAAGCACACAGTCACGGAGTTTTTACAATAAAACTGATGCGCTTTAAGACACCTCAACGACGTGATAAGCCGCTATATCAAATGCATGGATTATTATTAATAATATTTGTTAGCCCTTGGTGTTTACTCTCGCTTAAAACAAGAGAGGAAGTTCAATGAGAGCACTGTGTGGGTGGGGGAGGTAAATTCTGTGGTGTTTGTGGGATTCCTCGCTCTACTCTCTCTCTTGCACAGTCCAGAAACCTACAGCTCTGTCTGGCTCTGCCTTTTATCCAGTGTGTGTGTGTGTGTGTGTGTATGTGTGAACCTGTGTGTAATTCTTTACTGGATGGATCTGGATGTAGGAGTCTTGTGCGTGTGAGCTGGCAAGAAAATGTTTACGATTGATTAAAAAAAGGGATCAAGTCTGTACAGGACAGTTGGGCACTGCCCTCACTCCCAAAATATGTGCCAGGCAGGTGAATGAGTGAGTGAGTGAGAGAGAGTGAGAGAGAGAGTACCTTCCATTGCTTGGGGCAGAGTGGGTGAGGGTTGGCTGGAGCTGAGTGAGTGAATGAGTGAGGTGTGTGAGAGTGTGTGTGTGAGTGAGGCGTGTGAGTGAGTGAGGTGTGTGAGTGAGTGTGTGTGAGTGAGGCTTGTGAGTGAGTGAGGTGTGTGAGTGAGCGTGTGTGTGTGAGACGTGTGAGTGACTGAGGTGTGTGAGTGTATGTGAGTGAGGTGTGTGAGTGTGTGTGTGAGTGAGGCATGTGAGTGAGTAAGGAGTGTGTGACTGTGTGAGTGAGTGAGTGTGGTGTGAGTGAATGAGGAGTGTGTGTGAATGAGTGAGTGAGGAGTGTGTGTGAGTGAGTGAGGAGTGTGTGACTGTGTGAGTGAGTGAGGAGTGTGTGTGAGTGAGTGATGAGTGTGTGACTGTGTGAGTGCGGAGTGTGAGTGCGGAGTGTGAGTGAGTGTGTGAGTGTGTGAATGAGGAGTATGTGTGACTGTGAGTGAGTGCGGAGTGTGTGTGAGTGAATGAGGAGTGTGTGATGAGTGAGGTGTGTGAATGAGTGAGTGTGTGAGTGATTGAGTGAGTGAGGAGTGTGTGTGTGGTGTGTGTGAGTGAGTGAGGGGTGTGTGTGTGAGTGAGTGTGCGTGTGAGTGAGGTGTGTGTCTGAATGAGGTGTGAGTGAGTGAATGAGGAGTGTGGGTGATTGAGTGAGTGTGTGAGTGATTGCGTGAGTGATTGAGTGAGGTATGTGTGTGAGTGAATGAGGAGTGTGTGTGATTGAGTGAGTGTGTGAGTGATTGAGTGAGTGAGGAGTGTGAGTGAGGAGTGTGTGACTGTGTGAGTAAGTGAGGAGTGTGTGTGACTGTGTGAGTGAGGTATGTGTGTGAGTGAGTGAATGAGGAGTATGTGTGACTGTGTGAGTGAGTGAGGTATGTGTCTGAATGAGGTGTGAGTGAATGAGGAGTGGGTGATTGAGTGAGTGTGTGAGTGATTGAGTGAGTGAGGAGTGTGTGTGAGTGAGTGTGAGTGAGGTGTGTGTGAGTGAGTGTGTAAGTGATTGAGTGAGTGAGGAGTGAGGTGTGAGTGAATGAGGTGCGAGTGAGTGAGGTATGTGAGTGAGTGAAGAGTGTGTGTGTGTGAGTGAGTGTGTGAGTGAGGTACGTGTGTGAGTGAGTGAATGAGGAGTGTGTGAATGAATGAGTGTGTGAGTGAGGAGTGTGTGTGAGTGAGGAGTGTGTGACTGTGAGTGAGCGAGTGTGTGAGTGAGGAGTGTGTGTGAGAGGAGTGTGTGACTGTGTGAGTGAGTGAGGAGTGTGTGAGTGAGGTGTGTGACTGAGTGAGTGAGGAGTGTGTGTGAGTGAATGAGGAGTATGTGTGACTGTGTGAGTGAGTGAGGAGTGTGTGTGAGTGAGGAGTGTGTGACTGTGAGTGAGTGAGTGTGGTGTGAGTGAATGAGGAGTGTGTGTGAATGAGTGAGTGAGGAGTGTGTGTGAGTGAATGAGGAGTGTGTGTGAATGAGTGAGTGAGGAGTGTGTGTGAGTGAGGAGTATGTGACTGTGTGAGTGAGGAGTGTGTGTGAGTGATGAGTGTGTGACTGTGTGAGTGAGTGCGGAGTGTGAGTGAGTGCGGAGTGTGAGTGAGTGAATGAGGAGTATGTGTGACTGTGAGTGAGTAAGGAGTGTGTGTGAGTGAGTGAGCAGTGTGTGACTGTGTGTGAGTGAGAGGAGTGTGAGTGAGTGAATGAAGAGTGTGTGAATGAGTGAGTGTGTGAGTTAGTGAGGAGTGTGAGTGAATGAGGAGTGTGTGACTGAGTGAGGAGTGTGTGTGAGTGAGTGAGGAGTGTGTGACTGTGTGAGTGAGTGAGTGAGTGAGTGAGGGGTGTGAGTGACTGTGAATGAGGAGTGAGTGAGTGAGTGTGTGAATGAGTGACTGTGTGAGTGAGTGAGTGACTGTGTGAGTGAGTGAGTGACTGTGTGAATGAGGAGTGAGTGAGTGTGTGAGTGAGTGTGTGAGTGAGTGACTGTGTGAGTGAGTGACTGTGTGAGTGAGTGACTGTGTGAGTGAGTGAGTGACTGTGTGAATGAGGAGTGAGTGTGTGAGTGAGTGTGTGAGTGAGTGACTGTGTGAATGAGGAGTGAGTGAGTGAGTGAGTGAGTGACTGTGTGAGTGAGTGAGTGAGTGAGTGAGTGAGAGAGAGAGAGAGAGAGAGACGGAGTGAGCAGATCCGCACTCAACACACTGCAACTTCCGCATCACAGAGAAGCGAAGGGGGTGAATTGGGCTCTCGGAGCTGCACAGACACACACACAGAGAGAGAGAGAGAGAGAGAGACCAGAGAGGAGAGGAGAGGAGATCCCCCCCGTGTGTGTGCACCCCCTCCCCACACCCCCCCACCCCCCCACACCCCCCCCCCCAGCACTATGCTCCACCGCAAATCCTACTCCCTGAACGATCTGCCCTCCAGGGCGACCCGCAGACGCAGCCCTCAGGTCCAGCTCCTCGCCTCTGCCCCCAGTGCTGCCCATCACCACCCCATACAGGAGGAGAGAGACCCTGGCAGGGTGGTGGGCACCGCCCTGGAGAGGGCTGGCAGGGAGCCCAGGGTGCCCGGCCCCCACCCTGACCACCCCACCGGCCACCTGGTCCCGCGGCTGACCATCACCTCCGAGGAGGGCAAGACTGAGAACGGTCTGGAGCTGGAGGTTGACCCCAGCGACCTGATCGGGTTGTCCCGCAAGCTTTCCAGCTCTTCGCTCTCCTCCACCGGCTCCTCGCTCTTCGAGGAGTCTGAGGATGACCTGCTGAGCGACACGGATGACCACGGCAAGGGGCAGTATCAAGAGGACACTAATCTGGTGAGTGCCGAGGGCTCCAGTGGCCAAGGTAGGGACAGCAATAATAGTAATAATCCTTATATTTGATACGGCGCCTTTTGCTGTTGTCGAGACGGTGCGCGGGATTTACTGTAAAGTGCGGTGACTGTGTATTTTGTGCATTGTGCACACTGGGATTTGGGGCACAGCGGCGTCAAGGTGCTGTACTTTAGGTGAAACGTTAACTTGAGGTCCTGTCTTGTTGGTAAGCAACGAGGACCCCCGGGGGACTATTCAAATTGAGTTCCTCTCAGGCCCTGGCCAACTGTCCCCGGTTAAATTTGGTCACTCACTTCAGTTTGTGGGACGTTCCTGTGCGTAAATTGGCTGCTGCGCTCACCTGCAATTACTGCTCTTTAGTCAATTGTATAAAGCGCTTCGAGGCGTCCTCCTGACATGAAAGACGCTGTATCAAATGCAAGGATTATTAAGCATCTCCTTGCGAGAAGTATTTTGATTAAATAAACTCTACCAAATGTGAGTCCACTCGATCCCATTGTAACATAACAACTTGCATTTATATAGCGCCCTTCCCTCAGGTAGAGTCTCGGAGCGCTTAACAAGGTTTGTTATGATGTGTCGTCGGTCGGGGTACAAGATAATCCTCGATTGCGGGAGTATTTACTGTGGATCGTGTCCTGTTGTAAGGTTGGGGGGGATTTTATGCCACATGTTATCACCAGGGTACTGTATTGTTACTGAAAGTAGAAAGACCCAGAATTGGTTTGTGTAAAACAGAGCAGTGAGTAAACACCCACCCATTTATAATAATAATAATCCTCACGTTTGGTCTTGCGCCTTTCATGTCGTCAAGATGTCTAAAAGAGCATCATAGGATTCACAGTAAAGTGTAGTGACCGTTTGTCCCGTGGGCCAACCCAGTAGCCAGTTTGAGCACAGTGACGTCCAACAAACAGCCGTGACCAATTTTGTTTGTGGGGGATTAATAACAAATTGGGTCACTCAATCCACGACTGTTTGTCGGACACTGCTGTGCGCAATTGGCTGCCCCGTTTCGCCCACAAAATATACAATCAATTCACAGTATATTCTGTGAAGCGCTTTGAGATGTCCAGAGGACGTGATAATTATTGTTATTATTGCCGGCCAGGAAACAGGCACAGAGAAACCCCCTTGTCTTTTGGAATCGGGTCAAGGGATCTTTCACGTCCACTTGAATGAGTACAGCTGGGACCTCAGTTTAACGTCTCATCTGAAGGATACAATACAGCGCATTATCACATCAAAATGCCTCCAAACTGTCCAGTGAAGCATACCCCAGTATGGCATTACAGTGTCAGCCTGGACTCTATGGGTTGTAGGTCCCAACGTGGGACTTGAATCCACGACCTTCTAACTCCGAGGTGAGAGTGCTATCCACCGAGCCAGGCTGACACACAAGGCTAACTTTTACGTCCCCAGATGAATGATTCCTTTCACAGCTTCCCCTAAACTGAAGGACCTAATTCATACTGACTGCCCACCAGCATCTCGCCCGAGCGAATGGATCTGACTGCGTGACTTTTGTGGGCAAATCGCCCATCAAACTGCATGCCGGCCGGGTACCAACAGTCACTACACTGTTCAGAGAAAAGCTGGGAAGCACTTGGAGGTGTTTTGAAGTGATAAAGCGCTGTATCAAATACAAATATTATTGTTATCTCGTTGATAGATCTCAGTTTTCTCTCCGGTCACCAATCAATCTCCATTCAACTGGCAGGTTACTGCTGTGTACTTACTTAATGTGCGACTGTCCTGATTCACGGCGAATGTAGAAATCCCCTAATGATGAGACATTACACCGAGGTCCCGTCTGCCTATCCAGGTGGACGTTAGAGATCGCACGACGCTATTCGAAAAGAGACCGGAGTTTCTCTCTCCCTGTGTCCCGGTCAACAGTCCCCCAGATAAAATTGGTGACTCGCTTCATGGCTTTTTGTGGGACGTCGCTGTGTGCAAATTGTCTGCTGCACTTGTTTACAAAATGATAATAATAATGCTTTGCATTTGTTATAGCGCCTTATCACGCCTTCGAGACGTCTCAAAGCGTTTCACAGAATATACTGTAAAGTGAATTGACTGCATACAAATGCACAGTCACTACAGTTTAGAGGTATTATTATACAGTGATTGCGGGTGGAAGCGAGCTGTGTATAACCCCCCCCTCTCTCGACTGAAGTGATGGAATCTACGGGTGTTCATAGCTACCAGTCTCAACAGGTTTGACTTTTGTTACGAGTCTCTGAATTGAAATGTGGCCCAGAAATGTCTTGCCCTTTCGCAATCATACTTTAGTCATACTTTGTGTGTGTGTGGGGGGAAGGAGGGATTTTGCTGCAGTGACCTTTACAATGAGCAACAACAAAGGGGAAATCCCATTTGAAGTTTACTTTGTGACAGTCAACATTTTTATCATGTGCAAATCCATCACCATATTTAAAGAGTTTGCAAACCAAACAGAGTTCCACGCATTCCTCCTACACGTAGAAATCCCATGGACAAATTGATGGAATGGAATGCACCCTCTCTCCCTGGAGGAACGCATCCCGTTTACCTAATTCCGGAAAGTATTAGGCGCAGGTTGGCAAGAGCCAAGGCTTGGGGACCCCAGAGTTGGGGTGACTGCTGGAGTCTGACCAGCTATAACCGCATAGCTTGCCATTGAGAACACAGTCTGGCAAGTTTCTACCCGTTAGGACAATATAACACCTGACAATCTGAAAGTGCAGCCGGTTTATTCATAGAGTCCCTGAGGGGAGCACAAGGCCACAAATCTTGTGCGTCAGCTTGGCCCAATGGTAGCACTCTCGCCTTAAGAGTCAGAAGGTTGTGGGTTCAAGCCCCATATTGGGATTGTTGGCCAGAACACCAGAGAGAGAGAGCGCATTCCATTCCAACAGCTTATCTCTGGGATTTCCACGTGTAGGTGGGATGCGTGGAATTCTCAGTTTGGTTTGGAAGCTCTTAAGTGCGGCGATGGGTTTCCGCCTGTGTCCAACACCTGGCTGAGCAAACGAAAGAGAGAACTCGGTAGAAGAGAGGGTGATAGCAGACGTGCCAGGGACGCAGTGTATGAATTTAGCAGCTGGCTCAGATGTTGTGGAATGGGTGTAGGCTTTCAAGGAAGAGCGGTTTGTTCCTGAAGGTATCTGGTTAACGTAAGCGGGCCGCGTGGCATCTCTGGTGCCTGCCTCCTGTTTTCACCCATGGCAGTCGCAGCCCTCTTGCTGGCTAGCATGCCTGGCTGCCCGTGGCCGCACACAGCTGTCAGGCTTGGGTATCATGCAGGAGCAGAGTTTTAGTTCTTAGCTGCTGAGGAGCTCGAGACCAGAAGTGCAGTCACCCAGAACGTCTGAAAGACAAACCAAGGGCAATATTTCAGGAGCAAAGCTTCATCAGTGTGTCAGCCTGGCTCGGCTGGTAGCACTCTCGCTCGGTCAGAAGGTTGTGGGTTCAAGAAACCCACGTTGTCGGGCCTTGCAACCCATATTCTCTAGGCTGACACTCCAGGGGGTGTTGCATTGCTGGAGGTGCCGTCCTTCAGTTAAACGGTGGTCCTGTCTGCATACTCAGGTGGACTTTAAAGAACCCGTGGCACTGATCGAAAGCAGACAAGAGTTTCTCGTGGTATCAATAATCCCCCAAATAAAATTAGTTACTCACGTCATGTCTGTTTGTGGGACATTGCTGAGCGCAATCTGGTTGCTGTGTTTGCCCACAAAATACACAGTGTACTCACTTCACAGTAATTCTTGTGTAGCCCTTTGACGTCTTAGCAACATGATAGGGTGTGATATTAAATGCAATGGTTACTATTTATTACTAGAGTGCATCTGTTAAATCCTGTTGTCTTGTGCTACTGCTAATGTAGATTTCTGTGTGAGCGTAGTTATTAGCTTGCTCGCTTCGCAGGTGAGAGGACCCGGATTCAATTGCCAGGTGGAATGAAACCTTAGGCAACGCCGTACACTTCTGTTTACCTAGCAGTAAGTAGGAACTTGGTTGTTAGTCGATTGGTGGAATGTTTTTCTGGGGTAATGATCCCCTCAAAAAAAATTGGGTCACTCGATCCATGACTCCTTGAGGGACATTGTTGTGCCCAATTGGCTGCTGCGTTTCGCCCACAAAATACACCCAGTCTTTACAGTATATTCTGTGAAGCGTTTTGAGACGTCTCAACGACGTGATAAGGTGCTGTATCAAATGCAAGGATTATTATTATTCTAAAGGGAAACATTCAGCTGTGTGTACAGAAGGAGGTGTGACATTTACAAGTTCCTCCCAAGGCTCAATTTAATCTCAAAGTAAATAGGATTGGTTTAAGAATCAGGTGCTCCCCACCCACCTAAGTCCTGAGTCACGTCCATATCCGTGTGGGATCTGCAACCTTGAAACTCTCTATTCCTTTCGCTTGATCCTCCCACTCACTCACTCCTTTCTCCCTGTCTCCTCCCGGAGGGGTTTCAACTCCGTCCAACAAACAACAACAACAGCTTGCATTTATATAGCTCCCTCACACAGGGTAGTGTTCCAGAACGTTTAGATAGCACTTGCATTTGATGTGGTGCTTTATCACCTCGTCAAGATATCTCAAAAGACTTCACAGGAATTATCATAAATTTACTGCATTTTGCAGGCAAACAAAAATAATAATAATCTTGGCATTCAATTCAGAGCCTTATCGCGTTGTTGGGATGTCTCAAAGTGCTTCGCAGGATTTACTGTAAAGTGGAGTGACGGTGTATTTTGTGGGTAAAACGCAGCAGCCAGTTGCACACAGCAATATCCCACAAACAGCCATGGAGTGAGTGGCCAAATTTTATTTGAGAGATTATTGGTCAGGACACCAGGAGAGAAAAACTCTCTTTTTAAATAATAATAGTAATAATAATCCTTGCATTTGATATTGCTCTTTTCACGTCTTCTCGACATCTCAAAGCGCTTCACAGAATAGACCGTAAAGTAAATTGACTGTATATTTG